TTCTAATATTTCAAATGGTCCTCCTCTTACAAGTAACTCATTCTTTCTCAATCAACCTTCTCAATCAATGAAAGTAATGAGTAATGTTGCAAATACTAATAATATGAATCAATTTGGTCCTTCTTCATTCACATCTACAACTACCTCAGCAACAGTTCCATCATCATTATCATCATCAGCACTTGCAACATCTACAACTGCAGCCTCAGCAACCTCTAATAGTGTTGCTGGAGTGAATCCTCAATTACCCTTCTCACAACATTCACTCTTCTCTGGAGTGGTTCCTTCATCGAGTGCAACATCAGCAAATTCTCATTTACAAGCAAATCAAATAGGAGTAGTTTCAAATGTAACACCACTCGAAGATACTAATATGAACTCAAATAGTGGTTTTGACTTTCTCTCAATGAATCCATTCTCAAATCCTAACGATCCCTTTCAATTGGGATCTAGTGGTACTCAACCACAAAGTGTCGTCAATCAATCCTCTTCTGGATTAGTTTCTTCTATGAATCAATCTTCCCAAGGAGGGTTTGGTAATAGAGAAAGAAGACTCTCTTCAATTTTCGATATTGAAAATTCAAGAGATTCTTTGGAAGGAGGAATAGGACTCTTTGGTTCCAATAATGTTTTTAATGCAACCAATAAGGAAGATAGTTGCTTCTCTTTTGGTGAACATACTCTAAGCGATAAGAAGAATGATATTGGAGAGTATGATAATTCCTTGTTCAGTTTTATGGAACAGAGAAGATATTCTAAAGTAGCCGAAACTAATACAACCGTTCCTCTCAATGCAGGAAGTGCTCTAATTCCACAAAAAACTGATCAGTTTCCACTTCCTCCACTATCATCTCCTCTTCTAGGTACTGTAAATAATGAAAATGAATTCAAGTTTCCATCAAGAGATTTACTAGACGAATCTTCCAAATTATCTTTCGCCTCCACTGGCAAATCTCTAACCTGCACTTCATCCACTAGTCAACCTCAACAAAGAAACCTCTCCTTCAACGAATTGTACAATAATCCATTCAATTATGATGCATTAAATTCTAACAACCAAACAACCATGCAAAAACTTCTCAACATGCAACAAATAATTCTCAATAATCAAGAAAGAATTCAACAAAATTCATACGTTGATCCAAGTTTGATGAAACAAGCACAACAGCAACAACAACCAACTGATCAACAATTGGTTTGGAACTCTATTATGAATGCTCAGAGAACAAATGAAAGATTTCTTGCTGAGAATATATTTAATGCTCAATTTAATCAAAATGCTTTTCTTAATAAGGAGAATCCACTTTTAGAGAAACATGTTCCACTAAATACCATTGCTGTTCAATCACATTCACTAAACAATACTCCAAGATCTAATGATAGTTGCAATATTGGTTTTATGAGTCATCATCCTAGTTATCAATTTGGTTCAAATAGCCAAAAGTCAATTGACAATCAAAAGTCAAATCAACCTAGTCAACCAGCAGTTACTAATTCACCATCCAACTCAAAGAATAGAAAAAAGAGAAAGGCGAAAGAAGGCACACCTGAAAAGAAGAAAAAGATCAAATCTCAAGGTCATTCCTCAGAATCTCAACTCTCCAATCAAGAAATTATTCTTGCCAGTTCATCACAATTCGACTTTGATGAGAAATCTCAACCCACTAAAATTCTACCAGAAGATAGCAATGCAGCACTATTAGATGATGATTCCAATGATTCATCTGATTCCAATCAAAAGAAATTCTGCTTTAGAAATCTCATTGTTGAAAAATCATCAAAAAAGATGAAATTTGTCAACTCTGACATTAAGGAAGAAGGAGTCAACCAAGGAGCTTGGTCAGAAAGAGAACACCAAGCATTCCTCAGAGGTTTAAAGGACTTGGGTTATGGTAAATGGAGAGAAATCGCTGACAGATATGTCAAAACCAGAACTAGAATTCAAGTTGCCTCTCACAGTCAAAAGTATCATCAAAGATTAGAAAGACATGCAAAGAAAAAGAAGAAATTGCAAAAGAATACCACCACCAATAATCAAACTGAACCACAGGAAGATGATATGATTCTTCAACATGATACCATTCACTCTGATGAATAAAATTGTAACAAGTTTTCTATCATTCAAATAAGACCCATTCAACTTGACTTTCCTTATTTTGAATACTTGTACTGTTCAATTGAATTACAGTTCAAGTTGATTTCAGAGTTCCATGTTGCAATTCTTTGTGTTGTTTGGTGGTGTTTGAACTTGTGAAATCAACAAATCAAAAAAAAATGTCATCAAGTTACAACATCTTCATTTAATTTACTAGTTATTGACTATAATCAATCGGATCAATCAAATTGGTACAAATTATTTGCAAACAAGACAACAAAACAAGGTAAAAAGATCAAGGTTGAACAAGCTGGTTGGGAGGAAATTAAACTTGTTTCTAATAGTGAATATGGTCCAATATTGGAATTGAAGGCAAAGAATGATTCCATGTTCAGCCAACAATCCAAGGATCGTGATTTCAAACCAGATTTTGTTTTGGTTAGAAATTTCCCAAGTTCTCTCCACACTGAAACTTTTAGAAATGTTTTACTTGGTTTAATGTTTGCAAGTAGGTTTCTTATTGAATTTTGGATTATTTAATGGAAATAATTGAATTTTGATGATTATTTATCGTAAATTTAGATATTCCTGCTGTTAATTCATTGGAATCTGTTTACATGTGCAGTGAAAAACCAATTATTTATGGAAAATTGAAGGAAATTCAAAAGAAATTGGGAGGATTTGAAAATTTCCCACTCATTCCACAAATTTATTATCCTAACATTAGAAGCACTGATTTCTTTGATGAGAATGAAAAGGTAAGGAGCTTGAATACAATTCATTTTAATTTAATCTGAAAAAGACAACACCACAAGAATTTCCAGTTGTTTGTAAAGTTGGAACTGTTCATGCAGGATTTGGTAAACAAAAATTGGACACCAAGTCAAGTTTCACTGATTTTACAACAGTTCTGGCTCTTTATAAGGATTATTTTACTTGTGAGCCATTTTGTCAAGTTGACTATGATTTGAGATTACAAAAAATTGGAAATCATTATAGAGTTTATCAAAGAAGTAGTGATTCTTCATGGAAGAATGTAAGTTTAGAATATAGAAATTGATTATTTAATATTTTAGAATTGGGGAGCTATGAAATTCAAAGCACTCGACACTATTGAAGAACGATACAAGTAAGTATTCATTTAAATTTTATTCTAAACTTTATTCTAAATCAATAGATTGTGGATGGATGAAGTATCTCAACTGTTTGGAGGTCTCGACTTGTTTACTCTCGATGTTATGAAACTCAAAGATGGTTCTGAGCGTATTATTGAACTAAACGATTCTTCCATGGGTTTACTCTACGAATACGAAACTCAAGATAATCTCTGTATTGTTGAAACTGTCATGGACAAAATCCATTCATTGGATTTGTAAAGATCTTTTACCATCAATATTTGGCGCCAAATTTAATTACAATTTTCAAAAATCTTTACAATAAAAAAAATGAATTTTTCATCGCCTTCATCATCTTCATCTGATGATGGAAATATAACAATGAATAATGATACTAATGGAAATGATGGGGCTGTTCGTGGTAGAGGAGGAGGTTGTTATAATCAATCATTGTTTGATATTCAATCTTCGGGCTCTCCTAGTGGTCCACTTTCGTTTGATGAGGATTTAATTGCTTCCCCTCATTATTTATCCGAAACTACATCATCTGCTAAATCATCATGCTCTGATTTGAGTGCAATTAATAATTTGGTAAGTGAGGGGAAGAGGAAATCTGGATTGATGAATATGACTGCCAATGATATTGGTAATTATGAGATTATTTGGAGAGATGAAAAGATTAGATTATTAGAAAATGAACGAAATTTGAATTTGATGAGGATTGAGGATTTTTCGAAACAAGTGATTCACCTAAAGGAGGAAATTAAAAAATTGAACAATCTTAATCAATTAATGAGTGGTGATTCAGTGAGAGTTTCTCAATTGATTCATGAAAAAAGTTCAATTCAGGAATATGCTGAACAACTTCGTCTACAGAAGAATGGAATTCAGGATCAATTGAATATGTACAAACAAGGAGTTGTTCAAGGAGAGTTGGATAGGAGGAATAATCAATTGATGAATCTTGAAATTAAATCTAGTGAGATGAGAGAAGAATTACAACATGTCAAACATGAGTTGACAAAAAATCATAATGAGAATGACAGATTAAAATCAGAATTAAACACCCTTAAAATTAATTTTGAACATAAAAGAGCAGAATGTGAAGAGTTGACCATCATGCAAGATGAACTTTTGAGAGCAATTGCAGAAGAGAAGAAAACAATTTTTGAATTTCAAAAGCTGCAATTTAATGAAAATCTGGGAAAGGAAAAACTAAAGAAGGAGAATGAAAAATTGGAACTGTTGGTTGATCAATTAAGGTCAGAGAATAAGAAGTTTCAAGAGGAAATGCTAAATCAAAGTCAACAATTTGCTTTAAAAACAGAGGAACAAGAGAAGTCATTCAAAAAGGAGATTTCCAATCTGACCTCGATTGTGGATAGGCTTGAAAGCGAATTTCGTGAGAAGGAGAATTATTACCAATCTCAACATTTGAATAGCCAAGAGCTTTTGAATTCTCTGAATAGTCAACTAAGGGAGCAACAAGATAAATACGAAAATACTCTATCTCACAAGGATAATGCGAATGAGCAAGAAAAACAAACTCTCATTGAAAAGTCAAATAGATACAAGAAAGAATTACAGAAATCAGTGGAAATGATTAGAATTCTTAAGGAAGCAAATACTAATCTAGAATCTAACTTTTTGAAAAATAGTCAAATAGTAAATAGTTTGGAACAAGCTCTCAATCAGCTAAGAAATGAAAAGGCTGAATTATCAGAAAATTTAGAAATACTTAAAGTCAAACTACCCAAAATATTGCATCTCTCCTCAGATTTTCAATAAACTATCTGTATTTGCCAGTTATCAGCACCCCAATGTTGTTAACCTTAAAATCGTTGTTGGTGTTAGTTCTTCCTCTTCCCCTTCGTCATCAATTATTGTTTCTTCCATTTCTTTATTATTTAGGATAGTCTCCAATAAGGATCTAAATAAATTAAGTGTTTATTGTCTTGAATCAAAGCATTCAAGTCCTTTAGCAGCTCTTTCAGTAATATTTAAAGATGGGAAAACCTTGTTCAAACCCTCAAATCCTAGCATGCTCAAACCTGCTAATGACATGTAAGTGTGCAATACATCTGGATAGGTATCTTTGACCTTACTTATACCGCCATATTCAGTTTGACAAGATAATGTGAACAATTTTGTTTGTACTTCATCCACATATTGTAAGCAATCAAGTGTTTGTAAAGTACCACCAACCCAGAATGAATAACAAGTATCAGCATCCTTTTGTGGTCTTCCTTGGAATCCAGAAAGTTGTCTTTTCAATAACCATTCCTTCATTTCTTCTTGATGATCCAATTTATCAAGATATCCCATCAAATCCAGCGCAGCAATTGCACAATAAGTACTTCCTCCATGAGATTCCAATCCTGGACCATGAGAGAAGCAATAATCATATCCACGACTGCTTTTAATATATTCAAAAGCTAATTCCTTATTTACACCACTCCAATCATTCAAAAATGCTGAAATAGCACAAGCACAAAATGTAAATCTAATATCAGTCTCACTTCCAAAACAAGTTGCTTTAAAACAACCATTCTTATCTTGTAAGTATTTCAAAGCTCCAATAATACTTTTCTTATTAACTCTAGAGAAATCATCTCCAAGAATTCTTAAAATTGCAAGAGCAGTATAAGTCATAGCAATATGTCCAACATCATATCTGATCTGATTTTCAGAGAGTGGATGTTCATGACAACATTCATAACAGCCAATTGGTAAACCAATAAAATTACCTCCTCTAAATCCACACTTCTCCAAATTACTTTCATTTTGATCTGGTCCAATTTGATTAGAATAAACCCATTCAATAATTTCCTTTTTTCTCTCATCATTCAAAGCCAGATCAACTTTTCCGAGAACATCCAAGCCGGAAATTATAAAATACAATATTGTCATTCTGTTGGTATCTTGAGAACCATAAAAGTGTGGAAGTACACTACAATGTCCCATAAAGTATTTTACATGTTTATCAACTTCGAGAGGTGGATAATTGGTTGATGCTGATGATGAAGACATTTTTTAATAATTTTATTATATAAATTGCTGATGATGGATAGATTGATGATTTTGTTACAATTTCCCTGTTCACTTCTTTTCATATATTAAATAAGTTTTGAATAAAAGAATTTGATGATGAATAGAATTAATTGATTGCTACAGTAGCGAATGATGTTAAAGGTTCAATTTGGTGGAAGAATTGATTGGCGCCAAATTAATGCACCTCCAGGCTGGATTTGAAGAGTTTGAGAAAAAATGCAACAACGACAAACGCAACAGCAGCATTCAAATCCACCACAACATCATCATCAAACGATGAATTCTAGCCTTCGAAATCAATTTCCATCCACGACATCTTCTCATGTGAACGGTAATAGTACAAATAATAATTTAAATAATTGGAATGTGCCATCACAACATTATCATCAGCCTCCGAACGGAATGGAAAATAATGGACAACCACATTTCAGTCAACAGCCTGTTTATTACGATACGAGTTTTATGCAACAAAATTACTATCAAAATCAGATGATGAACAGTGAAATATTTAATCGACCACCTTATAATTTTTATGATTACAACACCATTCAACAAGTCCATCAAATGTTTGGATATCCTCCTAACATGGATGCTCTGAATAGTTATTATCAAACAGGTCAGCCAACTATGATGTACAATCCAATGTATCCTTACTACTATCCTAATCAACATCCCCAAGAAAATCAAACTAATGCAAAACAAATTGAAAATGAATTAAAATCACTTTTGCTGGGAGGAGAACAACCCAAACCAGTTCAAAATAAGGCTGTCGAGACTCCTTCACAAAAAGAATTTGTCAACCCTCCAAAAGAACAACTTACTGAAACTGTTCAAAATTCAATTACTAATTCAACTACTGAACAATCTGATACCTCTCCAGAAAAAACACAAAAAAAGCCTACAAAAAATAAGAAAAAGGATCAACCTATTAATTTTAAATTTGGAGCCTATAGAGTTGAGCTCGATGAGAGAATGTTAACCATACCAGAAAAGCTCAAACCAATAGATTCATTTTTGACAAGTAGTGTAACACCATCCATATTGAAACTTTATAATGAACTCATTCCTACACAAAAGGAGATTGAAAAGAGAAATGAATTCTTCAAAAATTTTGAAAAGTTAATAATTAACAAGTGGAGTGATGCTAAACTTTACATGTTTGGATCAAGTGCTAATGGACTATGCTTAAGACAATTACAAGGAAAGAATGAATATTGTGACGTTGATTTTTGTCTTGTTGTGGAATTAACACCAGATAGAATGAAGAAAATACCAGTCTCTAAAGAAGTAGAGGAAGAAAAACCCAATGAAAATACAGAAACAGCTGAAGAAGAAGTTGTAGAGGAGCAAGATGAGGAGGGAGAAGAATCTCAAAAGACTGAAGTTAAAAAGAAGTCCAAGCCTAAGAAGAAGCTATCCCAAGAACAATATCACAAGAAAAATTATGTTTCACAACTCAAACAATTTTTAGAATCAAAACTAAACTATACAGACGTGAAGGGAATATTTACTGCAAGAATTCCTATTGTAACATTTACCGAACAAAATCTCAAAATTAACTGTGACATTGGTGTAAATAATATTTTGGCAGTTTACAATACGAGATTAATTGGACTCTATTGCAATATTGATATTAGATGCAAGCAATTAATATTTTTAATCAAATACTGGTCTAAGCAAAGATGTATCAATGACCCATTTGGAGGCACACTCAGCTCCTATTGTTTGGTAATAATGGTTATTCACCTACTCCAACAATGTGATGTATTGCCATTCTTACAAGACAAAACTGTGTTTACAAACATGAAAACAAAAATAGTGGATGGACTTGATGGTAACAATTATGATTGCTCCTTTGAAGAATCTCTTGATGAAATTAACAAAAAGATAACCAAGAAAGATGACTCTCTTGGATCTCTATTGTTAAAATTCTTCAAGTACTATGCCTTTGAGTTTGATTATGAAAATAACGCCATTAGCATTAGAAACTCAGGAAATAGAATCTTCTCGAAAGAAGATAAATCTTGGAAAGCATTGTTTGCTGTAGAAGATCCATTCGAAACAGAGTTTAACACAGCCAGAAATGTTTCTATTACTGGATTAGATGCCATTAGATATGAGTTTGTCCGAGCATTCCACCTTATTCAAAAACAATCTAACTTCAAAGATGTTGTTTGCACTAAACTGAGCACATTAAAGATTTAACATGTACATTAAGATTGATTTAATTGTCCTCTGGAGGAACTTTAAATGTCAATCTATCAGCATACAATTTCAAAGCAGTATTTCTGAGATCTCTTATCACTTCATATGATTTGGAGGTACTTTGGCGAGCAATAGCTTGGAAGGTAGCTTGTTGAGATTCTGGAATAAAACTCAAAACCTTTTGCATTTCTTCTCTGCTTAAATCCTTTTTAGCCAAATCGAAATTAATCATTTGATTTGGATAAGCTCTACCAATAGCAATGTAATAGTTAAAGTATGTTGTCAAGACCATAGCTCTGTACAAGTCACGATTTGGAGGTGAAGTGATTTTTTTAGCAGAATCAACACCATATCTTGTTTCGAAATAATCCTTCTTATGAGCATAGGCATTTGGTGTTTTGATAACAGCAACTACACAATTTGGTTTGTTCTTGATACTTTCTGGTAAGCTTGCATATTCTTTTGAAGAAACCATATTCTACTCAATAATTAATACCTACTATTATAGAAATAAAGAGCTTACCTTTGGATTAATTCTTTCCATATAAACAATTTCTTCCTCTGGGTTTAATCCTCTGTTAATACTAAATTCGAGTAATTCAAAATCTTCTCCGTTCAATAATTCTTCTCTAGATCCTGAATCAACACTATTGGATGCCTTGTTGAATTCATCTCTACTCATAAGCATCCAAATTAAATCAAGAGTATGTCCATAATCATCAAAAACTTCAAAGGTACCTCCAACATTGTGAATTTCCTCTTTAATCAAAAGACCTGGCTTGACAAATAAATTAGAAAGTGGATCAGTTGGATCAGCACTATTAGAGGCATCAAAGGAAAGCATATCATTATTATAAACTAAAGTTTCCTCAATATTTGGTTGAGGAGTGGTCAATTGAACATAATTTCTATATGGACCATACAAGTTCTTGAAAACCTTATCCAAAACTGAGTCATTTGGTTCTTGATTATATTGTCTTACTGACCAAACAATGGCCACAGTTGAAATACCCAATGACAACAACAAGGAAGTCTTTAAAAGCCTTCTGAATGGACTTTGTCTTTTTCCTGACGATTCCGATGATCCACCACTATTTTGTTCGGATTGTTGTTGTTGTTTACTAATTCTCGATAATGAAAAATTACGAATATTACTACTGTTATTGAAAAGTTTGGTGGCGAATTGTTGTGGTTGTCTAGTGATGCAAGCCAATGACGATGATGGCTTCAAGAGCGTCTTCATATTTCTCATCATTTTTTTCTAAATTGTTTCAGGTCCCGAAATGATGAAAATATTTATTCGGCGTATTTAAATCAATCTTGATTGAAATTAATATTCATATTAATTTTATTGTGTGTTACTATTTACTAATATTTAAATATTTAAATACTATTAACTTTACAATATTTTTTATAGAGGTAGGATAAGAAGAGGATATTGGATGATGAATAATTGGTTTATTTACGAATTCAAACAACACAATTCATTCTTTTTCTTTAGTGTTCAAACAATAAGGCTTTTTTACAAAGCACTTGCATTGATGCAGATTCTTCCTTACTCCATAATCATAAATATGGAAAGGAGTTTTCAATACAAGAGGAGCTTCTCGCAATTTGGAATCGACATCGATAACTCAAAATCCATCAAACATTCTCCTCTCATTGTCGGTGATTGGTTTGTGTTGAAAAGTTTCATTATTCATAAAAAATATGGCCACTACAACAGAAGCACAATCTGATATTATCCTCGGAGAAGAAGTTTTGAAGGAATATAAGAAGGTTCGTTTGAGTAGCAGCAAATCAATGGTTGCTCTCATTCTCAAGATTAAAAAGGATGATGGATCTATTATTATTGATGATAAATTAGAAGAAACCAATTTTGATGATTTGCAAACTTTCCTTGATGATTGTAACCTCCAACCAAGATTTATTATCTTGTCCTATGCTTGGCAAAGAAGTGATAGAGTTCAATATCCACTCATGTCTATTTTCTACACTCCAAAGAATGCTAATCCATATGACCAAAGTATGTTTTATTGTGTTGATTATTTATCATAGTGACATTTTTCACAAACAGTGATGTACTCTAGATTGAAATTGCCATTGATTAGGTAAGTTTTATTTGGCAGCTGACTTTTTTTAACATTGGCAAGAAAATTGGACGTACCAAGAAGTTACGAAATTCGTGATTATGAGGATTTAACTGAGGAATGGCTTTTGGAAAATCTTAACAAGAAGTAAACCAACCAACGAACCTAATCACTAATTAGTTCAAAATTTAAATTATTAAACTACATAAATTGTATTCTATTATTGTACAGGTCTGAAGATTAAATTAATACCTTCTAGAAAAATAGTCTCTGATATCCTTGCTTTTTGGTGCTTTTTGCTCTGTTGTTGTCTGTTCCGAATCAATCATCATTGGATTGGTAGAATTATTGGCAACAATATCTTTTTGGGCTTGTTTCATCATGTTTAGTGTTTGTTCTAGTGATAATTATATGGTTCTATTCTACTACTGATCATATGAATACTACTTACGATAATAGGATACCTCTCTTTTATCTATTTGATGATGATTATTCGAGAAGCAAGTAATTTCATCCTGTGATGAAGAATAATGATGATTGAAAAGATAGGGATTACTCCTTCTCACTCTCGGAAAGGATTGAATGTGTTGCTGATGTTCTGATGGATGTTGGAATATTGTGTGATGATTGTCAGATTGAGAAGGCAACAAGATTGCCTTTGTTGGTGATGACTGCTTCCAAAAGCAAATCCGTTAGTGTTCATTATTTAATTCTTTTTTTGCTTTTGGAATTTGTAATGGCAAGAAATGGCGGGAGGTTGTTAAACCATTATTATTGGTTGTGTAGCTTTTAATGGTAGTTATCTGTCATTGATATTCAGTTTAATCTATTAAATCTTCAATAAATTCTAATTTAAATAATATTAAATAATTACCGTTGTAATTGTTTTGGCGCTCTTTCCGTTACATTTTCTAAAACTCTATCCGTTACACATAATTTAAAAATCTATTCATTTTTCTCAATAAAAAAAAACAAGCATTTTTACCCTCAGCCTTCCATCACATCATCACAAAATGAAGGAAACAGTTGCCGTCGATGTCCACAGAGTAGTTACCAAGCTTCGAACATTGGCCCTCGACAGAGACAATCAGCCAGTCATTGTTCGTAGAGGTGTTACTACATCTCTTGTTTCCTTCCTCTCTCAACCACATTACTCTACCAATGTAAAGATTATTGCTTGCGAAACAATCAAGATGCTCTCCTCTCATCCAGACAATACCGATTTAATGTCCAAGGAACCTAATATTATAGAATCACTTGTTGCTTTGTACAAGTCTGAAGTTGATAAGACAAATACATTGTGTACACTCATCCATGAAATTATCAATAATTTGTATATGAATCTAGGCCGTGAACAATTGGAACTTCTTCCAAATGATCTCATTTCTGTTCAAGCACCAATGAATGAACAAATCAATGCTTCTAATATCGATGCTAAGAAGAAGAAGAGAAGAAAGAAGAGAAATGTTGTTCTTCAAATTGAACAATTGACAAATGAAAAACAAAGACAAAGATTAGAAGAATTAATCTTGCAACTCAAAGGAACCATCTCCTACACATTCAATGTACCTAAGAAACAAGTCACTGTATACACTAGAACCTCAACAGATAAGATTCTGGAAGAATTAGCTAAGAACTCTTACACCATCTCTGTTATTTCTGATAGTGTTTGTGAAACCGAGTATAACAATATTAACTATGATAAGGAAAACTATCAACCACAATATCTTTCACCTGAAAAGACTCAAGCCGCCCAAAAACAACCAACCAAAGCCTCCAGTTACATGCAAAGTTTAGTTGCCTGTGAAGATAACAGTTTGCAAGCCAGAAGGAAAAAGAAGCAACAACAACAACCAAAGGAAGAGAATGGAAGTGGTGTCACTGGTTTTATTAGTAAGATTACTAGCGTTTTTTGGTAAAATTTAAATTATTAGGGATGAATCCATTCATCTGCAAGACACAATGTAAATGTTAAAGTACTTTACATCAAGTTGTCTTCATGAGTGGTGCATCCATTTGTAATGAACACACAATAAAAAATGTTCAAATCAATAACAGCAGCAAACTCACTAGCTTATTCTGTGCACAATTTAAAATTTGCAATAGGAGCTTTGGGAAGTAAGAGGAGGTGTGGTGGAAGGATTTTGGAAAATTGTACAAGAAATATTCATAATCATAATAGACATGTTTTTGCATTGAATTATAATGAATTATCGGAAATGATGGTTGATGTGGAGCCGAATGAAATTATTGGAATTGATGATGGAAATTTGGTGAGGAGAATGAATAATATTCTCAGATTTAAAACTGGTGATCAATTTGTTTTATTCGACACTCAATCAAATCATCAATTATTTGAAGTAATTAAAATGGAAAATCGAATGATTCAAGCCAAAGTACTAACTCTCGAACAAGATGAAACAACCAGTCAATTATTAAATCAGAGAAAATTATTCTCAGTCACTGCATCAATATGTATGACAAAATCAAGAGATACTTTTGAAGAGATGATGTATACATGTTCCTCTATGGGAGTGAACAAGATTATTCCAATCATGACTGAAAAGAAACAACATGCTGAATATTTTGAAAATAAGAAGGATAGACTTGAAAAGATTATGATTTCAGCAGTGGAGCAATCCAAACAATTTTATGGAATGCCAGAAATTGCTTCACCTCTTTCAATTCAAGATTATTGCAAGCAAATGAAAGAGCAATTGAATGAAAGAAGAGTTTTCTTGGATGTTGATGGAGAAAAGCCTTGGCTTTCCCTCTTGAATGAAATTGAAGAAAACAAACAAAAGATGAACAAGATGAATATCAATTTGCTTGTTGGACCAGAAAGAGATTTATTTGATCAAGAACGAGCTCAGTTAGCAGAATTGGGATTTGAATCTCTTTCTCTGGCTCGTAAAATTGTATACAGAAGTGAGGTTGCTCTCTCAGTTTCTCTTGGAAGTATCACATCAGTAATTTGGAATAAGTAATTTATGGAGCCCAGAAGAAAATAATTGACAATGTGAACAATACTGCAAAATATTTGAATAGTTCTTTATTAGAAATTGAGAATTATCAAAGTGATGGAAATTACTCTTGTTACAGATTTTGGAAAATGTTATTAAAATCTGCTAGTTTAACTAATGAATACAAGGAGCGTATTTACAATATTATCATACATATTTTTATTCTACAATACTTTAATTGTGGTAATCTTAACCTCCAAAAGAAAACTCACTATTGATTAATTTATTATTTCAAAATTAATCTTAATGTGGTGCTAAACATTTTGGACCGCTGTCATTCAATGAAGTAACCAAGGCAACAATCAAGCCATACAATCCAAGAGCTTCACCGAAAATTAAGATTAATACCAAACCAACGAAAACTTTTGGTTGCTTTCCAAATGCTCTAACACCTATTTGTTGGATGAATTTACGTACAAAAGTTAATATTTGAATAGTTTCGTCTCATTAATATTTGAAACTTACCAGCATCACCTGCTACCCCAAGAGCTAAACCAGCAGCTAAACAGGATAAACCAGCAGATAAACCAGAAGCAAGATGAGAATAACCCTTATGGTTACTGTATCCACTCTAAAAATTGGTTAAAAATCCATAAATCTTCAAAGCAACTTACTCCAGTTGTAACATTTGTACTAATAATAATGGCAACAATTAAACCAAAAATACCCAAGATACCAGACATGATGACTGGAATCAATCCTTTCATGACAAGTTTTGGATTTAAAATACCTTTTCATGCACGAATGAAACAATTATTACTCAATAACAATCATGCTTACTTACCCAAATGAGCAACACCAACACCTGAATCAGTGAATGAATACAATACACAATACATGCAACATTATCAAGACATGAGTAAACTCATTTAGCCAATCTATTATCTGTTTATCACTTACCAGCTTTACCAGCTCCATAAGCAGAACCAAGATTTGAGAAAATTAAAGCACATGCAACTCCCATATAACCAAAGAAGGCAGCACTAGAAGAACAGAATGGACTTCCAGCTGTTAAATCAAGCAAAGGTAAAAACATTTTTTTTGAATAGTTTATTGGATGAAATTTGAAAGAATTAACGTTTTTAAATTACAATTTAAAATAGAATTGCATTAGGAGAACGGAGAGCTTGGCTGCTTTATTCGACAAGTTGGATATTTTTGGAATGGAAACGAATCAACTTCGAAGTAAATTGGAGTGCCATGGTGGAGTTTATTTCTATTTGTCAAGAAACGTAGTGTTCAACCAACTGTAATTACAGGTAATCCATTGAGTTGACCTTTATCGTTCAAAATGGAAATTTGCAGTTAAAGAATTGATAAACTATATTTTCAAGTACATAATTTAATAAGATTTTTGAAATCCAAATTGGTTGTGGTATTGCTTATTCATAAATGTTCTGGATTGTTGGATTGGGTGAACTATTAATAGGTAAATTGGATTATGGTTGTGATATCTGGTTGATGACCTCTCGTCTGGTTTTACTGTCTTCGAAAATAGCCTGAATCAATTTTGTTAATTCTGCTGAAGTTAAGCCATAAAGAGTGCCTCCAACTTTAAAATTTTCCACAACATTTAACAATGACATTACCAGCATTGACTTGATAGCTCTGAATTTGTATAAGGATGGAATAAATTTCAAAATGTCTTCATTTTCATAGGAGAAATTTTCTGAAATCCACTTTACCAAGTATGTCATTAAAGAACTAATATCCTGTGATTCATTCTCTCCAATATCTTTGCGATTGAGAATATAGCTACAAATAGTAGCGATTATTGGTTCTAAAATAGCTCCAAGTGATGCCATAACAATTCCATTGTCTTGTGGAATAACCTGAACCCACAATCTCCTTAAATGATCCAAATGATCGACAATCTTTTCAAAACTCTTTTTGTTCTGCTTCATATTACTGTAAACATCCTTGAATTTGTTACAATCTTGCAAGTAAGTAATTAAAATAATTGTTTGCTTGTCAATAAATTCCTTTCTGTGTTCTTCCGAGAATGCTCTCAAAGTACTAGCTCCATCACAAACCAATGACTTGAAACCATCATCAATTTTATATTTTACACATAATATATCTAATTCCTTTGCAATCCAATGACAATCATTAAATAATATCATCGAGAATTGAGGAAATTGATTAATCAATTCTCCATAAATTTTAGGAATTAAAACTCTATACAACACTGTAGCTTGTTTAATATATTTAGCAAGTACATGATTTAAAGATTGAGACTTTTCAATGATGGAATTAATCCTCTCAATGAATTGTTCCGTTCCTTTAGAAATACTACACTTGGGAAAGTTGAATAATGATTCATCATTTCCACTCCTTGTCTGTACAATATTATAAAAGAAAGCCTTCTCACTCTGGGAGGTGATCAACTTTCTTGTCCACTCCAACAATAATTCACCTCCAGCACCAACACTTTGCGACATTTTTTTGTTTTACAATTCAATTCATCAGCTGATGTATTTAATACTTTTCTAAATATTCATAATAATATATATTGAAATTTGTGTACAACAATAATTGCATCATTGATATCCATTTTAAATTCTATCAAAACCAAATGATGGCTTGGTTAAAATTCCGATACTGGTTGGTGGTGCAGCTATTGAATTGATTAAAACCATCAACCTAATCAAAATCATTCATTTTTCTTATTGAATCCCAAGAGTTGAGAGAAAATTCAATCAAAAAACAAACGCAACAATTCATTAGCTAATTGTTATTATCTGTGGAGAGGAGCATATTTAAGATGTCAACGATTAAAACACACATTTCTACAAATTCATCCTTATCATCGGATCCATTGTTGAGTTCTTTGAATTTGTTTAAAACCAATAGGAAATCTTCATCACCACTGATAATGATGGGTAGTATCGGAGGAGGATTGTTGATTGAATTGCTGAGTGGTATGAATAGAAGTTATTCTGCACCCAATAGAAGAATTAAAATTGAAACACCTTCATCATCAACTTCATTACCTTCCTCCGAGAATGATGCAACAGGTAAATTAACATCATCACACTCGGAAAATACATCTAGAAAACAATCTAATAAGAACAAATCATCAACAACACAAGAAATGAAAGAAATTCAAGAATTATCATATAATAACTTTGTAAAACTAAAGAGTATGAGAATGAATCGAAAAGTTGATAAGGATTTAGAGGAAATTAAAGAAGAGCAACAGAAACACAAACAAAGATGGACTGAAATACAGTTCATGTTAACTTCTGTCCATGAAATTGATCAATATCTCATCAAGAACAAATTCCAAATCTCAAAGGAAGAAGCCATTCATGAATTCTTCAAAATGATGAAGTTTGTTCTTACCTATGCAGAAGCAACTCAATTTATGGCATCTAAAAAGATGGTTGGAATGGTTTATTCCATCTCTAAGAATGTTTTGAAAATCATTGGAAATAATCCACAAAGTTTGAGAGATGTCTATAATTTAATTTGCATGATACAGTTCAAAAACTTTTCATCTCTTCAAATTCCTTGTTATCAATTGGCTTATGGATTTAAAGTATTGAATGATATTGAATTTGCTCAGTCATTATTTGAAAATCATATTGCTGAGATTTTAGAAGTATTGATCAAAAAAGATCAGTCCTTCTATTGTGACTATTTAATGTCAGCACATCTCCTTTTACCAACATTTTCAATTACACACGAACATTTGGTTGATAAAATCTTTGAAATTTCAGCAAAGGTTATTCCAAAGGGAGCTCTAGGTTCCAGTGCAGAAGAAGTTCACGAAAAGTTTAAGAATCAAACTAAAATCCTTCCATCCCAAAACAGCTATGGGTTGTTTAGCTGTGTTAGATCATTATCCGAGCAAATATTCCAATATATGGAAAGTTTAGAGAAAAAGACAATTAGTAAGGGAAAATTCGATTCAGAATTATTCATTAAGAGTTTCAGAAAAATTCATGAAAAGGGAGTTTATATGGATATTCACAAGTATAATTTTGCTTTGGAAATTCTGGTAAGAAATAACAGTAATAATACGATGGAATTCTTTGAAGAAATAAGGAATCTCGAACATATCAAACCAGATACTGGTACCTACTGTACACTTATCAAACATTACGGAAAGAAACTGACAGAAGATGATGAACAACAATTACTAACAATTTATGAAGAAATTAAGAAGAAGAACTTGATTAATCAACATTTATTAACAACATTTTTGAGTATTACAAAACGACACAGTCAAAGATTTGACAGATTGAGAGAACAAGTTAGTTCTGATTTATATGGAATGAAGAATTTAGATAGCCATTCAATTACAGAACTCATTCACCAGTCTGTTTTACAAGGAGGAATAACGGCAGGTTACTCATTCTTCTGTAGTGCTAGAGAGACATCCAAATTAAATGGTAATGCACTATCCTCCTCTGCCTACAATATTATCCTTCAAGCTGTAACGAATGATCTGAAGCAAATTACATTGGCTTTCAATATTTTGAACTATATGCTAGAAGATAAGGTTCATCCAAGCGACTTTATTCTTGTCAGTTTACTGAGTATTGAAACCAAGTTGAGAGATCTTCTGTACAAACCTGGAGAAGTTGATACTGAAATTGTGGAAAGATTGGAAAGATACAAACATACATTGGATCTTTTACTAAAGGATATCATTGATGATGCATGTCAAGGAAAACCAGTCAATTTTGTTGTTATTTCAGCAGCCATGAAAAGATTTAAAGCAACTAAGGAGTATGGAACTGTCATTAAAATATGGCGTGCAGTGAGGGCTAGACTTCCTCACAAATCAAAATTAGATGGTTCCATTTATTTGATTGCCTTATCATCTTGTGAATTATCCAATGATTACAAATCATTTAATGACAGTTTAGAATTTATCATGAAAGAAAACATTCCAAGAATTTCGTGGCAATTATACTATTACCTTATTTCAACACTTATTGCACAAAAGAAGGTCAAATTAGGAGATGGTGCACTTTATGAAAGATTATTCAAATTCATCTTTGAAAAGTATACTCCTCTCGTTTGTGATGTAAAGAATGTTCAACGTATCATGCCAGATATTATCGAAGAGAGATGGGCAATACCTCCTCCAACTCTCACCTCATTAGAAATTAAAGTGCTAGACCTTGCTAAGAAATTCCAACTCGTAAAATAAACAATTTTGATTCATACGAGACCAATTAATTGATTGACCAAAACCATCTCGATGCCAAAAGAAAGGCATTCAATCAATTTTACGAACCAAACTCTCTAAACAGAGTTTCAAATTCATCAATTCATCACAGTAGAACGATACAGAAATTGATTTGAGGATTCTTTCCTCACTATTTTTATCAGAACTCTTTATTAAATAGAGCAACAAGATAATAATCAAAATAAATTCATCATATCAACAAGATAAAAAATGCCACCATACGAAGAGTTGAAGGCGTGTCAAAAAGTAAGAGTTTCATCTTTGATTGGTTTATGCCGATTCTTCTTTAACATTCTATTACACATGTGTTTTTATTTAATAATTATAGGGTAATTTTTAAATGATTAATTTCTCACATCTTCGGAATTGATAGACATGGTATCAGTGTTGACGGAAAAGAGAGTCAATAAATTACTTCAAGAGATAAAGGAGCAAAATACTAAAGGATGTGGCATGCTGAAAAGAGGATTGGATTTGAAGAAATGTGAATCACCAGAAGAGGATGGTGTGAGCGGATATTATTCATCATCTAAAAATCAAATTGTGATTTGTTGTAATAGAATGATAGGAAAAAGTGATTTAGAAAATACTGTAGTACATGAATTGGTTCATGCATATGATTTTTGTAGATTTAGACAATTGTTTTATTGTAAAGTGAGAGCATGCTCTGAAGTAAGAGCATATTATCTTGGTGGATCATGTGCAAGTGCAGAAGATTTAAAGAATTACTCAAACAAGGAAGAATGTCTGAAAAGACACGCATTTGCAAGTACTGTGAGTGCATGCAAACAATCGGCGTTATCTGTATGTACTAATTAAGTGAATTTTTCAAAATACTAATCCATATATGTTGATCTAATTCACACGCTTTATAGGATGTGGATGATGTGTTTAAACAATGTTTTAACGATGAAAGCCCGTTCAAGAGTATATCAGAAGAAAAAGTATTCAAACCACATTTACTGCCTGATAAGGATAAAGTGATTGGAAATTAAAAATTGTACTAGTAACGAGAAATTTTCAGTTGAGAGTTCTTCTTTTTGAATTTTAGAACCTGTAGGATGGAAAGCAACACATTAAATTGATCGGTGTGTTCTCCTTAAATTGAAAAAAAAACCAAACAATCAATATTAAGGAATAATGAGGAGATATCAATTATCTTGGCCATTATCATCCACACGAAAAATAATACGGAATTGTACAACAACCTATTGTGCAATATTATTACAGATATTATTTTTAATTACTCTATTCAATGTTTTATGCCCAATAGAAGGAAATAAGAGAGCAAGTTTGAATATTCACTCTCCACAAGATACGAAAATCCAGGGAGGGATACAAACCAGCAATCATGAATTTCCCTTCCTTGTTTCTCTTCAGCAACGATCAGTGAGTGGCAATGTTTTTCATAAGTGTTGTGGCTCTATTATTTCTAAAAGGTTCATTCTAACAGCTGGACACTGTGCCTATGAAGCCTCGGCAACAAATTATGCAGCTGTAATGGGAGTTACAACCTTATCAGAGTGTACCATAACGAAGAGTCTATTTTCATCAGGTTACACTATACAATCATCATCGAGTTGTGTTGTGGCCAGAGTTAAGGCTCTTCATCTACATCCAAGCTATGATGATTACTCGCTCAATAATGATATAGCAATAGTGGAACTGTACGATGATATTCCTTATTCGTCGACTATTAAACCTGTTACACTTGCATCATCGCTTCCTGCTTTTAATGCCATGCAAATTGTTGCTGGTTGGGGAATCACTTCAAGTTATGTCAATCAAGCTGTTGACCACATGATGAAGGCCACGGTTCCCTATGTTGAAGACAAGTATTGTAATGATCTGGAATTAGACATGAGTACCACTGTCGGTAAATTATGTGCTGGGGCTGGAGATGGCAAAGATGCTTGTGCTGGAGATTCCGGAAGTGGACTTTTTCATACTGTGAATTCAACTGATTTCATTGAGATTGGTATTGTAAGCTATGGTCCTAGTCAATGTGGTACACCAGCCGCCAGTTCTAATCGAGGTGTTTACACAACTATTCCATTCCACAAAGAGTGGATCAAAGCAATCTCGAATGTGAGTGTGGGAGTGAGCGAATTTGAATATGAAAATATCGTTGTGACTTCAAACTCAAGCTCTGTGCATATTGGTGGTTCTCAAATTGTTCTTGAATCAGGCTTTTACAGCATGAACCTGTCCTTTGTGGTCATCCTAAATTGTTTGTTGGGTATGTTAATTAATTACCAGTAATAAAAATATAAATAGAAGAAATAATGAGTAGAATGCTCTTTTCTTTCTGGATGCATCCATAACAGCCCATGGGATAGGAATGAGCATGCATTCCTCTTTCGCCTTAGTGTAAAAAAATCTGTAATTGAGAGCGATATACCGGACTAGATTGGCCTCAATAAACTGAATATCGAGTTCTACGATAATGAAAATATGGAAAGATCCCCTTCCTAAATAACTCCAAAAATCCACGAGCTCAAAACAAAAGGCAATAGAAGTTGTTGATCATTCATCATGCTCTTTCACAACTAAAACCAGGTGCAATAAATCCTCCACTTTCACAATTAAACAAATCAACCCACATCAACTGAACAAACTGACAAATTGGTGGGCTAAACTTTTCTGCCCCCGTGAACCACATAGATGTTGTTTGGTTTGACACAATATTTCATATTTTTATTATTTCAAGTTTTAAAAAATTGCCAAAACATCCAAATCGCATTTTCTTTGCTTTCATTTTTTGTGTTGTCGCGTATTTATTTTGGTTCTATCTTCCAACTGCAGCCAAAAACTTGCATTTCTCTCAAATTTCAACTCATTCTAGGATAGTAGACCAATTTAAAGAGTCGATTCAAATTCTTGAAATCTAGAGTTGCTTTCTAGATTGAAACATTATCAATTTGAGATATCGTTTTTTATTCCGGATTGACCAAGCACTTTTCTGATCAGAAGAAAATTAAACCACACTGTTCCCCTGCCTCTCCTCTTCCATCACCAATCACATCCAAAAATCAGAACAGCACCCCATACTTACTCCTCATAAAAGAACTATCATGAACAATAACCCACCTCATCAACAGCAGCTTCCACCCTCAGCATCAACAATAGGTTCATCTTCATCACAACATTCAGGCAATAACAACAATTACATGGTGCAGAATGCTCTTCCAAATTCTTCTTCATCATCCTACATGATGACTACTACCAATAACATGCTAAATAATTCACATCATCATATGCTTCACCAACAACAACAACAATCAAATAATAACATTCCAATGATGAATCGTCACATGGACTATGATCATATTCAATACTACAACCAAAGATCACAACAACAACATCCCTCCTCCGCCCAACAGAATTTTACTGGCAATGGAGAATCTCAACCAAATTTATCACAACCTCAGCAGCATGTTGGTGGTGCCGAACAAGCATCACATGTGTTCACTTCTTCCCCGAATGTTATTAACAATAACATGCTCAATAATAATAGCTATCCTTCCATGCAAAAAGTGGTGATTAATAATAATCAATATACATCCAATCCTCCATCATCATCATTTCAGTATAATACGCAACAACAACCAACAACATCTTTTAAACAAACACCTCCTATGGTTAACCCACATCAGCAGCAACATTTTAATTATTTGATGCCTAATAACAATAATAATTTGTATCCGCAGCAACATCATCACATTCCACCACAACAGACATATCCTACCACAACTTATTCGAATGCTAACTATTCTACGAATGTTCCTTTGAGCAGTAGTAACATGTCAACGAATCAATACGACGTGAGTCAGCAGCAACAAAATTATAGTAATTATGAAATTGCTACTAGTTTTGCATCATCACCTCAACAACAGCCAAATAATAGTACTAGCACTACATTTAATCCTTCTCTTGTTTCGTCCAACAACATGGTGGCGACAGATTCCCCAGCAAAGAAACAAAAAAGGAAAAAATCTTTAGGTAGTGAAAATGTGGATGTAAATGGATTTTCTCAGGAATCTATATTACCTGAACATGGACATCCTATTGCATGTGTGCAATGTAGGTCGAGACACAAAAAGGTATGTGTAGTTTCGAATAATTTAATCTAACCCAGAGAAGTGTGATCGTACATTGCCTGCATGTTTGAATTGTACTAAGAGAGGTGTGGAATGTACTTATCGATCTCCAAAGATGAAAGGAAGAAAGGATCAAAAGTTTCATCCTTACTCAAGTTTACTCTACATTCCTCCAACTAATACTGTTCCACTTGTTTCATCTTCAACTCAACCTAAACCAAAGAAACAAAAGAAGGAACAAAATGTAATTAATCACATTGTTGATAATCATTTTACAGCACAATGGAATCAACAACCTCCACAACAGTCTCAACCTCCTCAACCAATTGAAGAACCAAATATTAATTTCAGTCCAATGACTGTTTCCAATCAATTGCAAAATCAGTTACAATTAGTAATAGCACAAAATACATCCAATTTTAATAATGATACCTTTTCGACACTATTTACATCACTCTCGAATTCAGATAGCAGTAGTTCTAAAGAGAATGAGGAAGAGGAAAAAGCACTTGCATTAATTGATAATTTTCAAAATAATCAAAGATCTCAATCACCGAAGATTGATAGAGAATTTTTATTGAATTTATCAAAGGATTCTATTAGTGATTTACTCGGATCGTTGGGTGTTAACCAAACTAATTTCCCTCAAAATCTCAATATCAAATTGGATATTAATAATAATGCGATAGCTCATGATTTAATTAAAGATGCAGAGATGAATCAAAGACTGAATATGAATGCATACAAGAAACGTACTGTAGAGTTGTATGATGAGGTGATTTCAATGGGTTATCCACTTCTTTCAAAAACTACTCTTGAATTGGCATTTTTCAACGAGGAGGCCACGAGAGGAATTTATTCAAATGATGTTTTGGCACTCTTGTATGCTATTCATGCTGTTACCTGTCAGGCATTTGGAGTTCATGATGAGGCTCAAATAAGTTTCCAAAAATCAAGAACTCTTCTCACAGAAAGTTTTGACAATTCTCAATGCCTTTTTGTTGCTGGTACTTACTGTCATTTTGCTAGATATTGCAGTGGTATTGGTGATAAGGGAAAGGCAAAGTTTTATCTCAATTATGTAGATTTATTTTTCAGAAAGAGAAATAAGACTTTTAAAAACAAAACTCACTTGAACTATTCTATTGAAGATGAAAACAAGAATGGAGAAAACTATTCAATATTTAATGGATTACCTGTAGATGATTTGCATCTACTCAAGTATAGAGTATTGTGTGGAATCAGTGTAGACAAATCTGGAGAGTTCTTTTTGGATGATTGTTCTAACTTTCCTGGATTTACTTTTGGTTCATATGTTTCCAAGATTATTTGCGATGGTTGCTTGTATGCTATTGGAAAAATTCCCAATACTATTATGAGCATCATGTCTCAGAAAGTGTCATTAGAGAATTTGAACCTGTATACCATGTTGGTCGAGTTTTCTGCCAACTTCTTGACTGTTCACGAAGATGAAAGAAATATTAGTGAAACAACTAGGAGTTGTATGAAGTGTTTACATCAATTATTCTATCATGGGTGTAACGTGCAGCTATATAAGGAAGCTGGCGTATTGGACGAGAGAATAGAAAATGAGGCAAAGCTTTTTACATTGACAACAGCTTCTGGTCCTTTCCATCTAGTTCAACCTTTGATATTAGGAGCTCTGTTTGAGACAGCAACCATTCACTTGAATATTTTGAGCGAAATTGAACAAGGTAAAAGAGGTTTTGATCAAATTACACAAACATATCAACTCATTGAGTTGGATAATAGAGCTCTTGAGATTGTTAGAACCAAAAACAAGGAGTTGATTGATAGAACATGTAAACCTCTCTTGGAACAGCTTCAATTCAGAACTAGACAATTTACCTCCCTTCCTTTTTATAATCAATGCTCAATGACTGCCCTCATTAAGGATAATTTCGAAATACGTAGGTGCTCTCCTGTGGTTCAAGATAAATTTAATGATGCTATCAATATTTTGATGGAAGAATTAAATAAATAGAGTTTATTTTCTCATTTCTTGCAGCTTTTCATTATAAGCAGCTTCAGCATCTGTCACAGCTTTCCTATTGACATATTCCTCAACCACAGAGACACAAACCTTGGCAATATCTGCATCATACAGTTGGCATTCAACGAAATCATTGAATGGTCTTTCTTGCATTGCAATATTCATATCATAATTTGGATTTTTGGAAAGCATATAGTTATCTCTCTTTCTCAAACATCTTTCGTATAATCTTCTACAAAAAACTGAATGAACATTAAGGTGATAGGATAATCTTTCTGGAAGACAGTTTAATTTCATATCTGCCATATCAAATTTATCTGACATTGCTGGAGAATTGGATGTCATACAGACATAATAATCTTTAATTTGATGTCTAGCAAATCTATCAGTCAGATAATCCAATTTATATTCCAAACCATCTTGGTCCTCATCCCCCTTAAATTCATAACTCTTAAATCTATTCCTATCCTCTGTGAAATTTTTAACTAGATATGGAGCATAAAACTTGCTACTTCCTTCCTCAGTCCAATAAAAATATTTTCTAGTTGCAAATTGAATTAATCCTTCAAAGTTTCTGTTGGATCTAATACATTGAGTTAATGATTTTCCTACATTCTTAAAATCCTGTTCAGTCATTCTTGTAATTTGGTTTGGATTATCAATTAACAAGTCCGAATTAGCATATTCATTTACGTCCTTTGCTCTTTTAATTGAATCCACACATGCTGACTTGAACCCCACATGAGAATCTTCATATAAAGCCTCCAAAGTACAAGCCAATGTTATCTTTTGTGCATAATCTTCATGTTGTTCAGTTACTTTTGCACTCGGAAATAGTCTACTCATCATATTATCCACATATGAAAAACATCTAAAGTAGGCTGCTTGAGCAGCTTGCAATTCTACTTTTTCTTCCTCTGTTCTATCATCGATAAAGATTGGTCTATCAAGTGCAGACATTTTTTTGATATATTGATTGACTTTATTAAATATTAAATAGTATTTACTGTTAATATATTAAATTAAATAATTTAATTATTAAGTATTTGGTAAACTGGTTTTTAATAGTTGATTAAATATTTAATAAATATAATAAAAAAAATATTTAAACATGATGAGTGAGGACAAGAGACTTTTAATTCAACTTTCAAAACAATCAAAAAATATCAAATCAGCATCATCTTCACTTCAATTTTTAAATCCCGAAGAAGAAAAATCCGAAAGAAAAGAGGAAGAATCTAATAAGAGAAAAATTGATCAAGTAATTCCGTGCAAGGGAAATCATTTGAATATAAAACAAGCAAAATTGGAAAATCATCATCATCATTATACTAAGGATGAGGAGTTTATTCCGTCCAAGCCAGTTGAAGGATTTGGTGCTGCAATGTTGAGAGGAATGGGTTGGAAGGATGGTCAACCATTTGGAAGATCGAAACAAATCGTTGAACCTGTAGAGCCAAAACCTAGACCTCATTTGGCTGGATTGGGAAGTAGTCTTCAGCATCAAATTGAATTGGATCCAAGGAATAAGAAATTGAAAGACCAATTGGAAAAGGAAAAACAAGCTGACAGTAAAAAGACAGCAACCACAAGTATTCAAAACAAATCTGAACAACAACGACCAAAAACTAATGAATCAGCATCTTCAAGCTCAGTAGCACCAAAGAAAAAGAAGGCCATCACTTGGTTATTACCAAACCTCTATGTGAGATATATCAGTAATGGAAAACATTATTTACAAAAAGGTCTTGTAATGGATATTCCAACTAGTTATGAATGCACAATCAAAATGGATACTGGAGAAATATTGGAACATATTGGAGAGGATTCCCTTGAAACCATTATTCCAAAGCAAAAAGGACTTCAATGCATGGTTGTGAAGGGAGAACATAAGGGATTTGTGGGCAGTTTAGTATCAAAAGATAGAGAAAAAGAGACATGTCTCCTCAAAAATCAAGATGATGATGTTGCGGTCGTCTCATTCGATAACTGTTGTGAGTATAGAGAGTTCTAGAATGAGCACCAACTCAGTTAAAGTGAAACATCACCAGTCCTATGTGAAAACTTCCTCATTAATCCATAGGACTGATCTTCATCCTCAAATAGCCTCAATATATTTGTGGTGGTGCAATCTCTGATATTTAATCTCTATCAAGTGTTGTGCAACTCAACTCCTGCTACAGTTTACGAACTCGTATTGAGAGGTCAAATTTGGCGCCAATCCACATAACTCTCAGAGAACATCAATCACCATGCTTTTTAACCTTAAAAAAATGAAACAAATTGTATGTATTTTGTTGAGGATTTGTTTTTTATTAATGTTATTGTTGTTGTTGTATTAATTTATATATTTCATCATTGTTACAATTAATGTAGGGATTAATTCCTTCCGGAGCTCAACTTTGGTACAAGAGAATAATAACTGTAACTCAAGGAAGACTTATTTATTGTTCTACCATTGCTGTTTATGTTTACAATTTGAGTGATTTCCGTTTGGAAAGAATTCTTACTGGTCATGGTATGGCAATAACTGGTGTGGCCGTCTCGCCTCACTCGCCCTATTTAATTGCCACAGCCAGTTTAGATCAAACAATCAGAGTTTGGGATATTACCGATGGAAAAACAATCAAAGTAGTGGATTTAAAATCTTCACAATTCAAGCCTTATTGTATCGATTGGAGTTGTACGGATTCATATCAATTAGTTGTTGGAGGTAAAAAAGGTGCAATCAAAGTAATTGACTTTAATGACGATTCAAATTATACAATCAATCTTTCGGGAGATGATCTAAGATCAATAGGGTTTAATACTAGAAATCCTACTGTTTTATTTGCTGCTTGTGGAGCTGAATTGTTTTTAGTGGATATTAAGAAGAAAAAGCCAATTTGCAGACACAAATTTTCAGATTACAAGATTGTAGATTTCCAATGGGATTCTCTTTCTAATAATTATCTCATTTGTAGCTACGAAAACGGCCAGACTGTACTTTTCGATACTGATGCCAAAGAAGAAAATATGAAAGTTAAGGTATTTGAAAAATCCGGAGCTGGTATATCTTCGATTGCATGGATAAAGAATGAACCTGGTAATTTCATAACTTCTGATGTAAGAGCAGGTGTTATTAGATACTGGAACGTTTCTCAAACAGCTCCTCTCAAAGTGCAAAGAGTTAGAAAAAATAGTGGATTCCAGGATATGTTTTTACTTCCAGGATGTCAAAAGTTAGCTTGTGCTTTCAAGGATGGAGCCGTAGGATTATTTGATATTTCAAAGAAGCAATTCGACTTTTTGACACCCGGTTCTCATACAGAAACCATTTTCGATTGTGAGTATTGTCCTGCCAATCCAGATATTTTCGCCACTTCAGGTTTTGATCACAGTATCAGACTTTGGGATACTCACAGAATGAAGGTTGTAGAAAATCTTACTCACGAAACTGGTGTTATCTATGGCCTTGCTTGGCATCCAACTAAGAGAGAAATTGCCGGAGCTTTCAACACTGGTATGGTCATCATTTGGGACGCCCAAAAGAGAATTCCAAAACTTCAACAAGAAATTCACAAAGACTGTATTTATAGAGTTGCATGGAATCCAATTGACCACTCTCTTCTGGCAACTACCTCTAAGGATACATTCTGTATTGTATTCAACGAGGAAGGAAAGGTAATTAAAAAGTTCAAGCACCCAGCACCAGTCTTTGGTGTTCAATGGCATCCAACCAACAAGAATATTATTGCTACAGGTTGCCATGATCATATTGTAAGAGTTTTCAACATTAATAATCCAAATGATGCTCCAATTTCAATTCTCAAAGGTCACACTGCTGAAGTTTTCAACGTAACATGGCATCCAACTATTCCTAATGTGTTAGCTTCAGGATCAAATGATAAGACTATTAGAATATGGGACAGTGATACTGGTAATTCCAAAGTGTTGAAAGGGCATACTCACTATGTGAGAGCTTTAGCTTGGAACTATGAGGTTTCTAACATTTTACTCAGTGGTTCTTGGGATGGTACAATCAGAGTTTGGGATACAAAGAAGGAATGCCAAATTGCTGTCTCTAACGATCACCATGCTGACGTCTATGGTTTATCATCTCATCCTGAAAGACCATTCACCTTTGGATCAACTTCAAGAGATACCACAATTAGATTCTGGAGCCTTGATAATATTTCAACAAAATTCTATGTTAAGGCAATTAATATCCAATCACTTGCACCTCTGCTTACCACTCCAAAGAGTCCTTTTGATTCTGATTCTCAGGGAGATGGATTATCTGGGCCGGGAGCTAAACTCGTTAGCACCAAGTTGGCTGAAGCAAAGACAGATGTTGAAAAGCACACCATTCTCTCCGAATATTTCAACTTCCCAAGTACTAGCAGAAACTTGTGGGAACTTGCTAACAGTTTCTTCCAAGGTAAAAAGTACAAATCATCTCTCAAGTCTGATGTTTTGTTCTGTAATGCTATTACTGAAACTGTATATAATAAGGCCAAGGAAATGGAATCCGCTAGATATAAGAATAAGGGTACAGGAGCTGCACAAAGAGTGGCCGAGCAATTAAAGGAAGCTGCAAAACTTTACCTTAAAATTGGTAAGGTAAGAAATTATTGCGAAATCATGTGTGAGGTTGGAGAATGGGAAAAAGCTCTTTCAGTTGCTCCATCTGTTTCAATTGATTATTGGAAAGATCTGACAGCCAAGTATACTAAACAACTAGCTGAGAATGAAAGCGAAGATGTTATTCCATACTACATTGCAACATCTGAAACTGATAAGCTGCTGAATTATTTCATTAGAAAGAATCAATTGACTGAAGCTTCCATTGTTGCAAGAAGAAGTGCAGAATCAGGTTATCCTAAACCTATCGCCGAACAAACCAAGACGGCCAACCAAGAAGAAAGCTCCGAGAATGCACCTGTAACTATTGAAATGAGAAGAATTGCTGAGTTGCAAGCTAAGAACTTTATGAGAGAATCGAAACCTATTCTGGCAGCTTCTGCATTCCTTTCAATCAAGGATGTTGATAAATGCTTCCATTACCTAGTTAAAGGATGTGAGGGACATTTAGCTTATTCTTTGGCCAAAGCTCTTCTCATAAGAAACACAGACGATAGCATACTTTTGGCGTTCGCAAATGTTTGTACTATGAATGGAGAATGGGATATTGCCTGCGAAACACTTGCACAAGTTAAAAACAGAGAAGAAGCCTCCAAGATGATGTGTAAGCTTCCACCAACTCATCCTCAGAGAGATAATTTGTTCATTAAAGGAGGTTTCCAAACTCCTTCATTCTATGCTGCCCAGGCACCTGCTTTGGAACATGAAAATCCAGCCGAATGCATCAGATTTTATTCATTTGCCTACGATAATATTAATGCTGCCTTAGTTGCTGTGGTAAATTATGAAGAATTATTTGCTGAGCAAGATTGGAACTGGCCACTCATTAGCAGTATACATAATGCTGTTCAATGTATTGATGCATACAAATTGGAAACCATTATGAGGAATAAGATTCTATTCTACTCTAATTTGATTGGTGCTCAACTTGCTTTATGGAAAGAATATTTTGTTATTGCTCCTAAGTTAGCACTCAATGCTAAGGATTGTCTCAAGAATATTCCAAAAGAATTCTTTGCACCAAGACAGTTTGCTGAATATATTTATTGCCTTAGTATGGCTTATTCGGGTGAAATTGATGAGGCTATTAGTATACTTTCTCAAGCTCTTAGCGATACCAATGAAGTACTGGAAGAACAATACAGCAAGCCACTCATTTCATTCAAGAAGAGATTAGAACAAAAAACTTTAGTTCATGAATGGACTCCATCAAATTTAGTAATACCATCAGGATCCAATTTACCTGTTCGTTCAATTGATGGAAAGAGGGCAATAAGTGTCATTTCAAAGAAAGAAGCTCAACCTCCTGTCTTGTTAGAAGATGGTGGCTCAATAATCAGTTTGGCTGAGTCCGTCATGTGGAGAGAAGTCAATGTCTTCTCCCCAACTTGTTCAGGAACTAAGATTTAAAATAAAAATTAACAAAATTTATAAATTACGTAATGTTGTGAGATATGAGAAAAATGGATTGTAACTGTTGAATTTGTCAATGGTTTTCTCTTATCCACATTAGACTGAGTTTTACCTTTTATGAGACTGTTCAAGATATTAGTGAAGTGAGATTTGTCATCCTTTCAATATATTTATTGAGACTTTGACAGAATTCATTCGAGAGGCAACACGTTTTAAATCTGTTTTCAAAATCATCTAGACATCATTAAGCATTGAAATTAATAAATCTAATGACCGTCATGTGGCGAGAAGTCAAATGTCTTCTCCCCGACTTGTTCACTTGTTCAGGAACTAAGATTTGATATTAATTATATTAACCAAATTTATAAATTAACATGTAATCAATAAATATTTTCAATCCATTTTTCTCATATCTCAATTCTGCCATTGTAAAACTTGTTTGATTAATTACAATTTCAAACATGACTCCTTCAATTTGTTTTGAAAGAATCATTTTGTTCTCTGTTCTTTCTATTATATTCCAATTTGAATGATTGTGTGACAATAATAATGAAACCATCTCTTTCCATTCATCAACATCTACATTATTAATTACTCTAATCTTATCAAGCACAACAGAGTTATCAAAAACTTTTAAAGTACACGGATAACTATTGATCATTACAAAAATCCATCCCGATCAATAGATCTTTACAACTCTACAAACTTACAAAATATTATTATTCCAACAACCCATCAAACTGTGTGCTTTATCCAAAGGTGCAGAATTTGAACGACTCATTGGATATGTTCCAATTGGACTGAATGGTGAACTGAGTGGATTTACTGCATCTCCTGGATGAACACTTGAAGAGGTGGTAGACGAAAGTGTGGGTGTTTGATAGTTAGGATACATTTTTTGATAAAGATTCTGGTGCTGGTTTTCCTTTGTGGTTGTTTTAAATATATTGCCATGTAACTTTTTGGGTTAATTCCCAAAATGGGCCTCTTTTGGTTGAGTAGTACTTTTGGTGTTTGTAAAACAGAAATGTAGTTATTAAAATATGATGATATTCAAAGATTATTAAATGTAAATATTGCATATTTTACAAAATCCATATTTGGAACGAATACAATAAATAACAATTAATCAGATTTAACCTTTGGTTTTCTGTAAAGCAAAAAGCTAAGTAAAAGACAACAGGTTCCCAAAATTTGCATCACCACCGAGAGATCACTAAAGAACTTGAAGGCAACAAGTCCACTTCTTTTGAAATATGTAGAAATTATGGAAATTATTAATATTTGAACTGCAATTCCCAGATATTTGTTAATGGTAGTGGCGATTGGTATTTCCTTACTTTCAAAATAGTTCTCCACTGAAATTCCATGGGTTATTGATAGCTTGCTTGGATCTGAAATTAAAATACTTTCCAATAGAGATAGGATTGTTGGAATGAAAATTGTAATTCCGAACACAAATTGATCTCTCACGCTCCTAACTACCTGTTGATATCCTATATAATTGAAAGGCAGTGAATTCATGAATAAAATTGCAAGATAAATTAGTAAAGTGATGAAATGGAAAGATATTGAACCAATGGTAGGCTTAATTTCAACTCTAGAAGAGGAAATAAATTTCACAAACCACATATTATCACTCTTATTAATATTCATCAAGAAGAGTCCTTTCAGAATGATATAGAATGCAATTAATAATGGATTAAAATTCATAATTAGTAAGTAATACAGTATCAGATTGGAATTTTCATGAATTCTTGCACTGAAACACAAATTAGCCCAATTACTTAGAGTGTGAGAAATTGAGTAGATAAAACTTGGATATTTAGAACTCGATCCAAACATGAAGAGTTTGTAAAATACAGTCAATTCCAATCCTTCGTCTTCCTCCTCAAGATTCAGTGGTTCATCCTCCTCCTCAGTTTGCTCATATGTTTTCACACTTTCATTATTGAATTCAATTTTACAAATGAGTAAAACTCCAACTATTGAATCAATAATTCCCAAAACAACCCAAAAAACTCCCAACTGAAACATTGCCATAAAATCTGAAACATATTGAAATTTGCTAACATTTAAAACTAGCAAACCACTCATCCAAAAAGCAATCATTTCAATAAAACTAATTTTCTTTCCATATGCTTGTTGTAAAATGGTTTGATTAATAACCTTTCCAAATCCCTGAATAAAACCAATCAAACAAACAAATGAATAATATCGTAAAGTCTTGACAGAATCGTGAACATCCCAATCAGTATCATTAATTGCAGATTCTGAATATGCCAAATCATGTTTAACAACTCGAACCATTTCCGAATAACAATAATAATTAGAAAGTACTCCACCAATATTATAAATAATTAAACATGTCATTAGAATAATCTTTCGGTATGATGAATTGTCAAGGAGAGGAATTAATTGTGAAATGAGAATGTCACTTGTGATGATCATTGACACGTAGAGAAGGAATGGTGTAATGGATTTAGCAGAAACTATCGACAAGACAAAGAGTATCAATAAATGACCAAACATTAAATGGCAACAGGATAGCAATTGATAAACTTGTGAGTGAAAGGATTGATGATGGTTTCGAATCATTTTTTTGAAAGATGTGAAAAGAATTGCTCTATCGGAATTAAAAACTAGGGTTATCAATTCAATGATAATTTACTTATTGGCAAGGTATTTACCAAGGAAGAATGAAGCAGCAGCAACAATAGAAATACAAGCAAGAGGTTTCAATGGACAAGTCTTTTGACAAGTTTGTGGCTTAGCTGACTTGAATCCAAAACAACAACCACCAGATGATGGAGCAGATTCAGTAGATTCAGGTTGAGTAATTCCATGTCTAGAATCATCATCAACATAATATTTAGCAAATAAATCATTTTGAATCCACAATAACTTGTTAAAAGCTTGGACAGTCTTGGCTCTTTGTTCTTCATTCAATTGTGGACACATAGCAATAGTACCCAACAAGACATCGGAAACATAACCAAACAAAGCATTAATGTGAATATAATCGATAACAATATCCTTGTTACCAGCCTTAGTTGTGTGGATTTTACCAACCCAATCCAAATATTTAACAAGAGCAGGATCAGAGTAATCAGCAGTAACCAATTTAACCAAATACTTGCTCAACATATCCTTTCTGAATTTAATTTGTTCACTAGAAGTATCAGACAATTCATCCAAAGTATCTTCCATCTTTCCTTGAAATTTATCATTACGAACCATAAAGGTCTTCTTTGTCACATCAAAACTGAACAACTTTTTATAAACCAAATCAACAACTGTTGGCACGAGTGGAGCCAAAACAGCAGCTGATTCATGAATATACTTGACATCTTCTTCACCGAAACCAACAAACTTGGCAACATAGGCAAATCTATAAGGTAAATCAGTGAATAATCTCTTTTCTTCGATAACTTCCATTGTGTATTAGTGTTGTTTTTTTCAACTTGGTAATTTGTTAGCCTTGGTTAAATAGGCTTTGTTACTCAGCATATCGAGATGACCTTACTCATACTTGTTGAACAAGATGAACCATTTGCGCGCATGCAAAAGGGGAATATTTTTGAAACGACCACAAAAATAAGTCTAAAAGGAGAAATTGGATCAAAAAAAGGTGGATGTTGAATATTCTGGGTGTTAAGATGTTTTTGTAGATTACAAAGAGAAGGCAATCATTAATTATTTTGATTGAATCGATATCCACAGTTCGTAAATAAGGTGTTATTTTCTCTCTTCAGTAATTACTCATTGAAAATGAACTTCAATATGCATCAAGTTAGAAATTAATTGTCTTAGAATTAAGGAATTTTTCTCAAAATTCACTTAGTAGTTATTGTAAATCCAAATAATTCCTTAACTTTTTTCTTCAATTCTTCAACTTCCTCTAGATTAATGTCAAACCAATTATTAGATATTCGACTGCAATAGTCTTGAATATTCTCCTTGAGATCTCTGGTTGCTAATTGTTTGCTGCCTAAATATTCGACGAAATATTGAAATACTGAAACTAAACTTTTTGGAGAAAAGAGAAAGCCATCATCTATATATTTTACATGATAAGAGAAAAAGTCAAGAGAGTCAAATCGTGGACCATATTTCTCAACAAGCTTTTTCAATGTAGGTAAATAAAGCTCCTCTCTATCGAAATAGTTGTTAAATATTGTTGAAAAAAATTCATGATTTGGTATGGTTGCTCCCCTCTCCATTAATGTTAAAATCAGTTCTGTTTGAGATCGTCTCAACCCTGTGGCATGGATGCACTCACTAATTAAAAAACTGTTATCACTCTCACCTATTAGTTGATTAACATTAGCTCCACACTCATCAACAAAAAATAAGAGTAGGTCATTTGTTTTCTCTTGAACCAAAAACTTTGAAAGGTAATTCATTTCCAATCCATATTCGTTATGAATTCTCCTTAAAATCCCAATAATATTACATGACTCTGGGTCACTATTTCTAATAATATTATCAATAAATATTTTAGGAGAAAATTGTTGGTACTTTTGGACTTCCAATACTTTCAAGTAAAATTCAATACATTCCCAATTTCCTCGTACATATAAGAATAGAGAATTGACGTCACGAGCTGCTATGGTTTCAGTAAATTTTGATTGCTTTCTATCTCTTATTAAAGTTACAAATTTGGTTACAATTTCAATGTCTTCTGCCTTTGTCATGTCTGCAGAATTTAAAAGTGTTACAATAAAATAATCTGGAACACCTTTCTTCCCACATGCTACGAGCTCCTTTTTGAATTTTTCAAAGAGCCCTAGAGATTTATCATTAAAAACTCTTATAAGTTTCATTTTAAAAATTCGCTCTATACAGTCTAATATTGGTGTTTCACATTCATTGAAAAAGAAATCTAGCATATAATATGCAAAATCTCTCCATTTTTGATCTACAACTTTGAAATAATCATATGCATAATGAAATAAGAATAAATTTGCCAAATTTACATGTGCGTAATTGTACCTAGCTATTGATTTTAAATCCTTATGACTTTTGATAAATTTTACAATATCAATCCATTCTGAAATATTGGCTGAAAATCCCATTTGAATAACTCTTCTTAAAACCTCCAGCATAATACGTCTCCTCCTTCTCTCTGTAACAAATTGGCGCGACCTTTTCCAATAAGTTTTTCCAAAAATATCACTATTAGTTTCTCTCCTAAGTTGAAAAGGTTTACGATCAAAAATTAAAATTTGCTCCAATCGTTTTAATTGTTGAGCATAGGACTCTCTTTCCATTTTAAAATTAAACAATGAATCGAGGAATGTATAATGAACCACTCCCACAAATTCACATTCTTCATTCTCTGTAAAGAAGATCTCCTCCTGAAGTAGTGATTTTAGAGTAGCCAACCAAAACATTTCATACTCTCCCAATTCAAACCAATCGGAACAAACAGTGATGACATTATTTTTTAAATATTCTGATGGTGGAATGAATGAAATGATGAGCTGCAGCAATTCTGGAGGAAGATGTTGTGCCATTTTTTCAGAATCTTCTTTAATATTATCTCATATTCTTGTTGGAAGATTACAAAACTTATATCAAAAGACATTCAAAATCTAATAATTCAAAATCTCATTCAGTCAATTGTACCAACCCAATCTTCAAATATAAAAAAGACAATATTCCCAATTCTTGTCAACCGTCCTGTTTTGATTGGGTATTATCGAAATTGTAACACAGGTAATTATCGGAGGTTTAAATTCTATAACTCACAAAATAAAATCAAATAAAAAAATGAAGCGCTTGGCATTGAGCACACAACGACACTGTTTTTCTTCGTCGTTTAATAATACGGCGTCATTTCAAACAATGATGATTGGTTTATTAAAACAACAACAAAATCATCAAGAAGCTACCAACATTAAATCAAATAAGAGTGTTTGTAATTCTGGAGGTGGCTTGCAAATGATGAATAGGTTATTGTCATCCTCTCAGCAGCAGAGAAGGTTTATATTTGATTCCGCATCAAGGATAGCAAAATCCATGATAATGGATGAGCAATCTAATAAGGCACAACAACAGAGAGGATATCACTCAAGGAATGGAAAAAGATCTGCCAATTTTAATGATTCATCAAGTACGGTCGATAATTCGGAAATGGATTTTTCTAATACAACACCAATATCTCTTAATTCTACAAGTATTTCTCACAAATGGAATGTAGTGGAGTTTGATGATCAGGGAAATATTAGAATGTCACAAATTAAGAGGAGTGATTTATACACAAATTATGGGCTACAAGGTAGAGACATTAGAATTTTAGTAAGCAACATGAACTATCCATCAATCTTGCCAAGATCTCAATGTATTATTGTCTCCATTAGCAACATAAGTGCTATCATTACACATGAGAAGCTTTATTTGCTGAAGAGTGATTACACAAACAATCTTGACCCTACCTTTATCAAATTTATTCAACAATTTTTAATTTACTATGCTAAATCTAAGGAAGTGAACAAGTACAGTTTTGACGATACACCTTACGGGTTCTTTGAACAATCGTATGCACTTCCATTCGAGTTTAGAATTCTTGAATGTATTCTCCACAAGGTTTGTGCTACCATAGAAAAGGAGAGAAATGAAATCCAAGAACGAGTTAACGATATTCTTGCTGCACCTGACTATACAAGTGAAGAAGTTCTGTATCAAATTTTGCAAACCAAACAAAAACTCACCCGATTCAAAACTTTTGTGAATGAACTTCATGAGACTATTGAAAATATTTTACAACAAGACGATGACATGGCAACCATGTATTTATCTGAAAAAGTGGCCAATGGAAAACCTAGAGATATCGACAAACATGAGGAAATTGAAATGTTACTTGAAACATATCAAAACAGAGTGGAAAATGTAATCAACTCAATTGATGATATGAGAGAAGATTTAGACGACACTCAAGAATTTCTTGAAGTTTGCTTGGACAGTATTAGAAACAAAATGATGCAAATGGAATTACAATTAGCTATTGCAGCATTTTCACTTACATTTGGTACATTGATGGCTGGTGTATTTGGCATGAATCTGTTGTCTCACTTTGAAGACCATCCATATGCCTTCTATTATACATCAGGATTAATTGCTCTTTCCACACTCTTCTTATTTGTCATTACTCTTTTAGTTTGTAAACGAAAGGGTATTTTCAAGAGTACTTATGTGACTGAAAAACGAAAGGAATTACGTCAAGTTATTACCTCCAAGTTTGGAAGCACTAGTGGAGACAATTAAAACAAAATGATTTTAAAATGATTTTTTTATTTTACAAGAGGGAACCAATATCCAAATTACGAGTTGTTCAACAAATTTGGACTTTTCAAAGTTTCTAATTTTGTCATTTTTTATTTCAATCACTAACAGTTGAACTATCCTTTCAACTCAAAATTCAAAAAGCTCATCATTACTTGATACTCAATTACCACAGTTGTAATCAAGCCCAGCAAGACATCGTCATCATTATTGTAAGCTCAAACTCCAATGAAATGAATTCCACCAAAATTACCAAGTAGGAACACAAAAGCGGACGCCACACAAACAGCTTCGAGTTGCAAAAAGGCAACCTTCAAGAACAACTTGTTCTCCTCCACTCTTATTTCACACACAACCGTTTAAAAAATTTTCAAAAGGCTTCTTTCCTTCCTCTTGATTTAAACGACGCGCCAAAATCTACATCAGAGTTTGAAGAATAATAACATCATCATCATGATTGGAAGAAGTACTAAATTGATTCAATCTAACAAGCGTGTTGCTTCCGTTTTAAAGAAGAATATTTCTCTTTCATCATCTAAGTTGTTCAGTACTTGTGTTAGTGCTTGTTCATCGCATTTGGCTTCACTCGATACTTATACTAATAGACACAATTATCAACCAGAGAATGAAAATGTTCATCTCATGTTGAAGGAATTAGGTTTTAAATCACTTGAAGAAATGGTCAAGACTATTATTCCAAAGTCAATTTTATATGGAGAAGGAGAACGTATGGTTTTATCTTTTGATCAAGATGGAAAGAAGACTGTTTTGAATGGAGAGTCTGATATCTTGGCTGAATTATATAATCATGCTAAACTCAACCAAGTCAAAAAATCATTGATTGGTCAAGGTTATTATGATAACAAGATTCCTAATGTTATTCTTCGTAACATTTTCCAAAATCCAGGCTGGTACACTCCATATACTCCATATCAAGCTGAAATCTCTCAAGGTAGACTTGAATCACTCTTGAATTATCAAACAATGATTTCTGATTTGACTGGTCTTCCAATCGCTAATGCTTCACTTTTGGATGAAGCTACTGCAGCTGCTGAAGCTATGGCTGTTTGTTATAATGCTCATAAGAAGGAAGTTAATGCATTCTTTGTTGCTTCCGATGTGCATCCACAAACTTTGGCTGTTATTCGTGCTCGTGCTGCTCCATTGAATATCAGTGTTGTTGTTGGTGATGCTCTCACTTTTGATTTTGCTGTTAATCGTGTCTGTGGTGCTTTGATTCAATATCCAAATACTACTGGTGCTGTTGTTGATTATGAAAGTGTTGTTAAAAAGGTTCATGATACTGGTGCTTTAACTGTTTTTGCTACTGATTTATTGGCTCTCACTGTTTTAAAGTCACCTGGTGAATTCGGTGCTGATTTGTGCATTGGTAGTGCTCAAAGATTTGGTGTTCCACTCGGTTATGGTGGTCCAAGTGCTGGTTTCTTGTCTGTTAAGGATGATTATAAGAGAATTATTCCAGGTAGAATTATTGGTATCTCTAAGGATGCTCAAGGTAAGACTGCTCTTCGTATGGCTCTCCAAACTAGAGAACAACACATTAGACGTGATAAGGCCACCAGTAACATTTGTACTGCTCAAGCTCTCTTGGCTAATATGGCCTCTATGTATGCTGTTTATCATGGTCCAACTGGTTTGAAGAATATTGCTAACAGAGTTCACGAAATGGCTGTCATTTTGAATAAGGGTATCAAGTCTATGGGTTATACTGTTTCATCTGGACTTTTCTTTGATACTTTCACCGTCTCTGTTTCAAATACTGAAAAGTTCTTGAGTTTTGCCGCTGAAAAGGGATATAACTTTAGAAAGGTTGATGCTCAAACCATTTCTCTCTCAACTGATGAAAGCATTAATATTAACCACTTGAATGAAATTTTGGCTATCTTTGCTTCTTTCAATGGTTCAAAGACTGTCACTGCCAATGATGTTGCTCCAGAAAATTTGATTAGCTCATCATCATTTGCTCGTACTACACCATATTTGACTCACTCCACTTTCAACAAGTATCACACTGAACATGCTATGCTCAGATATATTAAGAAATTGGAAGCTAAGGATTACTCTCTCTGTCACGGTATGATCCCATTGGGTTCTTGCACCATGAAGTTGAATTCTGTTGCTGTTATGACTCCAGTCACTTGGCCAGAATTTGGATCAATTCACCCTCTTGCTCCACTCAACCAAGCTCAAGGATATTTGAGAATGATTGAAGATTTGAAGCAATGGTTGTCTAAGATTACTGGTTTTGATAACTGTTCATTGCAACCAAATGCTGGTTCACAAGGTGAATATGCTGGTTTGTTGGTTATTAAGAAGTATTTGGAAAGCATTGGTCAAGGTCACAGAGATATCTGTTTGATTCCATCATCTGCTCACGGTACTAACCCAGCTTCAGCTGTTATGTGTGGTTTGAAGGTTGTCGTTGTTGAATGTGATAAGCTTGGTAACGTTGATGTTGAAGATTTGAAGCTCAAGATTTCTCAACATAAGGATAAGGTTGCTTCCCTCATGATTACTTATCCATCCACTCATGGTGTCTATGAAGAAAGAGTTCAAGAAATCTGTAACTTGATTCACGAAGCTGGTGCTCAAGTTTACTTGGATGGTGCTAACATGAATGCTCAAGTTGCTCTCACTTCTCCTGGTAAGATTGGTGCTGACGTTTGTCACCTTAACTTACACAAGACCTTTGCTATTCCACACGGTGGTGGTGGTCCAGGTATTGGTCCAATCTGTGTTCGTGCTCACTTGTCACCATTCCTTCCTTCTCACCCAGCTTTCGATGGTACTCAATATGAACTTCCAAACTCTGTTGGTGCTGTTTCTGCTTCTCCATTTGGTAGTGCTAGTGTCTTGCCAATTGTCTGGATGTACATTAGAATGATGGGATCTGAAGGTTTGAGAACTGCTACTAGTGTTGCCATGTTGAATGCTAACTATTTGGCTAAGAAATTGTCTGAACATTACAGAATCTATTACACTGCTGGTAATGGTTTGGTTGCTCACGAATTTATCATTGATTGTAATCCATTCAAGAAGACTACTGGTATTGAAGCTATTGATATTGCTAAGAGATTGATGGACTATGGTTTCCACGCTCCAACCATGTCTTTCCCAATTGGTAATACTTTGATGGTTGAACCAACTGAAAGTGAAGATATTGCTGAATTGGATAGATTCATTGAAGCTATGATTTCCATCAGAAAGGAAATTAGAGATATTGAAGAAGGTAAATCTGATAAGGTTAACAATGTTCTTAAGAATGCTCCTCACACTGCTGATGTTGTTACATCTGATTCATGGGATCGTCCATACAGCAGAGAAGTTGCTGCTTTCCCAACTGAAGCTACTAGAGAAAGAAAGTACTTCCCAACTGTCAGTCGTCTTAATGACTCATATGGTGACAAGAACATTTGTGCTTGTCTTCCAATCGAACAATACAAACATTAAGGAATTTTGAATAAAATTTTGTAAAAATAATTTATAATTAAGCTATTAACAAATTTTTCTTTGTGTCACAATTTGTTTTGAATTCACAAAATGTGCTTTCAGTGGCTGGTTGAAGATTGTCTCCCAAAATGCAAAAGTCCATACCAAGCAAATACTGCTTATCTTCAACTGATTTACATTTAGGAACAGCAAATGAATTGAAAGAAACTGCAGTGTAAGGTATCTCTGTTTGATTTGCCAAATGTACATAATAAGTATTAGTCCAATAGGTCCACAATTTAATGGCCTGATCAAAATATTCTGATGGTGTTTCCACTGCAATATCATTTACATAGAGACATCTTCCATACTTGTCATATGCTGACCAACCAGAGGTGGATAGAGATGGTGGCCAACGTGGAGCATATGCTTCGATTAATTTTTTATACTCTTTCGAATTGGCTTCAGGAAGTTTTTCTCCTAAATATGAAGATTGATTTGGGTCTTCACAACTTGATGCCACCGTTGTTGGTTGAAATGATGAGATGATGAAATTAATCTTGTCAGTTTTGACTCGTTCAGAAATTGTTTTACAAATTTCATCCTTCGAATCTTTACAAACAGTAGGGCTCCACAATAAACTTAATTCAATATATTTCGGTGACTGTCTTTCAATTGGTTTTTCTATCATTCTATAAGAGAGTAATAGAGAAAATCCAATTAGGAAAATAAGTCCCAATACAACAATGCCAACAGTTATTCTACTATTTTCAATCCCGAACACTGAATTTTTTCCATTGCTAGTATTATTATAATGATGATGGCTCAAAAGATCCAACTCGTCATCACTGTCCGAATCAAATAAACCTCCCTTCTCCGATAAATAGACATTTCTCGAATCAATTTCACTGGATGATGTCGGCAAGACTGGTACATATACATCACCCAACTCGAGTAATTCCTGTTCATTATCCAATACTGATGTTGATGCTCCAGGCCGTTGCTGTTCAGTGTTCGAGGTTACAAGTCTTGTTGGTTCTTCGTCATCATCTGATAGTTGTAAAGGCATTTTTTTTGTTTTTTTTAGAATGTTTTTTTAGAATTTGATTGTAATCATCAATAATGCAAGATAACAATTTAAAAGAATATTAGTTAGTGGAATTGTTGATAATTTTTATTTTGTAATGACACCTCCCATAGCACTTGTATGTGTAACGTTTGTGGTGACACAGTTTTTCAATTGAACTCCTTTCATTGATGCGCCTGAGAGATCAGCATTTCTAAGGTTGGAGTTGGATAGATCTGCAAGTTCTAAATCGGATGAGTTGAAATTGGCTCCATTCATATCACAATGTGTAATACTAGCTCCTCGAAGTGAGGCTCCACTGAAATTTACATTTTTACAATTGGCATTCTTGATAATTATTTTGAACATGTGGGCATTGGAAAAGTTACAACCCTCAATGATGGTTTCTCTCATCTCTGAGAAATCGAGAGTGCATCGCGAAAGGTTGGCATTCTTGAGATTTGTTTTGGAAAAGTTTACACTTGACAGGTCTAGTCCACTCAAATCTATACCTGGAAGATTTAATCCTTGGAGTTTATCAATCCACCCTTCCCAGAAGGACAGTTCATTAATGCTTTGATTATATCTTGTCTTGTCAATTCACATTCGAGATTATCATGTAAATTTTTCCTTATTTCACTCAATCGTTCCAGTTCCAATAGTTTTTCAATTTCTTCTGTGAGGGCAGCAAGTCCCCAAAATTTAGATTCCAAATGAACTCCTCTAATATTTACACCATTATTAATTACTAGCTCACCAGATCTCAAATAATTTAAAATTGGTTCAAAGTATTGTGGATTTCTGTCCATCATTACAAAGTATGGTTTCATTGGGTGATTAAAATCTCTAGTCATCTTTTTGAATGGAGAGTTCTTTTGGAACATGACAGATAGCATTGAATCTTTATCCATTGTTAATGTTGATCTTGTTGTAGTAAAGGTTGCTCCATCAAAACTCAATTGAATCCAATCATCATCGTCTTCATCTTCTTCAACAATTACTTGATTACTTTCATTCTTTTTTTGTTCTTCCTTCTCCAGTGTTGACGGAGAAGCCTTTTTCGTTATATCATCCCTTTCTATCATATTCAAATCTGATAGGAGTTTATTTCTTCTCGTATCGGTTATTATTGGTTGAGAGATTGACTTTATCATGTTTGTGATAATCAAATATTTACAGAGTAGGATCTCAGAGTTATTGTTGTAGGTCCTTTCTTTTTAGAGAAGTTATTTCTGGTCATCATGATGAAGTTTAAAACACCATGCCTGAGACCTTTCATCATCAAACCAATCCAATGCGACTTGCTACGTAGTTGATGACGATGCAATTTTTTGTAAACAGTAATTGTGATGTGGCGCCAACAAGAATTTTGCCGTTGCGAATTGAAAAAAAAGCCTCTACTATGATCATCAATTAAAGGCACAATAAAGTATTGTTTTTTATAATTTAATCTACAAATATTGATCGTGAACACACAATAACTTCTGACATCCAGAAAATAGTTGAAAAATATCTATCAATGCTTCATTGATCGCTTCAATTACCATCATCAGGAGATCATGAACGTTACCAAAAACCTAAATTTGTAGCAAAATAGAAAAAATGTCCAACTCTTCATCTTCGTCTGATCCTTCCATTGTTGCTTCTGTCTCATTGAGTGGAACGGGTCAAACCATTGAATTGATCAATGGAAATTTAGTGGAGGCTGAAAATATTGATGTTATTGTTTTTTCTGAAGTGTCTAGTAGTGTTGAATTGTCGGGAACTGAAGTTTTAGCTTTGGGAGGAGAAGAAATTGAAAAACAAGTCAAGTCGTTTATTTCATCGAATGGTCCTTTGGATTCTGCTGATAAAATTGCTCTTGTTGATGGTGGAAATTTGAAGGTTAAACATGTAATATTTGCTGGTATGTAAATTGTGCAAAATCATCATCATTGATTAATTTTCATCGATTGATGATAACATACTTTCATCATTGATTCCGATCAACAAATAATAGCTGGACCAATGTGGAAAGGTGGAAAAAAGAATGAACGTCAAATCATGGAAGAAATTGTAAATGTACGTGTTTAATAGTAGTATCAGTAATTTATAATAGTAATAATAATAGACATGTCTTGAGGAATCTAATAAGAAACAATTTAATAGTATTGGTTTTGATGCTATGTGTACAGACCTTTTCGGATTCCCAACTGAAAGAAGTGCAGAAGCTATTGTTAATGCAGTTTTCAACTGGTGTCACTTTAGATCCTTCTCCTATTGTAATACTATCAAAATTTTCATTCATGAGGCTGAAAAGATGAAAGTTTTTGCTCAATGTTTAGATTTGGCCTATCAAGCATATTCCAATGTTGGAAAATCTGCTCCTCCTGAAACAACAAGTGATGATTCCTCAATTAAAAAGAGAAAGAATGAAGATGAGGCAGTAACATTGCCTAATCAAATAGAAACAAATGAAAATAGTGGAGATGAAGATGATTCTGATGAGGATGCAAATGATTCATTCTCTCGTGATTCTAAACGAGTGAAGGGTGTCAAAAAGTTCTCTAGAAATGCTGCATGGAAGAGAGGACGTCACGAAAATACCATCCTGGCAAAGTCACAGAAATCTCACATTCACGACAAGTCCACAAACATGTCTTTGGTTGGTGACACAATGTCAATCTCAACAAGTATTGCCATGGACGATTTCACTAACATGAACGACGATGCAAATGCTGAAGATGATGCCACCAATTTCGATATGACTTTCCTCTAAACAGTTTTCCACAACTAGGAAATATTAAATAAGTAAATCATGTAATTTATTCTCAACATTTTAACCATCATTCTTCCAAAATGTAAAGAAAAGTAATGAAGAATAACAAACAACAGTCAACAGGATTGGCTAAATAGGTCACTTTAAGAGAGATGATGAACAACTCATGATTCACCAATCAAAGTCAGCTACAAAAAAATACCAGCAAATACATTGCATTGATTTCTATCCTAACTACCTGTATAATAGTACCAACATTATCATCATGAACGGAATTGGAACAGGTAATTATGAATATATTGTCATGTTGTTGGTCTATGTGGTGCTCGCACTGATCACCATCGGATCGTCACTAAAGAAGTGGATAGAAGAGAAGAGAATTTCTTGTTCTAGTTATGAAGTAACTATTGGAAATGTTTTACTTTTTATTGCTTGTATGTTTCTCTCTTTTAAACATTATATTGGAAACAAACCGAAACTATTTTGTTATATGAATATGGAATATTAAAATAGTGAGACTTGGAGTTGTTTCGTTTTTATTATATTTACAGTTAGCCTTCCTTCCAGGTTTAACAAAATCTAGACAATCCAATACACTTTCCAATCAAGAATACGAAAGAATTGCTCAAACTTACTTGGTTACTTGGGAATTACTGTCATTCCTTGGAACCTGTGCTTTATACTCATCATTGACAACATTAATTTACAAGTGGAGAATTTTCCTGAATGGAGATTTGAAAAGTAATGTTGCATTGGTTCTTGGATTGAATTCAAGTTTTGCTTTTATTATTCGTGGTGTTGTCATGGCTTTGGATTCAGTTGGTTATAGATATTTGTCAAGTGGAACTTCAGCTCAAATTGTTTGGAATATTTTCTTCAAGTATATTTGTTGGATTATTCCAGAAATGATTGTTGTGATGTGTATTTTAATTTGTCTTGTTGAAACTGATAGTTTCCACAATGTTTTAGCTGTTATTTATGGAAGAGTTCATGGAAATACAGCCTATGCTGAAGTACCAACTGTTGAAATTGGAGATATTGAAGATGTAATGAAGAATAATCCACCAAATTTATCTGATACTGAGCTAAATGAAATGAAAAATAAGACAACACCCAATGTTAGAGGATCTGTTGGTTCTGTCAATGATGGATATGCTAAATTTGAAGATGAATAAATATATTGAAATTATTGTAAAGTAGGAGAAATTGCATCTCTAACTCCATTGCATTGTTCTTTGGGGATAATCTTATAATATAAATTATCAAAAATAGAGGAATAAAACGAACTAATGGAGGAAATAGTGTTAATGCGTGATTAAGTTTACAATCAAGAAGGGGTTATAGCTCAGTTGGTAGAGCGTCTGCTTTGCATGCAGAAGGTCTAGGGTTCGATTCCCTATGACTCCATTTTTTACTGACTGTTGTTGTTCTACCACTATTACTACTATTTTAAAAATAATTACAATTATTACTACTATGAAAAACTTGTTGGGAAGATGATTGAAGTCATTTCTACCAATTCTGAAACGCAGACTTGAAAGACTTGTGCCAATAATAAGGTGTTGATTTTAGTTCAGCAAAATATTTGGCCAATGTAAGTGTCATATCAGTAAAGGTGTGATTTGCTCCTTTAAAGAGAGGTTTGTCATCTTCCATATGTGAATTTCTAGCCTTTTTCAAAAGACCGTCCTATAGTGCCTCAATAAAGTCTAAGGAAAGTACTTCATTAACATCAATCATTGTGTCAATTCCTCCAATTTCTTCCATTTGCTCTTATTGTTGATGATTGTGGATCTTTTTCAATTTGTATTTTGTAGCTTCTATCTCAAAGGCTTCTTTGGTAGTGATGTATTTAAGTGACAAACTCATTGAAAGTGGCTCATAATCATCTGCTAGAATACCTTCCTTGTGAGTAGTTTTGTTTTCAGATGAAGCCTTCTTCTTCTAGACATTTTAAAAAAAATACCTTTACTTTGTGTCACTCATCATGTCTCTCACGCCAACACGAACAATAACCTTAACAAAGGCTAAGAGGAAAAGCCTACTGAAGAGAGGAAGACACGATGTTTTGGACTTTGTTACACAGTTAAAACGTAAATCAAAGCAATCTCGTCTCAAACAACAACAACAAACTCAACAACATGATCATCCTCCTTCTTATCATTCAAGTGGTTGTCAACACACTACTCAACAAACACCGATTAATTATTCTGCAAACAATAATGATCAAGTACCAAATCAGGCCGAATCTATCCACAACAGCAGTAGTAGTAGTAGTAGTAGTAATATTGGTTCCTCAAGTGGATTGGGCAATAGTAGTAATAATAGTGGTGCTATTTCTCTTCATAATTCTACTGGTGGAATGGGTAATATTATTACTAATAATGGTATTGTAAGCAATTACGGGTTGGAACAGCAAAAGAGATTTTTTGAAGAAAAACTAATCCAGCAACAGAATGAATTCCAAGAAAAACTAGTCCAGCAAGAAATTGAATTTCAAAAAGCTCTCAATGAACAATGCAATCATTTGAAGAGAAAAGTGGAAGAATTAGAAACTTTGGAATCGACTGCCAAAAAGAAATGTACTGAATTGGAAAATCGTATAGCCATCCAGAAGAAGAAAGTTAAGGAGAGAATTGCAAATATTTGGCCTGATGAAGATGATGCAGATGATGATGATCCTAAATCATTCATCCTCAGAGGGATCAGTCACACTCTTACAGATCAACAAGTAACTGATTTCAAAGTATGCAGTCAATTTGGAGTGGCTATTGAGCGTCTAATGGCAATAGCCAAGATAACTGCTATCAATGAGAGTGACTTTAGTGACTTGGAAAAGGCTTTACTAATCCTTACCAATGTGGAAACCCCTAGAACTGCTAAAAAAAGAAAGAAGAGATTCCAAAACTTGAAAAATAGATATTCTCATTTGTTCCAAGAAGAAGGTGCAAGGTGTAATATTGTCTTGGGTTGTGACAATGGTGGCAGTAGCAGTAGTAGTGGTAATGTTGGTACACAAGAATAACATCTTCGGAAAGGAAACGAACGTGATGTTTAGTTCCTGTTGGTTCAGTTCATAGAGTCACAACTGATTGTGTAAATATTGTTTTTTTTAAATTAATAAAATTGATAATTTGCTCACAAGTGACAAAGAGTATTGATTGAGTAGTTCCACACTTGCCAAAACAACATAGAAGAAAAAGAGTAAAACTTGCTCATATCAATCTCACTCTTGAAAAATATATAAATAATATATTATAATTACGAAAATCTGGAAAATAACCACTCTATGCAACTTTACCATCATGTTATACTTCTCAAATAATGTATATGGTTCAATTTTAAGACATTTTGGTGAATATTCTATCTTTCAGTAAGGTAAAGGGTGAAATATCAAGGTTGACTTGGAAGATCAGGACGTGTAGGATAATTTTCTTTATTGCAATTTTAAGGATATCATTAAGGTATTTAAGGTTAATGTGAAGCTGGCGTAGCTCAGTAGGTAGAGCGTTGGTCTAATAAGCCATTGGTCGCCGGTTCGATCCCGTCCGTCAGCAACCATTTTGCAAGTCAGCTTATTGTTTCTTCTTTTTCACTAGTGAGGTTTGTTGATCTCTATCCAATCGTTTCAAACTACTTCCCTTCCTTGGAATTCTAAAACTCTTTGGAAATTTAATCAGATTTACCAATTGACCATTCTTTTTCAAATTATTGATGTGATTTTCAATTTTCACATCATCAAAATCTAGTTTATATTCTAATGATCTAATAGTATTTGAAAATTGTGAAGATGCAACCATATCTAATGAATTGAATGAGAATACCTTACTTCTTTTTAACGAAAGGCTTTCAATTCTGTTAAAATAAGAGCAATTACTAAGATATTCAATAGACAATTCCGTAATATTGTTTGATGATATTTGTAAGTAAGTGAGAAGGGATTCTCTTTCCAAATTTTCGGTGAATTCTATTATGCTCTTGTCATTCAATATTTCTAAGGAGTCTATAGATAAATAAGTTAAATTTTTCAAATATTTTGCGATATAGAGAAGACCGTTCCTTGGAAAGTTAAGGGCTAAACTCAAATACCTCAAAGTATGTGCAAGATGTCCTGAAAACATCTCATCCAAATCTTCAATAGTTAAATTAATTCTGTCAATTCCCTGGTTTAGAGATATGTAGGACAAGTTTTTCAAATGTGAGCTTGTTCCAAGCAATTTGATAGATTTCAAAGAAGTATGGGTAAAGTTAATTTGTTCCAGCTTGGACATGCTCTCCGTGTCAATATCTTGCAGATTTATCTTCCCACTACTTATTCTTATTTCCTTCATTTCTTTCATTTGTGTAATAATCTTGAAACATTTGGGATTTGGATTGCTCACTGAAATATATTGTAAATGTTTCATATTTTCATAAATTATTTTCAATTCTTCTTCTTGTACAACAATGAAAAATGAAAATACCTTCAACTTTGACAAAAGTGGATTACTGGCCACCTTGGCAACTCCATCCTTTGTAATATTTGCCCAAATTATCAATTTCTCTAGATTTCCAATATAAGGACAAGTGGCAATTTCTAATGCAGCACCATAACCACATCCTACTTTTTCACCTTTTAAAAAAAAATTCAAACTCAAAGTACTCAACTGCTCCAATTCTTTACATTTAAACAATTGAATCAATCCATCACCAATATACGGCAACTCCAAGACAGCACTGCCCAAACTCAATGCTTTCAAACTTTTCATCTCTGATAAATTCTCACAAAATTCCATCAATTGTTCTTGGTTTTCCAATAATAAACACAGAGATTGAATATTCTGCACCTTGAATGATAGTGATCGGAATAAATTAACCAACAATGAACCTTTTACGCTTACAGTACCAAATAATTTACTTTTCATTACTTCGGATCGCCATTGTTTTGATAGGAGAGAACAGGCAATGATTTGTTTCCATGGTAGAAATTGTAAAATATGAAAGCAAATATCTCCTGGTAGGAACACACTTTCATTTGAAGACATTTTTTCTTATTTTTGTAAAGAGTTTGTAATTTAGAATGTGAAGGATTCTGAATACAGCTGTTTTAAATATCAGAAATTATACAGGTGCTGTAGTCTTTTTGTTTTAAGGTCCTACTTTTTATTACTTGTTACTTAATCACATTTGGATGTCAAATGCTAATGAAAAATTCTCGCAAATTGTGCTACACCATTCTAACAACTATTAACATGTTGTGAGTTGCATATTTCCACAATATTGAAGGAGCTATCCTGTGTAACCTTACTCATTGACTGGTCCATTCTAGTTCTGTAATTCAATAGACCGTTTCTTAAATCAATATTTCCATTATAAGCTTTTGTAAAGAGCATATCTAATGAATTGAGAACATTGTTGGTGATTTGAGAATCTCCTGGACATTTTTCTAAATGTTCGTAAAGTAAACTCTTGGATTGGTTGACTTTTTCTACTAGGGATGCTGAATTACTATTCGAATCTAATTGTTCAAATACTGAGAATGCATTTTCAAAGTTCTTGTACTTGACATTTTCCTTTTGTTGCTCCAATTCATACCTTTCGAATAAGAAAAATATTTCAGTTTTAAAATAGGAAACTTACATCCACTCATCTTTGGAGAATGAATTCTCCTTAATTACCTGATAAACTGTTGAAATATTTGGAAGGAAAATTTCGTTCTCTATCTCAATTCTTTCCATTGGACGAGTGACAAACAAAGTTTTGGCGCCATATTCCAAAGATTTTGAATCTGCAAGAATTTGAATATTGTAATGTCTACTCAATGTACATAATTTCTCAGCATTTGAAAGTAGAGAACCAACAATCGAATAGAATCTCAAAGAATTGGTTCCCAAATTTCCAACATTGGCCTTTCCTGTTGTAATTCCAATACAAATTGACAATTTTTCATAATCTGATAAAAAGCTCGATAATGATTTGGATATTTTCAAAGCTGCTTCCAAAGCCTGAATGTTAGATTTCTTCTTTCCTGTCACGAATGATATCTGATATTGATCAATGCTAAGAATTTGCAAGTCGGCTTGCATGGTCTTTGCAAGTGCGCTCAATCCAGAGGCAATCTTTGAAAATAACTGAGCTATTTCAATTGTGGAGAGGCTCTTACACATTTCAGAGATCTTTACAAGGACAATACTTGCTTCCTTTTCTGAGAGTCCTAATTTGAAGAGTGAGGTTCGATCTTCATTGTTTCGGAAACTTCCGTCGTGTGAGGAGGAAAGTCTACTTGATGTTTCGATGCCATCTTTGGATTCTCTGGTTGAGATTTGTTTCTTGATTGATTCACTGGCTTGGCTTTCCATATTCTTTTGTTTTGGAGTTTCTTCTCCGCTTTCAGATGAGTTCTCCATATTCCTTAATTGGTTAAAAATGGATTCTGGTAAAAAGCTTTTGAATTCATTGAGCCAAACTACCATTTCATGCAAATCTTCGTACATGACATCAATTTCCTTGAATCTACTCGAAGTAAAATGAACACTTGTTAAATCAAATTTTTTGATTTTCATAAATTGTTTCTCTAAATATTTCAATGGCTCAGTAATCATATATCCAATCAGGACACTTGTCAATAAACCAACTATAATCACAAATACAGCAACACCTACTGATATAGCAGTGTTAATATTCACAGTTCTGGAAATATCATCCGCGTAGACAACAAGGAAAACATTCCAAACAATGTTTTCTAATTTGAATTCCATTCTTGATACATAGTAATCAATTCCAAGACTTTGTATTTCAAAGGTGCTTGGAGATTTTGAAACGCCTCCGTATTTGTATCGAATGTCACTCATCAAAATACCTGAATCCTTATCTGTCAAATTAAATAAGGGAACTCGAGATACCTTATCTAAGGCTGTGGTGTTGATTGAACCACCAATAACTAAGTCATTAGGTTCAGATACTAACACATACCCTCTTTCATAAATCTTCAAGTTATAGGAGTAGTCTGATTAACTACAATATCCAGTAAACTACCTGTCGAAACACTCGCATTCCATTGTTCGATACCAACCGAATCTCTATGTTTGATATAAACAGTAAAAGTTTCTTCTGGATAACCTTTTGTAAAGAATGTCAAATTAAAGTAACCATACATCTCAGTAGGATAAAACACTCCAACACTCGATGGTCTATAAATATTATTCTTCTCAAACAAATACGAAAGTGGTGGCTGTCTATCAATAATTCCCAACTTGAAATCTGACGCAATGCTCTTTGCCAATCCTGAACTAGGTGCAATCTGGCTCTCCAAAAAGACCAATATCTTTCTACCAACTTGATTGATCAAATTTGTGGTCAACTCATTAACAGCTGTTCTCGATCCAATAAACGAAGCCAACCAAATAAATAAAGAACAAAGAAAAAGTAAGGAGACAATGAGGAGGATTATTACAATTCTCATGGAAAAGCAACCACCAAAGAAAACCTTCTTTTTAGGAAGGACAATGTCTGAGGAATCGTTGGTGGTTTGATTGTTTAGTAAATCTTGCTTTTCGTTGGAGGGAGAAATTTTGGGCATTTCTGGTTGACTTGATTTTTTTGTTATGTTTTTTGATTTGGTTAGGTATTGAGAATAATGAATTGATTACATCAAATTGATGTTCATTGGTTTCGATTGACTTGATGGGAAGTGAAGGTTAAAGTGCCAGCTGTCAATACATGTAATAATACATGGGTTGTCGGCTTTTTAATTATGATGATGGACAAAGAAGTGGTCTTTCTCTTTCAAAATTTCATTATAGCTTACCATTGACTTTAAATATATAAAGCACTTTAAGGGAATGTCAATCTCTATCTAAATAAAAATTGAAATGTTTTGTAAGTTTCAACTACAACACTCGTGATATCTATTGTTAACCGTTTCTCAAATTGTTAATCTTCTTTCCTTAATGATGTAAATAATAGAAAAAATTAGAAACTCTAGGCAAATTTTTATTGAACTTTACAAAATATTTAATAGTGAAAAATTTATCGTACAGAAACTTTAAGATGTGAACATGCCTTTCCTTCAAATCTTTGATATCATTTCTTGAATATATTGAGAAATCATTTCTCTTCTTCCTCAGTAAACATTCTTCCAGATCCATACGGAGCAGAAAAGTCCATAAATTTTGGTAATTTATCTGGAATGTCTATAACTCGATTTTCATAATTGACATGACATATTGGTTGAAAGAATGCATCCTTCTTAACAACTTCCTCACCAGGACAGAATGCATTCTTCATTTCATCATAACAACAACCCATAGTTGACACGATTGGTCCACCTGTCAAATGTTGTGCCACAAATCCATTACATTCTGCACAATACATTCCATTAAATTTTTCAGAGAATGGAACTATTTTCAATAATTGATCAGTTGTGAATCCAGTTTTTGTTTTCCATTTGAATCCATTCGGTGGTACAGCAACGACTAAACTAACAGGTGCTCCAGTGCCTTTTCTACACATTCTACAATGACATAGAACAGTGAAAAGTGGTTTTTCGGAAACTTCGAACATTAATTTACCACAATTGCATGAACCAGTTTTCAAAATGCTTGTTTGAGGTGTGTGAATGGTTTCCGATTGATTTTCAGACATTTTTTTGTTTCTATTTATTTTATTAAAAAATAGAAAATGTAAAATAAGGGCGGAATTAATCAAATGGCAAAGCACCGACGAGAGGGTAGTTATTTCTTGTTGAACGGACAATATGGTCAATCAATTCGAAAATTCAACACCTTAATGATGAAACTCTCAATCGATTGGTTAGAACCGTAATAATCAGTCAAATTTGTAAATCAAAGATTCTCCTCATCGACTCCGACAGGCATGAAAATTGTCCCATTAGCACTCATCATTCCATGTAGTAGTAACCTCATTACTGCATTATCTGCAAAACGTTATCTTCCGTATCTTTCAAATTCGAAATTAATTTTAATATTTAAAAACAATTTGAAAAAAAACAAAAAACAATGGAAAGCATTCAAAAAATCATTTCATCACTCACCAACAAGGAACATTCAACAACACTGATCGGAGCAGGATTAGGTGCTTTAGCTGTGGGTGGTTTGATCAAACTCTATCAAAAATTGTATGCTCCCATCACTATAAAGAATATTAGAATTTTCCCAATTAAATCATGTAGAGGATTTGAAGTCAAGGAGTGGGAGATTGGTGAATATGGATTCTTGTATGATCGTGCCTGGATGGTTATCAAGGAGGATAATAATAATTTTGTTACTCAGAGAGAAACTCCTTCGATGGTTTTGATTGGAACAAGTATTGATTTGAAAAAGGGAGAATTGAAGGTTAGCTTCCCTGGATCTGATGATTTCTCAGTGAAATATATTGAAAATATTCAGATTAATGATGAAAATAAGGATAGAGTGAAAAATGTCACTATTTGGAAATATCCTGTCAATGCTTTTGATTGTGGAGATGAAATTGCCAAGTGGTTGTCAAAGAATTTGAAAGTTTCAGTTCGTTTGGTTCAAGTTATTGATAAGTTTACTGATTTAAGAAGTGATAAATCTGTAGAAATTCAAACTCATCACAGACCTGCTGAACCAGAAGTTCTCCAACCATTCATTGATGAAAAGAAGGAATTTACACATGTTGCTCAATTTGCAGATGGTTATCCATTCTTATTAACCTCTGAAAATTCAGTCAGCGATTTTAACAAGAAGGTCATTCAAGATCAATCAAATCTTTTCACAAGATATTTCAAAACCTTCCTCTATGATTTATTTGGAGCTTATTCATATATTAGTAATTGGAATTTCCGTGGAAATATTGTAATCTCATCACCATCTATTTCACCATACGATGAAGAAAAGTATAGAGAAATTGAAATTAATGGAGTTACATTCTATGGTGTTAAGAGATGTTCAAGATGTACCATGCCATCTGTTGATGTTGATTCAGGTGTCAAGAAGAGTTTCATTATTGATTCATTGAACAAACATCGTTTCTGTGAAATTATTGATGGAACAGTGTTTGGTATGAATTTGTGTCATAATAAGAAGAGTTCAGGAAGAAAGATTTCTGTTGGTCAAAGAGTCACTCTCAAACAAGTTGCCTTTGTTCAATAAACTATTTCCAATAACAACAGAAGAAAGACCTCGCTCAAGAAACATTCCAAAGGAAAGTAGATGATGAACCAACACACAATTATTATTATTTATGAATTTTTTATTCTCATCATTATCATACGATTAATGATTGTATCAAAATTGTTATTCTTGTTGGAAAGAAGAAACTTGTTACTTCTTCAAACAACATTTACACATCTTTCTAACAAATTTCAATTTGATCAAATACTTCATCAATTCATATCCTAAAATACCACACATCAACAAGGCATAGGCAATTGCGACCCATTCACCAGGTTCCAAATAGGCCTGTGTAAAATTCAAGTAATAAGTTCTCGTAATTCCTGCTGCACCTGCTTCCTGATAGTACATGAAGAAAATCCAAGTAAAACCAGCAACTACATAGATAATAAAAGAACACATAGCACATGCTGATACATTCATAGTTCCCCAAAAGTATTCTCTATCATTTTGTGATCTGAATGCGAAGAAACCAATGATCCACAATGGAGGAAAGATGAAACCGAGATAGAAGAAGGTAACTGCTACTATACTTTTGGCTGTCCATTCATTGGAATTTTGATGGTAGGTTGTGAAGGTTGATTTTGGTTCTTGAATGGTGACTGTCACTTGGTCTGTCATGATTATGTGTTGTTATTTAATGAAAATAGTTGTTTTATGGTACAGGGTGATGAAGAGGGTGACGATTGTGATGTAATGGAATGTGTATTTTTTTTGAGTTTGATTAATGACAGCCGAAGGGCTGAGAACCTGATTTTGAGGTTGATGGGAAAATTCTGTTTGTTTTTTTACCTATTCGAATTTATCTGGGTGTTGATTGTAAACCAACTGTAAATGAGTATGGAATTTGGAAGAGTTGACATCCAACTGCAAAAATTTCAATTCGATTCTCCAAATTCATTTGTTGACAAAGATGGAAAATTCTCAAAACAAAGTGTTTAAATAACTTTGGAAAAGTGGATGTTCCAAAGTGACAAATTTCCATAACTAGTTTCTTTCCAATTATTCATTTACTTTCGAATACTACCCATTGAAATTCATTTAAATACCAAACTAACTATCCTATTCTCAAAACCAAAAAAAATCAAAGTGATCAAAGTGATTAAAATGTTCAAATCAGTGTGTTGTTGTGTCTTCGTGCTCATCTTGTGTCTTGCATTTGCCAACTGTCAATACAGCAATAATTATGGAAACAATTATGGTTATTATGGTGGTGCTGGTCAAAATTATGGAGTAACAGGTGGTAATTACAATCAATATGCTCAAAATACTCAAGCTTATTCCAATCAAATCAGTGCAGTCAACTATTCACCATATTCAAGTTATGGATCTTATTACACTGGTCCATCTAGTTATGGCACCAATTATGGAAGTGCTTATTCAGCTCCATATTATGGTGGTTATGGCTATGGTGTTCCATATTATGGAGGTTATGGTTATGGTGTTCCATACTATGGTGGATATGGTGGTTATAGATATTGTTAAATAATCAAGAATTTCCTTAATTGTGTGTTGTGCTGTATTTCAAAAAAAAGAGAAGTGAAATAAAGTGAGACTGTTTTGTGAAAATTTCAATTATTTAATGAGTGGAACTTTTTCAATTCCAACAGACATGTTCGTAATCTTGATTTCTAAACGTTCAAATTGCAAACCCTTCCTCAACGACACCTGCCATTCAACTAACCTCCTACATGCATGTCGTTCAAAAAATCATCTTGATGAAGCTTCTTCTCATCATCTCTTAAAAAACAAATCACAAAAAAAACCCAACAGACAAAATCATTCTTATTTTGTTGGTGAGCAAATAAGCAAATATTGTAAATAATAGCTCTCTCAATTCTCTCTCAACAACAACCTTTTGGCGCCAAGAGAATTTCGCACACCAGTTTTTAACCCAATTAATTATTATCGTCTCTAAATCTTGTTGCAATAACAACAACATCATCGGAGGAAAGGAATTTTATAAAAGAAAATGGATCAAGTGTTTAGCTACGAATCTTTTGTTCATGCTACTGCCGGTAGTATTGGTGGACAAGGTAGGTTGTTCATGAGAAAGATAATTGTTATATATGAAGATAAAATCAATTGATCGTGATGATGATGATTTTATTTAAATATTGATAATAGCTGCCATGTCTGCTTTTTATCCTATTGGTATGTAATCAAGAAATGATGATTAATTAATTGATGATGATCATAATTCCGATGCTTTGCTACTAATGATGATTAACAATTAATAATTCATTGACAAATAATAATAGAAATTATCAGAACACACATTCAAGCCAATGAACATCTTAAAGGAAAGACTACTCTCGAAGTATTAAAGATCCTCGTTGAAGAAGATTGAGATAATTGAAAATGATGACACAAATTTGATTTTAATTTCACACAGTTATCACCACTTGTCCATTGTGGGTCATTACAACAAGATATAAGGCTCAAAGAAAGAATGATTCTACTGAAAATGAGGGAATTTTCAAAGGAATGGTCAAAATGGTTAAAGAAGAAGGTATTTCAACATTGTGGAGTGGTGTTCTTGCCAGTATTGTCCTTGTTACAAATCCAATGATTAACTATACTGTATTGTAAGTTTTTAATTGATTTGGAATTATTGGAATTTTATTAGTGATCAAACTAAGAAGCATTATTTGAAATATATGAATCAAAAGAATCTTACTTCTAGTCAATCATTCTTCCTTGGTCTTTTTGCCAAGTTTATTGCCACCATTTTGACCTATCCACTCCAAGTTGCTCAAACTAAATTGAGAACTTCAAAGAAGACAATGACTGAAGAAGAAATTAGAAAGACTGGACACAAGATTTATAAGAATACTTTGGACTGTCTGATTAAAATGTTTAAGGAGGATGGTATTTATGGATGGTATCATGGTTTGATGAATAAGCTTGTACAAACTCTTTTGATGTCTGCATTCCACCTTACCATCTATGATACAATTGTTACTGAAGTTGAAAAGGCCATGGGAGGTAAACATAAATAAACTTGTTTAATTCTACACGAAATTAACAAACACTAGGTCATACTTTGAATTCAACATAGTACAGGTTAGCACGATGCAAGATTTCTGAACTTGACCAAACTCCATTCTTGTTGGTTCTACTCTGTTTCCAACTTTCACTTAGCACGCAAAAAAAATGTCTCGATTCGAAACCATTGCCAAAACTCTGGGCAATAAGAAACTTGCTTTTTTCACAATTTCCCTTCTCCACTTGGTTTCGTCTACCATCATGTTAATGTACTATGTCGGAGTTATTTTCTATTACTTCTATTCCATTACTCATCCTTCCGACAATGAAACTTTTTCCACAATGTCTTCTACTGACCTTTTAACAATTACTGCTATTCGAAAGGTACAAACAGGACCTTCACCAACTGGTATTCTTATTTTCTATGCAATTATTTTCTCCTTTCCAGTGGCTCAACTTGTAGCACTTGTAACTTCAGTTGTTTGGTTAGTTTACAATTTAACGAAACCACAACGAAAGTTATTATTGAATATTTCCATGTTTGGAACAGTCTTACAAGTATTAATTTGTTGTGTGAGCTTTATCTTGTGTTTTTATTTCATTTTCTCAACTCCAATCCCAATCTATTTCATTGTTTCAGTTATTTTCATGGGAGTTTTGGGAATTTGGTCTTTGCTTGCTTGTTTTTTTTGTGCAGCTCAAATTAAGTGGTGGAATTTGGAAGAATTGAGAAGGAAACATGGAAGAAATTATCATGAAAGAACAATTGCTGAGGAACAAGTAGAAGATGATGTTGAATAAAAACAATTATAATCAATTGAGGATTAGTTTAACTTCGAATATAAAGTTTATTGTAAACAATAATAGAAGCTAAAGTAGAAACATAGTTAGTCAAAGTTCGTTTGGAAGTAGATCATGTTCTCGTACTTTGGGTAAGTAGTGAGGTCGCTCTTTTTGAATAAATCCTTGATTGAAAGGTTTAGTTTTTCACAAATTTAAAAAAAATGGATCCATCATAGTAAGTTATTTGTTGCAGAAATGAAATGATTTGAACTTTGTAGTGATTATTTTGTAAAAATACTCTTCCTTGGTAAGTAGGGAAACTAAACTAAACTAAACATGATATTAGGTGATCGTAAAGTTGGAACGAAATCACTTCTCCTTCGTTATTCTGTATGTAAACCACATATTTCACACAAACTTACCCCTTTCTCAGGACAATACCTTCTCAGATACTTATTACTCCGCTCTCGGAGTTGACTTTAAAATTCGTACCATTGAAATGGATGGAAAAACATTGAAATTACAAATATGGAATGCGTAAGTAAGACATTATCATATGATTTACTTAATATTTGATATTAGTCCTAGTCAAGCATTGAAAATGTAAGTGTTTTACAACTCTTGGTGTGAAATAGCTCACAATTGTGAAATAGTGTAAGTCAACCAACCAACCACCACCTTATAAGTTTATTTACCTAATTATCGAACAGCATCCAGGTTATTTCAAAGATGCACACGGTGTATTTATCGCCTACTCAATCACTGACCAATCCTCCTTCGATAATGTCAGTCAATGGATTAATGAAGTTGACAAGGCAGCTCCTGTAGATATTACAAAATTTTTGGTTGGTTGTAAATCAGATCTAACCTCTGAGAGAGTAATTGAACGTTCAGAGGGTGAAGAATTAGCAAACCGGTATGATATGCCATTCATTGAGACGAGTGCAAAATCTTCGGCCAATGTTGAGGAAGCTTTCACAAGAATGGTTTTGGAAATTAAGAAGAATTTGGATAATAAACCTAAAGCAGCAGCAGTAACAAGCACAACAAAATTGTCAGATAAGAAGGCAAAGAAGGAAGGTAATGAGAAGAAATGTATCATTTGTTAATGAACAAATTAATTTTATTAAAAGTTGTTTTTTTTGGGTTAATTAAGAATTGGAAATGTAAATATTGGATCATTGATGGCTCTAAAACATGAAAGTTTGTTTTTCATACCAATAACTATTTTTATCTTTTGGAAAAAATGAATAAATTCGAGTGCCACCCAGTGGACTTGAAATCAGATACAATTCAATACTTTTTCATGAATCAAGTTAGTTGGATTTTAGTGGATTGGGAGACTGAAACTGTAAAGAGTGTTTCACCTGTTGTTTACCCAATCGGTAACAGAGAAAATGTTGATTTTACGTTTACAGTTAAAAGAAGAAAGTCAAAGAATTTCCTTAAAAGAATTTGCCCGCTCATTTACAGAGGTGATTTTAATGGAGGATACAGTGACGCTTTTTTGTTCCATGCTGGAATGGAAAATGAGCTAACAAATGATGAAATCATGTTTCGTGCTCATTCACCAACTAGAATTTCAGATAGTGCAGATTTTGAGCATCCAATCATTTGCTCGTATAGACCATTTCCTTCGAATCCTGATTTGTTTCAAGTTAAATTGTTGTTGACTAAGACTGGGAACCCAAGCAAGGTAGATAACATGTTTGGGTTTGTTTTCAAAATTGTGGAAGAATTCACTGAAAGCAGAAAGAAACTGAAAGAAAGTTTGGAAAATAAGAATTTTACAGATTGTTTCATTGTAAATAAATGGTAAATAGTACAAGCTTGTTATTTATATGTACATTTTAATGTTTTCTTCTGGTAACTTGAATTGTGATGGAGGCAAATTCTTCAACCCTTTCTTTTGGATTGGATTCATATAATTGCAACATTCTACACAGTATCATACAAGCTTCAATCATTTGGGTTAGGCCAATATCGAGCTCTGCTATTTAAACTAGCAACCATAGTTAAAAATAAGGTGGTGGACATTGAGATCACTTCCTTTCATCCTCCTCATCAAGAAGGAAAGAAGAAAAATCATTGTCCGTATAGACAGTATTGAATAGTTGTTGTACATCGTCCCATTCGTGATTGGCTGCTGTTGGTTGTTGCTGTTGTTGAGTGCTGGTATTGTTATTGTTATTGATCATTTCTTGTTCTGCTGACATATGTTGGATTTCACTTAATAAAGTTGAAATACTATTCTCGTAGAGTCTACGTTGTTCTATGGAAGGTTGGTGATTATTGGATGTCATTTCATTTGAAATAAATCTAAAGAATTGACTATTGGATTCGAATCCAGGAACTTTGTATGATGAAGGCATTGAATGAGTATTGAAACTATTGATTAATTCTGAGAGAGAATTGTAGAATGCCTTCTTTTCCAAGATGGATTCCATTTCCTGAATCATATTTCTATGATAGAGATTCACTCTTGGGAATCTCTTTCCTAGCAATTTGACTGCTCTTAAGCCTTTTGCCAATACCATATAATAGTCAATTGGTCCAAGAGGTGAACTTTCATCACAATTTTTTCTTTCACCCTTTTCTATTAATGTTACAATGTACAAGTGAATTTTACAAGCTGCCATGATTGGAGTGACAACCAGAGGAGGTAAAATTATGAAAATTTCAGATTCAGTAGCTTCAATAATTCTCAATGCACTCTCCTCAATTTTGTCTCTCTCCCTATTGACACTAGTTAACATTTTAATCCTCAAGCTGTGGAAAATTATTGATGAGACTACAGTGTAGTTTTTCAATGTTAATCCAGGAGAATCTTTGAGATGAATTCCTCCAATATCCAAAATAACTTCAATCACCTTAATAATGGCCATATAATTGAATTCCGTCAAATCTTGAGAGACCATCAACTTCCAATCAATTGGAAGACTAATTCCCATATATTTTTCGTATAATTCAACCCAATCCAATGTTGTTTCAATCATATTTCCACTAGTTTTTGATAACATTGTGAGATAGGTTGTAAATTTTTTCAAGCATGATTGATACAAAGTCATATTCTGTGTTTCTTGCTCTGACATTTCCTTAAAATAAAAATCAATGCATTGAATATAAAATCGAGCAGTTTTGAATCGACCACATCCTACTTCATAATAAGCCAAAAATCCATAAGCACAAGCTACATAATAATTCGAATGTTCATCAAATAATAAACCCATCAATGTTCTAGCTTCTTTTGCAGTTTCCTCAGCTCCTTCATATCCAAGTGATTGTTCCCAAGTTGCTTTCATAGCTGCAAACATTGCAATCACCTCTTCTCTTCCAGGTAAAATTGAGTTTTTATCAAATAAATACTTTTCCAATTCACTCTTTTCAATCAGACGCATATTATTATGAAGATTTCCAAAATATAATTCCACAACTTGTCTATCATCCAAATGAGGTCGATTAGTTTTCTGATGATGATTAGATCCTCCATTTATAATACTAGTCCCACCACTAGTGCTTGCTGTATTAGAAGTATTAACAGATATTCCACCACTATTATTACTAATCATTGAAGCATCAACACTATTCAATGCTATTGATGAATTATAAGAGGAAGAAGATGGAGTTACTATATTAGTAGTAGTGGCAGAAGAAGAATTTCCTTGAACAAGTGATGATGATGATCCCTCTGATGATAATGCCGAGGCTTTACTTCTATTCTTCATATTTCCTCCCTTCTTCTTTGGTGTATGATATTCACAAGTACTTCCTCTAGAGGCACATCCAGTACAAGCCGGAAGTTTTCTATCACACTAAACACAAATCCAAAATATCCAAATAATCAAAGATGACCAATTTTACAAAGATGATCAAAAAAACATGTTGATAATAAACTTTGAATTATTCAAACTATGTGAAACAAACCTTTCTGTACCATTTATATTATTTTAATAATTTAATAATTAAAAAAGAATACATACCGATGGAGCTTTCTACAACCCAAACAAGCTATTGGATGCAGTGGTGTTGTTGATGAATCAGCAGCACTAGCATCACTTGCAGAGGTAATTCCATCCTCCGATGATTCTTTCGAGGTTGTTTTCATGAAACGTGTTTGAGTGAAGGTGGAGAATTTTTTTCTAATTTGAGTGTGGAACAGAACTTTTTTACACCGGTGTGGAGTTAGTTGTTTTTCAGAGGGAGATTTAAGGAAATTTAATCGTTGTTATTGAGTATTTAATGCTTACAAAACATTTAATATTGTAATATTGAAAAATATTGCACTTTGGAAATAATATTGAATTTGGAAAAACAAAATGATAAAAAAGTAAACATCAATTTATTATTTTTTTTGAAAGCCTTGTCATTTCATGTCACTAATCAGTAACAAAAAATGTCTAAACGTGGAGTGGTGGTTTCACAATCAATGATGACGGCTTTAATACTGTTGTTGCTGCTCATTGTCAATTTTTCTAACTGTATTAGAGTACATTTCGACTTGAGCTATCTGGAAAATGATGAAAGTCAACGATCATGTTATTCCGAGGGTTCATCTTATGTGAGAGGTGATATTTCAGGATTTTCATCACTACCATCATGTGATGCAACAGACAACGACAAATTATTAACACTCCCTCCTGATTCTTGTTCAGGAACTTGTCAAATTTATGATGTTGTTAATAGTTTACAAATTGGTATTTGGAAGAATCAAATTATTCCAACTGTACAATCTATGCTTTCTGATTTGATAACTGTCAAATCTGATTATCGAATGAATAATGATACATTCTTATTGGATTCAGCCAATTCACTTCAATCGAGGTGTCAATACACAACTGAATATGGTGTTCCAATTCAAAGCAAATACAAGACACTTACAAATGAAACTCTGAGTGGTGTGGATTTAGTTGTATTTGTTACAATGAGACCTGTTAGTATGGTGTTTAAGGGGAGTGGAATGATGTGTCTCTCTCAATCAATTAATGGAACCAAGAGACCAGTAATGGGATTGATTAATATTTCGACGAATTATTTCAATTCATTGAATCCTCGTTCGAGAATCATGATGATTCTTCACATGATGGTTTGTATTGGAATTTTATAATATCTAATTTAAACGTCGAATAATTTGATAACTTTCTCAATCATTTGAAAACATTTCCAATCAAATTTAGTATCACATTATGGGGTTCAACTTGAAATCGTTTAAGGAGGCAAATTTGGCTGTTTCATCATTTACAGACACTGCCAATGGAGATAGTAAGAAAATATTCACACTAGCTGCTCCAAAAGCCATTCAACAAATGAGAGCTCACTTCTCTTGTCAATCATCAACAGAATCAGCTGCTAATTATATTTCATTGGAAAATGCAGATGCCATCCTCAATTACAAGTATTTGTACGATATGTCAGAGTATGAAATGGGCAAAACGCCTCTATTGGAATCGAGAATTTTCTTTAATGAAATCATGTCAGGATCCTATTTGTCTAACCCACCATCGGATGGACCTGTTGCTTCAAAGATTTCACTCGCTGTTTTTGATGATTTGGGATATTATAATGTGAATTATACATCAATTGAAAGATTGGAATCAAAATTGGATAGTACATATCGTATCACCAATGATAGATATAATTGGGGTTTATCTCAATCATGTTCCATTGTAACGAAAAGATGTGAAAATTGGGATTCATCTCTGATTGGATATTTTTGTACTTCTGATACTGATTCACAGGGTAACACCAATCCAATGTGTACCTACGACCATTCCTCTAAGGGAACATGTGACATTGCAACATATTCTTCTGCACTGTCTGGATATTATCAACACATCTCTGGAAAGAGTACTTTAGGTGGACGATACGAATACAGAGACTATTGCCCCTTGGTAATCAAAGTTGGTTCTGGTGAATGCTACAAACCAGCAAACAAGCCATCGGATACCTCGCTCATTTCTAGAACTGGACAAGATTACAATTCATATGCTGGATGTTTTATTGGAAACCTAGTATCTCAATCATCTGGTCTTGACTATAGAACTCAAACAGTAACATCCAGATGTTATGAATATTCGTGTGGGCCTCCTGATTTGAATTCTCTTAATGATCCCTCAATTGTAGATACCTATCTATTTATCAAGATTGGTAGTTATTGGCTCAGATGTCCTCAAGAGGGAGGTGAAGCATTGAATCAAGCCAATTCATTTGATGGAAAAATCACTTGTCCAAAAGTAGACACTCTTTGTGCCAAAAACTCAACCCGAGCCAATTATTCTAAAGATATTGCTGACAGAGATAAGAATGCTCGTACTCAAGTGGATATTTGGAAATGGGCAAAGGATTTATCATGGTGGGTTTGGCTTATTATTGGACTTGCTGTTGGTATTGTAATTTTGTTATGTTGTGTTGTGATTGTTTGTTGTTACTGTAGAAAGGTATTCAAAAAGAAAGGTAAATGGGACACAAGTAAGACTGTCAATGCAAGAGAAATGGACATGTATCATTAGGAATGGATTCTAATTGTTGTTGTGAATTTGCATTAATTAAAATTTGAATTTTTAATAAAAATCAAAAAACCTTACCAAAAATATCCTCCTGCTGGCCAAAAATAAAGTCAGGCACTTTTTTGTATCAAACAATATGTTCACGAAAACTGTTCTGTGGTATAATCCATACTTGGACAATATTTCATATATTATTTTCAATAGATTAATATACTTTCAAACATGTTAAAAAACCGTAGATCCCTGTGGTTCAACATTATCATTGAATCACAGCAGCAGCACACAAGAGGTAGGTAGTTACAGTGTGGAATCTATTCTGATGGTTGTTGATATGAAGATAGAATCTCTATTGTAAATGTGATTATATTTTCAGTGTTCATCCAAGCATTTTCTTCGCCCTCCCACAAAAACCAAGCGAGAGCGTTAACAAAGAGAAAATCCACGACCTTTCCATAAAACGGAACTCTAAATGCTGCTCCTGAGTTGATTACTTCTGGGGGCAACAAATTTGTGCTCGAGCTTCAAAACGGTCCTCAAATAACACGAGCGAGCTAAACACGCTACAACATTCTCAAAGACATTCTTTTAACATTCAATAATGAATCTACTCTGCTAGAGGTTGCCCTTCTTGTTTTTCGACAAAGAGCATACTTTCCACAAGCTGCATTGTTCTCATACAACAAGCACAGAGCCTTTGTTTCACAACACATCATTTGCGCCAAACTTCTTCAGTTATATTTATTACCCAACACCCCTTCTATGAAAAAGCCCAAAAAAAAATGCCACGCGACGTAGAAATGAGGGACAGCTACGGTTCCTATAGCGTGACTCTCCAACAATTGGATGACTTGTTGGAAAGTAGAGATGTGTTAGCTCTCAGAGAATTGGGAGGTTCTGAAGGTCTTGCTAACGCTTTAAATACTGATCTTAGAAAAGGTATTCACTTCGCTGAAGAAGCTGACAGACAAGAACAATTTGGTAAGAATGAATATCCAAAGAAACCTATGGTACCTTTGTGGAAACTCTTCCTTGAAGCTATTCAAGATCCACTTCTTATTGTTTTATTAGTATTAGCTGTTGTCTCTATCGTTTTGGGTGTTGCTTTCCCAGAAAGAGAAGAAGACAGACCATTCGGTTGGATTGAAGGTTTTGCCATTGTTTTGGCCGTTTTAATTGTTTCCACTGTTGCCTCTGTTAACGATTGGCAAAAGGAACGTAAATTCAGAGAATTATCAAAGGAAAGCGAAGACATCAAAATTAAAGTTGTCCGTGATGGTGAAACAAGTACTGTACAAATTGGTCAAATTGTAGTTGGTGATATTGTTGAAATTGAACAAGGTGATCAAGTCCCAGCTGATGGTGTTATTTGTGAATATCACGATTTGAAGACTGATGAATCTGTAATGACTGGTGAAACTGATCTTATCAAGAAGAATGACGAAGCTCCATTCCTTCTCTCCGGAACAGTTGTTTCTGAAGGTTATGGTAGAATGTTAGTTACTTGTGTTGGTGTTAACTCCGAATGGGGTAAAACATTGGCAAAGATTACTGCTGATGATGAAGATGACAAGACTCCACTTGAAGCCAAGTTGGATGATTTGGCTACTCTTATTGGTAAATTCGGTGTTGGTTTTGCTGTTGCTACTTTCTGTGTCTTGATGGCTGGTTGGTTGATTAAGAAGATTTGGCAAACCAATGTTGGTACCGATGTTTGGTCTTGGTCTGATATTAGTACTATTGTAGGATTTGTTATTATTTCAGTAACTATTGTCGTCGTTGCTGTTCCAGAAGGTTTACCATTGGCTGTCACTATTTCTTTGGCCTATTCTGTCAAGAAGATGATGAAGGATAACAATCTCGTCAGACACTTGTCAGCTTGTGAAACTATGGGTGGTGCTACTAACATTTGTTCCGATAAGACTGGTACTTTGACTTTGAACGAAATGAGAGTTGTCAAGGCTGTCATTGCAGGTGAAGAATATCTTGATGGTTTGCCAGATAATACTGATGGAATGCATACCAAGGTTGTTCAAGTCCTTTCTCACGGTATTTCTGTCAACTCAAAGGCTTCTTTGAACAAGCCAAAGACTGGTTCCTTGAAGGAATATGAAGTCAGTGGTAACAAGACTGAAGCTTCTCTCTTGATTCTCTTGAAGGATTTGGGTATTGATTATGTTCCAATTAGAAAGCATTATACTGAAAATGATAAGATTGAAAAGTTGTACACCTTCTCATCTGCCAAGAAGAGAATGGCTGTCATTGTCAAGACTGATGAAGGTGCTCATAGATTGTACTTGAAGGGTGCTTCTGAAATTGTTTTGGGTTTGTGTACTAGTCAAATTTTGAAGGATGGTTCAGTTTCTGCTTTGTCCGAATCTGAAAAGAAGAAGTGGATGCAAGATATTGAAAATATGGCTTCTCAAGGTTTGAGAACTTTGACTTTGGCCTATAAGGATTTGAGAGGAAATGAAGATTTCGAAGATCAAGAAGCTATTGAAAATGGTTCTACTTTGATTGCTATTGTCGGTATTAAGGATCCATTGCGTGTGAAGTTATGATGCTGTAGACAATGTATCAAATTGATGATATCTTGCCAAGACTCCAAGTTATGGCTAGATCTTCTCCAACTGATAAGTTTAAGTTAGTTAAGAGACTCAGAGCTCTCGGTGAAGTTGTTGCTGTTACTGGTGACGGTACTAACGATGGTCCTGCTCTTAAGGAAGCTGATGTTGGTTTGAGTATGGGTATTGCTGGTACTCAAATTGCTAAGGAAGCCTCTGATATTATTATTATGGATGATAACTTTAGCTCTATTATCAAGTCTGTCTTGTGGGGAAGAACTATTTATGAAAATATTCGTAAATTCTTAGTCTTCCAATTGACTGTTAACGTTTGTGCTTTGTTGGTTACTGTCATTACTGCTTTGACCTCATTCATTATTAGTCCACCAGCTGGTTCTCATAGTAAGCATATGGATCCTCCATTGACTGCTATCCAACTTTTGTGGGTTAACTTGATCATGGACACCTTTGCTGCTTTGGCCCTCGCAACTGAACCTCCAATTCCAGAATTGTTGGACAGAAAGCCATACGGTAGAAATGATGGTTTGATTACTAAGAATATGTGGATTCACATTATTGGTCAAGGTTTATATCAATTGGTTGTCCTTTTGGGTCTCTACTATACTGGTTATCAATACTTGTGTTATGATGGTAAATGTCTTGCTACTGCTGTTGGAGATTACTCTGCCTCTGAAGTCAACAATACTATTGTTTTCAATGCTTTTGTCTTCTGCCAACTTTTCAACGAACTCAACAGTAGAAAGATTAACAACGAATGGAACATCTTCGAATCCATTCACAAGTCATGGATGTTTATTGTCATCTTCTTCTTCACTGGTATTATGCAAGCAATCATTGTCCAATTCTGTGGTAGATTCACTAACACTGTCCCACTCAACTGGTATCAATGGCTCGTCTGTATTGTATTGGGTATTTTGTGTATTCCATTCAGTTACATCCTCCGTGTTATCGGTCGTATCTGTGTCAAATACTTTAAAATCTGATTCTGAATCACTAATCACTAGTTTTAATTTATTAAATCTAAAATAAAATATTAAAAAAAATAATTTCATGAATATTTACATTAGTCTTTACTGAGCTTTACTGTTTCGACTTCAGTAATGTCCTTTTTTGAAAAACTTATATTGGTTGTGTATTCCTTTGTGATAGCTCCATATTTTTTCGAATATGATTGAGAATTATTGGCTGTCTTGGCGAAGGTTGGTTTTGAAAATCTAGATTCAGCAGGTTCAAAATCTTCTTTCTCTGAGTTTGCTGTTTCTGTATTGCTCTTAGATGGTTGAGTGGTATTAGAATCAGATTTTTGCTTCTTTCTTGAGTAATCCGATTGATAAGATGATGAAGATCTCCTATCCGAATAATCCTTCTCATAATACTTTCTCTTATTCTTTTGGTATGATTGAGAAAATTCATCAGAATCTTCCATTCTTCTCACTAAATTTGCTGGCAATATTGGAAGAATACATTGAGATCCAAATAATTTTTGATTTGTAATTAATGACCTGACAAATTCTCCCAACGAACTATTGAATCGATTATTATAATTAAATTAAGAAAATTTAATAATTAATCGAAAATTAAACTTACATTCTTTTCGTATAAATATTCACAGTATTATTTTCATCATTGACAAAATCTCTAAAATAATCCCACATTTCATCAGGTTGTACAGCAAATCTCACATAAAGCAAGGCCATAGCTTTTGTATTTGTTGACATATCCTTTTGTAACATTCCCTTCAATTGTTTATATGATAATTTCAATGTATGCAACTTGAATAAAAGTGAAAATGCAATACTAGGCTCTGCATTTGTATCTCCATCAGTAAATGGATGAATATATTTAATATTTTTAATTAAATCCAAAACTTCATGATATGTCTTGTATTCATACAATGATTTAAAATAAGGTGATGCCAAAACCTTTTTATATAAATAGGGAGTAATATTCATGGTTGATGAATTTCCCCAAACATTAATCTTGTTTGATTTTTTAATTCTTGGTTGATCCGATGATCCTTGATTGTTGTATGATTGTTCCGATTGTTCATAGTCGTCATATTCCTCGTCATCATCATATTGATCACCACCTCGTGGTTGCTGTTGTTGATTGTGCACCATTTTTTTTTAAATTAATATTTTCTTAAAAAAACAATTTTTGAAGGTGAAGTAAATAACAATAATTAGAAAATTAAATAGTTGTTCAATACTTTACAAAATGTGATTATATTTAATGATTACAAAATCCAATCTTGTTCTGAGAAAACTTTAAAAAAAAATGCAAAAAGCAGTCGACGATTTAATCATCCATACACAAAGTTCCAATAATTCGGAAAATGACGAAACTGGAGAAGAAATTACTTCCCAGCCTCTTACCATCAATCTACTCGAAGAACATTACAAATTAACAATAAGGGAAAAGATGGACCGTTTTCAAAAGAGAGAAATATTATTAGAGGCTATTAAAAAGTATAATTCCTTGGCATCATTTAGTTTTTTGATTGGCAAGACTGCGTGGGAGTATCGAGATCTTTCCAAGGAATTTCTGGCTGATAGGCAGGTTGTTATCGAAGGCTTGAAAAAATCAGTGTACACTTACTCTGAAGTGAGTGATGAGTTGAAGAGGGATAGGGAGGTGATTTTAGCTTCGGTGGAGGGTGATATTATCGATGGATTTTCATTGGTTCCTGATGATTTGAGAGGAGACAGAGAATTTGTTTGTAAAGTATTGGAAAAATCGGCCTTTAGTTTGAAATATGCAAGTGAAGAGTTGAGAAATGATGAAGAAGTAGTATTGAATGCTATTAAAACTTCTGGTTTGGCTCTTCAATTTGCAAGCAATCGATTGAAAAGAGATAGAGATCTTGCTATCAAGGCAATTAAGGGAAGAGCAGAAGTAATGGAATACATTGACTCTGATATCATTAATTCACTTCTTAACGATAGAAATTGTTTAGAGGATATTCTATCAGAAAATCCTTATGCGTTGCGTGATTTTATCTTCCAAGCACGTAGAGTGAATGTTCCCGGAATGGAAAACGATAGAGATTTGTTTAGGATTGCATTTCAGAAAACAAAGGAAGAAAAGTTTTATCATATCATGGGACGTGAATTGAGGGAAGATAAAACTTTCATTTTGGAATTGTTAGATATTACTAAAGAAATTTACAGATATCTGAGTGTGGAATTGAAAAATGATCAAGAAATCAAAGACAAAGCAGAAGTATAAAAGAAGTTTACTTCAAATTTATTGCAACCTAAAGTGAAAATCTCTATGGTAAACTTCATCTGCCCTTATGGAAAGAACCACATCTTTCAAAGTAACTGTATGAGGAACCATGTGATAGTATTCGAGGGCTATTTCTGGAATTGGAACATGCTTGTAATTTCCATTATCTATGGCTTTCATAAATTCTGTATACGAATCAATGGATGCCTCCTCCAAATATTCCAATAATTTGTTAACAAATTTTGGAGAAATGATATTGGAAATCAATATGAACCATGCAAAACTAAACTGTGAAAGAAAAACCAAGACTCTATCCAATCTAGTTGGTTTACACAATTGAAGCCAAATCATTAGATGCATCCTTTCATTTTCAGCCTCCTCAAAAAGAGCATTTGATTCAAAGCATTCCTTGTAGTCCATTTTCAAGACGAATGAAAAATGTTTGATAACTCCCAAGATGAGAGGTGGAATACTAGCTATTGCTTCCAGACACATGGCATGTTGCATATAATCTATACAGTTTTTGGAAAATTATAGTATTAGAAATGGATTATTGGAAAGTACCTACTCTTACCAAAGTATAATTCAATCATTGCTTTGATACACGTTACAATTCCTTTGGCAAGCTTGTCTGTGAAAGTTTTGGGTTCTCGTTTTTCAGTTACATATTTTGATTCAAGATATGATTTCCTTTCGTATAGTTTTCTATGAGGATTATTCAAATTTTCATAAGTTTTTAGAGGAGCATGTTGTTCGTAATGATTTTGAAATGCAATTTCTTCCAACAATTCAGGAGTTGATTCATGACTCAGAGAATAGAAGCAAAATTTCTTTCCGTTGTTGCACCTGTTTAAGCTTGATGTTATTCGAAATTGTTTAATCACTTTTTTCATTTTTTCAATTAATTTGAAACTATTACATATTTAGACATTTACCGAAATATTACTCCAAGAAAGTGGTTTCAGTTTGTGCGAACTAATTGAGTGATGTTTTGTCCTTAATTGATTTTGATGGTTTCTCACAATTTTTTACAACTTTCGAATATCCACTTTCTGTGTTGGAGTAGTACTATTGACATAATCATGTTAGGTTGCTCATCAAAATGATACAATTTAATCTTTCAATTCCTGAAGAGAATGCAGAAGAAAGAACCCTCCAAATGAAGTATGACGAATTGCACAAATACGAAGAGTTACAACCAAAGTACAAGGAGCTGCAAAACTCTGCAAAGAGGAGAAGGAACATTGTGGATCAATGAACCAAATCCTTAAAGAACATTCTCTCATCATCCTAATAATGAGATTGTTAGTGAATTAATCAAGAACTTTCCAATTTTCTTTTGTTCAACAATCGGAAGGATATGTGTGGAGTTTTTATGAAGAAACTTCACAGAAAACCAAAGTGCTCACTCATCGTCCATAATCTTCTCGAATTTGCTACGGTCGTTCAAAAAATCTCAACATTAATTGAACATTTCAATGCACTTAAATATCCGACAATTTACTTTTTCAAACACAAAAAAATTCCCAATGTCCTCCCCATCTTGTTCCAATATTGAATATCGATATGCATTCCTTCATGGATTTGCCTCATCACCTCAAACTGAGAAGGCTGTTCATTTGAAACAATTTATGGAAGATAAATATAATATTGAAATGGTGTGTCCCGATTTGAATGTACCAACTTTTGAAGATCTTACCGTCACAAATATGTTAAATTATTTAAAGGAGGAAATTTTCATTGTTCGGGATGGTGAGGTTAGTGCAATTATTTTGTTAAATAATATTTAATAATATTTAATAATATTGTAAAATGTTAAAATAGAAAAATATTAAATGGAGAGTGGTGGCTAGTTCTCTGGGAGGTTTTACTGCATGTAGATTTGCACAACTTTATCCTGGTATTATTGATTCACTTCTCTTATTAGCTCCAGCATTTGACATTCAAGGAGTTTGGCAATCTTTCATTACACTTGAAAAATGGGAAAAATTAGGAGCTATTCCAGTATTTAATTACAAGTATAATGAGAATAGAAATATCAAATCCTCACATTTGAAAGATTTGTTGGAGCATCCAATATTCCCTTTACCAAAAGAATTGTTGATTAGAAAGGATGATCAAGAAGGCAATCAACGAGTTTTCATCATTCATGGAAGTGAAGATAAAGTTATTCCTTATGGAAATAGTTTGAAATTCGTAAAATCAATTGAAGAAAATGGATTTTCTGAGAGGAGTGTTGAAATTTCTCAAGTTAAGGATGGACATGGCTTGATTAAGGAAGAATCTTTACAATTAATGGAAAAGTACATTACAGAAAAGTGGATGACCAATCATTAAAATTTCCAATGTATATATAATCAATCAATTAGTTTTCTCATAAGTGTGTCGCAATAAACAGTGGCAGTTTCGAATTTCCTTACCTGCACAATGTTATTTTGAGTGAATTTTGCTTGAATTTTGGCAGTGTATTGAGATTTCGTTGGATCAAAGAGGAAAGGACTCCACTCTACACCGCCATCCTCAAATGATCTACATGACCATCACCAATAGATTACAAAAAATCTCCAATTAGCAGTTGGTGCTTTAAAAATTGATAAGAGGATAGTCTTGAGATCATTGAAATTGTTTGGGTCAAATTCTTTGATTCTGGTTTATTTTGATAAATTTACATGAAACATTCTTGAATTTTGTGTTTCCACTCGATTATTCAGACTTGATAATGCCCATCTTTTTCATTCTTTCTTCTGGATTCCATAAAATTTCACTTGCTTCCTCCTGATGTGAATACAAGTACTTATTCTGAATGAAAATGAAAGGTAACCAAAACAATAAACCCAACATGGTTCCCTTAAATGCATTCTCAAAATCTCCAACTGCCAATGTCTTGTTCAATTCCATCAGAACATTGGCACTCATGATCAAATGTGAAAATTGAGGAATTAAATTCATTCCAAGTTTCCACGGGAAAACCACTAATCCCAATCCTCCATAATACATCAATCCAGGTAAGCTAGCATGTACCATCATTCTCGAATAGTTTTCATCTAAAACATGTGAAGAAGCCAAGGCAGCAAGTAATGAATAATTGGCAACTGCACACGAATTAAACATGAGCCATTGTTTGATTTTAATTTTGAGAGCTCCGAGGAAGAAGGATGTGCTTTGGAGTGTGGTGAGGGCCAACAGAGATCGAAGGGCAATTGTGAGATGGGACATTTTTTTATGGATGATATTATATGTGTTGTTGAAAAAACAATGAGACCTTTAATTAAATAGCCAATGAGAAGCTGTTGATTAGTTTTGTTCTAGTTGATTGCAGTTCGAATTTTTGCAAGAATTTCAATCAAATTCAAATTGGATTTTGCTCCAATATCACAAATTAGCAAAAATTAGGAGAAAAATGTTTTGATTGTAACACTTGTTAATCTCATCTGTAAATGCACTGTAGATCACATGTCCTTATTTGTTTGTCAAGTTGTGACATGTTCAAAAAAAATGTCAACACGGAAACCTCTGCTATCACATGATTATCAAACCTCCACACAACGTAAACGAAAACAATTAATCGTAACACTAATTTCAACAATAATAATTTGTTCTGTTTTGGCTATTATTGGAATTGTTGTCATTCCGATTGGTATTTTAAATAGTCAACCACCAGTTTATTGTTACAGTACCGATGAATTAAAATCATTTGAATATGGAACTGTTATTGATATTGAATTAAATAATAATTTGGTATTTAATTTATTCAAAAAAGGAAATTTAATTGGAAAATTCAAATATAGAAGTTGGGCAATTCCTTCGAGAATTGATTTAATAACAAATTTGGATCAAGGAAGTATTGATGGAAGATTAATTTCATTATCTTTGAATACATTTAAAGTGGAATTAAACAAATGCCAAAATTCAAGTGAAATTCCATTTTTATATTTTGGTAAAATTAATTACGATTTGATGAATTACAAAATCTATGATGAAAATAATAATTTAAATTTAATTATTGAAAAATATGACACTGTGTGGAATAATTACAATATTAAATCAACCACTAGTAATACCATTTATGGAACTATTAAAGCAAGTGAAAATACCTATCTCAATAAGAATTGGAAATTAACAATTCAAACCCACAACAATCAAACTCAAATAGATTGGAGAAGAGTACTCTATATTATACCATCCATCTATTACAATACCCGTTACAAATCTTAATAACTAACTAATATATTAATACCAAAATTACATCATTCCATAGAGGAATGAAGAATCCATCCCATTCTTCACATAACCTTACCAAATACAGTACTGTAATCTCCTCCAGTAACTCAACAAACATTGAACAAACCAAATGAAAAGCTCAATATATTAAAGAACCGTTACTCCAAACGTTGCTCTTTAATTTGTCATCAGAAAAAAAAGCCGCCATTTGCTGCTTTGAAAAAACTAACTTTCAAGCAAGAGAAAAAATGCCTCTCGTAACTCCTTCAAACTCGAAACAAAATTTGCAAAACTTGAGGAAGAATAAAACGCCTCTCCCTAAGGCACCTCCACTGGAGGAGGAATTGAAGAGAAGTTTATGCAAGCTTCCGATTGAATTATTGCTGAAAATTTTGGAGTTTTATGGAGGAAAATTCGATCAATCATGTGGATCGAATCGTAAAAAGTTTTTAATGTTGTATTTTGGAAAATTTACTAGGTCGGGCCAAAGAGATTGCAAACCAAAGTTTTTATTTAGAAAATTGGAGCTAGATCCTGCTAAACCTTATCAAAGGTCCGAGTTATTAAGACTGGTTCAATCGATGGGTGCTCACGGAGCAAATATTGTGATGAAACAACCATTTTCAAAATTATTGTTTGATATTGCTGTGGCTGATGAAGAGAAGGCCTTGTCACAAACAAGGAAAACATTGAAATTGCTGCCTATTGATAAAATTACTGGATTGGTTGCAAAACATACATTATTGCCACCTGAGGCACTAAGGATTTGTTTGGAGGCAATGGCAAATACATTGGAAGAGATTCAACTCATACAGGACAAGTATCTCATGTATGATTTTGATGTTTTCAAAAAGATTAAATTCCCCAAGTTGAGAGTATTGAGATGGAAAGGTTATTCATTGAAGAAGGGAGATTTGAAGGAGCAGGACATTATTGATTTTTCAATTAATACCCCTTCTTTGACAACGATAGATATTCAAACTAGTGTTTCATCAGTGTTCAGGTTCGCTGAAGCAATCAAGCATTGGCCAAATTTGAGAACTGTCAGATCAGTTCTTAAGGGTGAAAATGGTGGATCGGCGAATGGATGGGCTACCGTCTACGATACACCACCAGAAAGAGCACAAGCTGAATTCTTTTCAAATCTTGGACCAAAATTAGTGACTCTCAGTCTCGACCACGAATATATTTATCCTGGAATGCTCAAGCGACTTTCCAATCGTTCGATAAGAACAGCAGAATTCATCTCGTGTGGACTTGGTTATTCATTTACTTCTCTGTTAGCAATACCTTCTTTGAAGAAACTCAAACTAGGATTGATTGAAAACGTATCGATTGAGGGCTCTACGGAAGTTGCATGCGAATTGAATGAGCTCATTATTAATCGTTCTCCTCAATTAACAATTGATAGCTTATTCAAATTCAAAGCCCTTAGAAGTCTCACAGTCACAGACCAAGATATTAATGACAGATTTGTAGAAATATTATCAGCTGAATTACCATACTTGGAGTATCTTGATATTAGTGGAAATCCAGTTACAAATAATGGCATTACAATACTTTCTAAAAATTGTAAATATTTGAAATCTATCCGAGCCTCTCAATGCAACATAACCCAAATGTCCCTACCAAAGGAGATTAGAGACAAGATAGTTCCATAAATACATTATAAAATTGATTTAATAAATTAAATAGAACGGTTCTTGTCATTCTTCCTCTGGTGAAATTCATTTTATATTTTGTTATCAAAGTTGTAAAGTTTCAATCAAAGCACCAAATCACTTTTGAGAATAGTATTAAAAAGAGTCAAATTTTAAAAGAATGAATTTTGATAAATGTGCATTGGATAAATTAGGAAATGACATTGACTCAACCGATACCTTCAGCAGCAATAAGACTTTGCTGTTCATCCAAATACTATTTAAACTCATTGCCAACTGCACAATCATAATCCATATCAAAAAAAACAAAATGAAAACAAAATTCATTATAAGCTTGTGCATTGCTCTTGCATTCGCTGCTTTGGTCTTGGCAAATCCAAGTAAACCAGAACCATCCAAGAATGTTGATACTTATGGAGAACATCAACAATTCTGTTACAACAAGTGTACTCACTACAAGACAGTCAAGGGAAAGTGTTCAGATTATGAATGGATTGGTACCAAGAAAGAGTGCTGTGACTGGAAGTTGGTTGGTAAGGGCAAATGTTTGCAATACAAGAGATTCAGCAAGTGTGACAAGTACTCCAAGGCTAGAAAGTTGTGTTTGGGTCATGGTAAGTTAATTTGAAATTTTACAATTTTTGTAAACTTTTTTTCAGGTTACAAACAAGTTTGTGACAAGCACAAGACTGAAAAGTATTGTATCAAGTCTAACTGGAAGAATTTGTGTGAACATAAGGGCAAGAACAATGCTTGTGATGAATATGCTTATCATTTCGTTTGTACCAAGTATGACAAGTCAAATGTCTGTGCTAAATTCATCAATGTTCCAAAGGTCGGATATCACTATAAGAAGAGATGTGCTGAATACAAGCTCGATGCTTACTGTTCTGCCTACAAGCAAGTCTGTAAATGCCAAAAGGGATGGAAGAAGGTTAACGGTAAACATTACAAGGGATGGACTGATACTTATTATCATGCCTTCTGTCAACAAAAGTGTCACAAGATTTGTGCCAAATATACCAAGACTAAGAAGTGTGTCAGATACAATAAGGTTAAATTCAGTCTCAAGAAGGGTTACACTAAGAGATGTGTCAAATTCGTTGATAGAAAGTTCTGTGTTGCTCAAAAGAAGGCTCGTTTCTGTACCAAGTGGAGTCAAAATCAATTCTGTGATTTCAAGAAGAGAGTTCGTGTCTGTGAAAAGTTCAAGGAACGTAAATTCTGTGCCAATTATAAGGCAGTCAACTTCTGTACTCAATACCATCATACCAAATCAAGATGTATCAAGAAGAAGCACTGGAAGAAGTGTGTCAAGAAGTCTCCTGGTTATAAGGTCTGTGCCAAGTATCAATTCGTTGGTGGTCATAAGAAATGTGTCAAATATGGTGAAGAATCAGTTTGTTCAAAGAAGAAGAAGATTTGTTCTCCAATTAAGGTTGACAAGTATGTTCCAGAAAAGAAGGAACACAAGAAGAAGGAACATAAGAAGAAACATGACAATTACATTGAAAAGAAGAATTAATTTTGCTCAATATTTAGAGAATTCTTTTGAAAAATTAACAATTTTGATTTAAATAAACGTGTGTGAGAAACAATTCTGAAGTAATTCAAAATTACATGTTGCTTATTATAGTATTTGGAGAAACTACAATTATTCGAAATTAAACAATGAATCAAGATTTTGTGCTAGGTTGTTTACATCAATCACGTGATTTCATCTCTATCACCAATTAACCAAATTCACTCTCAACAATTCAACAAGTTTAAACTTCCAATGCATTCCTGAAGAATTTCTTTCACGTCATTTCGAACTCTTTATCGAAATATGTCCGCGATCAATGAGCTTTTTGTTGAAAGATCGAAGTTTCATACTGAAATCAATAAAACTTTCTATCAAGAAAAACCAGATTGAATTTTGTTGGAACAGAATTGAGAAATGACTTTGGAATTAGTTATGAGGCAGTTAAGGTAAAATGAAAAGCAACCTTAAACTAATACGCAACGAAGCCATTAAGCTCAATGTCCACACTAATTCTTTGTATAATTTAAGAATTGAGTCTTGCTATAATAATTGCAAACTGTGATTTTATGAATTTCAATTTTGATTTGCAATCAATTTGAGCTTCAATTTTGAAAAATTAACTCCTGCCATAACTCCGAGCAAACCAATTATTATCAATTTTCCTTACAAAAAAATGAATCGACTCATTGTGGACTCACTCTTTGACTTTAACAGAGCCACTGTTAAAAGCTTTTCCTCTATTTTTGAGTTGCATGAGAATGAGAATGAATGCATGCCTGGTTTCAAAAAAGGGATCAAGAAATTGCCCGTACCTGACCTTTATTATGTTACCAGAAGTGAGAATCACTTGCAATTATTGGAAACTATTCGGGAACAATCGGATGGAGTACCTGTCTACTTGTTTGTACCAATGTATGACTCGAAAAATAGAACGAGCAAGTTTGACAAATTGCAACAAGTAATATTTGACAAGATGCCAATTAATTGGATTGAAGTTAGTACTGGAATGATATGTGATTTGAAGGAGAGTAGGAATTTAAGAGAAAAGAATTTGAAAAAGTTGAAAAATGATTTTGGATATAACGAGGAAAGTTTACAAAAATTACAAAATGAATCTGGGGTCATTCTAGCCCAAGGAAAGGAATTTACAATTAAAACTTTGAGTACTCCTGAAGAAGCTATTGAAATTGCAGAAACTTATTACGAAGCATTCTTTGAAGGAGAAGAATTACCAAAAGAAGCAAGTCAATACTATGCTCAATATTTATTGAAATCCAAAGATTATGAATGGGTTCTCGTCAAACAAGATGGAAAAGTTGTTTCTTGTGGACAAGTTATTAAGGGAAAAGAAACTGCTTCTCTATTTTCCATTACCACACGGCCAAACTATCAAGGAAGAGGATATGCTTCCATGGTTGTGACTCTGCTATTAGAAATTGCTCTTTTAAATAATTATCAATATTGTGTATTGCAAGCAACCATGGAAGGAAGACCAATTTATGAAAAGATTGGTTTCGAACACAGATTTGACATTCAAGTTATTGGAACTCTGAGAGATTTGAATCCCATTGTAAACAAGATTGAAAATTGGTTTGGAATTTATGATATTGATTATCAACATTATCATCCTGTTAAATATTATGGTAAAATGATTGGTTCTGCTGTTGTTGGACTTGGTTTGACTGGTTTATTGAGCTATTCACTTGTCAATTATTTAAACAAATGATAAAAGAATATTATTCGAAACAGTTTCAATTTAGAATAAAAAAATGGATGATATTTTCAAGTTGGTTATTTTATCTGCCACCAACGTCGGAAGTGGAAACGTAAGTGAAGAAGATGATAATGGATGATGAAAATAACAAAAACAGATTAGTAAGTTTCTAATAATTTTATTCTTGTTATTAGAAAGATCAAATAGATCCGTATTTAAAAGTAAAGTTGGGAAATGCCTATTCTAAACAAACTAAACCTGTCAAGAGAACACGAAATCCCAAGTTTAATGAAACTTTTGACATTCCGGTAAGTGACTAATTTTCGAATAATTTATTTCGAATATAAATAGTTGGAAAGAAAGGAAACTCATGCAATTGTAGAAGTTTGGGATTATGACATGTTGAGTCAAGACAAGGTAAATAATTTAATAATAATAATTATTCGAAATTGATGATGAATTTTCGCTAGTTTGGTAAGTTATTAGAAACATAAACCAACTTTCTAATATTGTACAGTTGGACATGTTAAAATTCCGATATTAAATGATGGAGAGGATGTAACTTTAAACATGGAAATTGAGGAAAACAAAGGATCGGAAGCACTTTCGTATATAACTTACAAATTTACAATCGAAAGAACGACAAAAGCTGATGATTATGGATCAGTTACAAGTACATTTGATGATTATCCCTATTTTGGAACATTTAGAATATTTGATACATGGGAAATCTCACTAAAAGACTCTGTTCTCTATTTCTATTCACCTTCTCATTTGTATAATGAGAAAATCAATAGAGATTATTTCACAGTTGAAAGAGTTTTGGGAATTATTAGTATGCAAGAGTTTACATTTCATTTGAAATTTCAATCGCAGTTTGAGGACATTCCAAAGGGAGCTCCCAATCCAGGAAATGAAAAAAAGAGAAAGAGAGCCATGTATTCATTGGTGGATGCTGGACAGGATACTCCTCACATGATTAGAAAGCATTTGAGTGCTATGGATTTTGTTTGTTCCTATTTGGAGGAGGGAAGTGGAATATTTCTAACTCAATATACAACTGTCATTGATTCTGGATCGAGTGGTGCCTATGTGGTTACATATTATAGTAATTGTGCATCGAGAAATAGAGAAGTTTATGAGAATTTTATTCAACAATCGACTTTTATCAAGACTGAGAATTTACCTTGGACCGACACTGAGATATTCGAAGGATCATCAATGAAGGTACCATTTGGATTCAAGGTTGGAAGTGAATCGGGAATAGTTTTCATGTTTAGCCCCATTCAGCAATGTTATCAGGATATTATTTGTGACAATTTCATGATTCAATTGTTGGAAACTGGTGCTTCATTGGTCAAGACTGCCACCTTAATCCAGAATCAATTTAAGGAGAGGAAACAATTGGCCATTGTTGAAGATTTAGAATTGATTGATTTGGAATTGGGTTCCAATTTGGTATATGGCTACAGATTCGAGGTAAAGTTTGTTGAGGATCATACACTAACCAATTCTGAGAGAAATATCTCACAAATTGTAATTGTTTTCACTGGTGCCGAATCTAGACAAAAATATGTCTTTAGTTATACGAGTTCTATTGGATTGCAATGTAGAAATTTATTCTTGCAAATGATTGAAAGCTTTTCCTTGTAATATATATGGTCAAATAATATGACAACTAGTAGCCAATTATTTTACCTTCACCATTGAGTAATTGGCAAATATTCTTAATTTGTTCCTCTAATTGATGAATATGTGGAATGAATTTCAAGTAATTCTTCTCCATTGAATTTACCTTCTTAACCTGGCACTGATATTTCAACACTTCAATTGTGGAATTTAATTTCTTCAACTTTCTTTCAATGAGTACAAATTGAGTGCTAGATCCCTCCTCATATAAATCCTCACTTACTGAATCCAGATCTGTAATGATTAATTTCAAACTATTCTTTAGTGAACTAATCTTCATAACATTATCCTTTTGATCATTACTAACACGATGTATATTAGAAAGGACAATATCTTCTCTGTCGTTGAGAATACTTCTCAATTTTTGGAAAACATGTTTACATTCCAATTCCAGTCTCAATCTTTCATTATCTACATTTTCAATTTCATACATGAGAGAATCGGATAAAAGAGAATTCTCATATTGCCAATCTTTGAGCTCTGATTTCAATTGTTCGAATTGAGATTTTAGCTCGTACGCCTTTTGAACGTGTTCTAGATTCTTCTTTTCAAGACGATTTACTTGTCTACTGCTAGGACTTGCCGCTCTCTTGAATGCATCATTGTCCAATCTTGAACTAGCTCTACTGCAATCTTCATTGATTACTCTGCTAGCTCTAGAGATGAGAGGAGATTTAGAATAAATTCTTGAACTGGTGCCAGCTGAGGATGGTCTAATTGGCGATCTCAAATTTTCATTAATTGTTCTAATGATTGATGGTGGTTCACTCTCTCTTGGAGTTTCGAATGTTTGAGACTTTTCATAGCAACACTTACAAGAATCTGAATCGGATTCTTCCTCTTCTGAAGATTCATTTACATTTTCAACCTCAATTAGAGAAACAACATGATGAGGAACATATTTGACATGATATTTAGAGTGCAAGACACAAGTCTTCAAACCACAATTTCTGCATTGATGTGTTGCCTTTACCTGATGGGCAAAATCTCTAAAGCATGTCTCACAACAAAGAAGAAATGGCGTGTTTGAAAATAATCCGTCAAGCTTCATTTTTTTTCTTAATGTTTTTGACATGTTGAGAAAGGAATGTCGGTTTTGTTTGGAAATTTACAGTAGATAAAAAAGAGATACTGGCATTGTTTCTTCTACTAATTGTCTTAGTATTTTTTTCTGAAAAGTAAAATTTGTATAATAGTTTGATTAGAAACAAGTTTGAGTTTGAAATTCTCGTGGAGGATTTGCCAAATGGAATCCGCATTGTATCGAATTTCTGCCAAGCTTTCGGTTTTGACATTATCTCTTCGTAGGAGAGAAAGTATCGTAGAATAGTCAATATATTCTCTAGCTACAAAAGAAGCTGTGGCTATTTTGCAACTATTTTCGTCCTCGCTTTGATATCTATATCTTAGAGTTAAAATCTTTCTTTCAAATGAATCGTCCACATCTTTTGGTGATTCTTTAGGTATTTCCTTAGTTGATTCCTTAGTTGGTGTTGTTGGCGAAATTATTACAACTGGTGTCGATGGTTCTGATGGTTCTTTAGTTGGTGTTGTTGCTTGTACAGGTGTTTCTTTTTGAACATTTGGTGAAGATGCTGATGGTGTAGGATCTACTTTTTTTCTTGGACTTTCTGTTACAAAAGCTCGAGCTCTCTTTTTAAGTGGTACTGGTTCTTCAGAGATTGGTGGATGAGAGGAGAGCTTTACGGTCCATACCCCAGCTCCGTCCTTTTCAATATCGTGTAGCACTGAAGGAAGGTACAGTGAAGAGTTTGTATCACTCACCTCAAACGTATAGTTTGGATCGTTTAACTTTCCAAATACAAGACATTTCTCAGTCAATCTACATTCTTGCTTCTTTGACTTTGGTGTTCGCCCATAACCAAAGATAATTGAACTTCCACCCATCCAATAGCAAAGAGATCCTGGCTCAATTACGTCCATACCCATCATCTTGTACTCCTTCCTTATTGTGTCATCCCTAGAAATTTGAGCAGCATCAAATTGATAATAAATTAATTGACCATAATTTTCAGAATCTCCAATAATAGGTTCCCTTCTCAGTAATTCTAAACCCAACGGTGTTTTGTAGACATCAATTTTCAAGTTAATTGATCTCCCTTTCTTGGAAATAAAACTGAGATAGGCTCTCTTTGTAGATTTTTGCATTTCTAAGAGAATATTTTTTGTTAATTTTTTAGGTAATTCTGGCATTGGTAAGCGTTGGTCTTCATCACTATAATCAGCTATTACATGACCCTTTTTCTCATTATTCACAGCACTACCACTAGATCGTGCGGCCTCTTGCTCACAATTACTTCTCACTTTAGCCAAAATTCTTTTACGTAACTCAGCAGTCTTACTGTGAAATTCTTCCAAATTTTGTTTCTGAATATATTCTAAAATGATATTGGTAAACTCAGCCGAATTTGCTTGTCTTGTAACGAAACCCTCAAAATTCTTTAAATATTGTTCGTACATAGATTTGAGCATTTCTTCAGGTTTTTTCATTAACTCATCATAATTCCTAATTTTTTTGAAAACAAGCTCCCAATCACCTGAATCCATGTATAGAAATCCTCCTTTCTCCAATACTCTGCCATATAAGTGAAAAATATCCAAAGGAACACTCCTCAACATTGGAACTGGACTTGGAAAATCTTCAGTATTCTTATCCAACATGTACTCAAAGAAAAGTTGTAAGAACTGCTTTTCAAGCTGACCCACACCATAATTCGGAACAATACTATAGAACTTTGAATAGTATTCCATAAGGGAATCGATGGCTGTTTCCCTGCTCAAGATTGGTGAGCCAGTTAGTGAAGGTATTGGTTCTGTTATTAATAATTCTGGTTCAATTTCTGTGGATGTTGGTTCAACAATGGATTTTGTTGATTCTCTTGTATTTGATGGTGATGATGGTGATGGCGACGAATCATCTGTTGTTGAATTTTGTGTTGCAGTGCTAATCACCACTTTTGGTGTGATGATAGGTCTCTTAGGCTTTCTAGAAAATTTACTATATAATACTTTAGACCTTCCGATTGGTGGTAATGATGAATCAGGATTATCAGCACCATCCTCTGTTTGAACAAAATCATACAATCCAAATAACCCTTTTCCTAGCACGGAAGGATCCTTTAAATCCTGATGATGAATATCAATAATCATTTCATCTCTTGGTGGTAACAATGTTGTGGTGTCATCACCATTGATAACAATAGTGTTATCATTCGATATCACCTCATCCGAACTATTTCCATTCATCCTTCAATTTTAATATTTTATAATATTCAAATACTACACTCCCCAATAAAAGTTTTGATGAAACAAGGCTTCAATAAAAAACAGAAGAAGGCTTTGTTCGGAAGTTTTGCAAAAAAATTAAATTTTCGTTGTGATGAAAAAGGCTTTTTTTTAAATTCTTATTGTAATCAAGCTTTGTTCAAGCTTTGTGATGATAATATTTTGAAAAAAACCACAACATCACTAGATTCATTCCAATCAGTACTCAAACTCGTGAGGTAATGATTTTGAAACAATACTCTTCCAAATTGTAAACATGAAGATTGCTCTGATTGACCAACCAACATGTTTCCAAATTCTCATTCGACATTTCAAAAATTGCCTCTTTTAAACCATGAAAAATCACCATCATACTCCTTGCCTTTTCCATCTCCATCAACATTTGAACCTTATCAACATGTTGAATCTTTTGAAAATACTTCTCCTTACTTCAATGCAGCCTTCATATAAAACCTCACTTTAGCCTAATTTTTCACTTGCATTCTTTCGTTGTGATCAATATTTTCTAAAAGCTCAAGTAGCCTCAGTAACGGAATTTCGAAAGATTTCAAAGCCCGCCAAATAGTGATGCATTTCAATAAACCGTTGGTTGCGACCAAACTGCGTGATGAACATTAATCAAAAAAAAAGTATCAAAACGTAACGTCTCAATGTAAGTGGAATGTGTTCGAGGTTGTTCTGTAATCAGAGGGTTTTTATTGTTGTGTTGTGTGATTCATAATCAAATCATGTGGTGAAATTTATGGGTGATGTTGATGATATGGATAATGATTTATTGTGATAATACGCAATTACAATTCAACACTTTCAATTTCTGCTGCACAGAAAAATGTTCAACTGTGTTATGAAGGGAAATAGATTTGTGTGGTAGGTGTTTTATTAATTTGTATATATAATTATTTAAAAATCGTATATGATCTCTATTTCGGAAAATAATTAGGAACACACAATTCGATGAAGCTAAAAAGTATTTGACACCTCTTGTACACATCCCAAGAATGGCCTTCGAACTTGCAACTATTCGTAAGTACTAGTATTAGTAGTAGTGTTATTTGACCTTTCATAGCTGCTCTTGCTTCCAACATTTCGGGAGAAACCTCAATGAGAGAGGAAGGTATGCAAGGTATTGAAAATGCTGAAAAGGCCCTCAAAAAAGTATCAAAGAAAGATGATATTCTCAAGATCGTTGAAGAATATAAAACTCTCAACAAAAAGTTGGAAGAAGCTTCCGAAGATTATTATACAGAGAGTGAAAAGTCACATCCAAACTTTTTGGATTTGGAAAAGATGACTTCCGAACAAATTATTTACAATTTTGAACTCGATAATGATGTTTTGGATGGAGAAGCTCACTTGATGAGAGGTATTTTACAATTCCATGCTGGGTCTTACCTTAAAGGTTTATATAACTTGAGAAAGGCTTACATTAAATTTAAAGATGTCTATGCTGCAATTGAAGATACAAAGAATGAACCAAACACATCTGCAAAGTTTATCCACAGTGATCTTATTCATTGTGTTTATTTCGGAATGGGGTAGGTTGTTATTGTGACGTTTTGTGATTGACATTGTAAAGTATTTTCAATTTTATGCTTTCAATTTTGCCACCTGCACTTACTAAAATTTTGAGCGTTCTAGGATTTGATGCTGATAGAGAACAAGGTTTATCTTTTTTAAAGAAGGTACATGATTACGGAGGAAGACAAGTTGGTAATTCCTCATTTATGCTCTGTTTGAATTATTTATTCATTCCAAGAGCTTTGCAAGATAGAGAAAAGAATTTGACTGAAGTTGGACCAATTTTGGAAAGAGTCGGAAAGATTTTACCACAAGGTGGATTTTTCAAGTTCATTAAATCTCACTATGAAAGAAAGAGAGGTGATATTACAGCAGCCATTGAAAGTCTTACACAAGCTGTCGCTATTTGTAGAACTGCTATGGGATCTACACCAAATAACTTCCTCCATGAATTGGGAGTTTGTCACCTCCTCACTCTTAATTTCAGTGATGCCTCTCTTATTTTCTCTGATTTAATTAAGGTTGAAAAAGAATTCGATACCAAGGGTATCTCTGCAATGTTGCTCGCCGTTTGTAAATTGAAATTAGGCGAAAAGGATGTTGCTAACGACTTGATTAAGAATTTAGAAAAGTACATTTCAAAGAACTCTAGAATTGACAAATATACTTTGGAAAAGGTTGATTTGATCAAAACTCTTGGATCTGAAGAAGAAAAACATCTCATGATGCTCGTTTCCAGCTTCCAATATCTTTATTTGAGAAGAGATTTAGCTAATATTGATGAACAACACGCAGAACCACTCTTTGAATTCTTCAATTCTTTATGTGCTGATGTAAAGATTGATGAAAAGAGCAAGATTTATGGAGATGTTGAAGCTGGTATGGCTGTTGTGAAGGGACAATTCTATAGACAAGTTGGTAAGAAGGAAGAAAGTAATGCCGAATTCAAGAAGGCATTGTCTTTTGAAAATAAGGTCAAGATTGAAAAACAATGGATAGCCTTCTCATATTATGAAGTTGCCGAATCTCTCTATTTGAACAATGCCAAGAATGAAACAGATACCAACAAGAAAGTTGAACTGTTAACAGAAGTAAAGAAGAACTTGGAAAAGTGTAATAAGGCTTCTGGTTATCCATTCGAAGAAGTTTTACACTCTCGTGCCAAGTTGGCCGCAAAGCAAGTCGATGCCGAACTCAAAGAGTTAAAGAAGTAAATTATTTTATTATTTAGACAAAACCAAATCCTTCTGAACCAAATCTCAACGCCACAAGCAATCTCTCTCTCAAAACATCTTCAGTGTCATACTCTGGCAAATCCAATTGATTGAAACAAGTGTGAGCTGTTGGTAAACGTTGAGAACCAACGTTTGCTTTTTGAATGCAGAACAATTGATTTTCACCATTAGCACCAATCAATTGGGAGAATCCACCAAGTGGAACCTTACTTGTACCAGTAACAAATTGGAGTAAAAGGGCCTTATCATCCTTTCCGAATGATTCAACAACATTCCAGAACCATTTGATATGGACTGAATCCTTGGTGTAACCATGTCCGTAAATAGTGTTATTCTTCAAGTCTTGAATATCAATATCTGGTAAACCAGAAATGAGCAATTCCAATTCTTGTTCATTGAAAATTTGAATAAGCTTTCTTGGAATAATATCATAGAATGCCTTAAGGAATTGTTCAAGTTGTTTTTCAATGGATTTGGTCATCTTGAGCTCAGTAACTAAACGAACATATTCGGCCTTATTCTCATCTGTAACAGGGATATTCTTACCATTTGGTTTCAATTCAATTTCTTTTGTTTTACCAAATTCATCAAATTCATGAGTGAAAGTGTGGAATAAAACATCTCCAATGCTGTTGGTGAGCATCCACTTGAGATTCTTGTAATAGCTAGGATCAATACTTTCAATATCATGGTAAGTGATTGGAATACCAAGAATATGCTTGTAGAAAGATCTGGTAAAGTGACAATCCAAAGGTTGTTCATTATAGATGGCCATAGCAATTATTCTACCAGTGAATCTGAAATAAGACAAGTGTTCTTGATTGACATAGGATGAAGGGTTTGGATGGTAGGTTGTTCTATCAGCGCATGGTGCAAACAAGGCATAACCAGGATATAACATTTCTCTGGAGAGGGTTGAAAACCATTCTCTCTTTACACCACCAGCGTCATAACCTTCCTCTCCTTCAAATTTGATCTGTAATTTTCCTTTACATTCCTCTGGAAGCAAACCATTAATATAAAAGTAGGAATCAGTGAATATTTGAGATCTTCTGACAGACATTGGAGCAACGCCACCAGTCTTCTTTGATTCTTCCTTCAATTTAGCCTTGAACCAAACGAGCTTATTCTTAAAGTCAACATATTTTGGATACTTCATCATGAGAGAAAGTGTAGAGGTCAGCAATGATGGATTGGCTTCAATTTGTGCATTCAAAATTTCTCTATGTTTTTCAAGGAAATTTTCAATAATAGCTTTGTCGCCAAAGCCCTTGGCGGATGTTGGGGTGTGCTCTTCCATGGAAGAAAGCAATGTCGAGTTCTTTTCTTCCTTTTCTTCACTGAAACCAGATTGGAAAGCAAAGAATGCTTCAATGAATGGGAACAATTCATTATAAGAATTATTATTTCTCTTCTTCTTCAATGAAGACAAGGCTCTTGTCTTTTCATCTGTTTCGTCTCTTTCGATCGGAACTGATGAAAGGAATGAATCAAGAGCTTCCCATACATAATCCAAAGAGTGTTCAGAAAGCAAACTGTGATCAATAAATGGACCTTCAACAGCTTCTCTTTCTTTCTTGTATCTCTTAAGAATGGAACTGTAAATCTTGACAATTCTACAGAATGCCAACTTTTCATTGTCGAATGGCAACAAAGAGTTTGACTTAAAGAGGGTAACCTTGCTGAGACTTTCCTTGACCTTCTTGGCTTCTTCTCTACATTTTGTTGAAAGTTCAACCAAAATTACTTTTCTAATTGGGAGTGAACATGCAATATTATCCAAAATTGATGAAACAAGTTTTAAGGCCTTTTCTTGAACATCTACATCAGGAATCAAAGATATGACATTTCTGATCACAGCCTCGTTATACAAGCCAGTTACATAAGAAATAAGAGTTTCATATTTAGTTTGAGAGGCCTTGTACTTTTCGGTAGTTTCTTCCAATTGTTTAGTCTTTTCAGTGTACTCTGATTGTTCGGTTGTACTACTGCTTCCTTCTTCATTAGTTTCAGATTGTTCAGCAGATGCTTTTCCAGGCAACTTGTTGATTTGTTCTTCGAGAGTAGTCATTGACTTCTTTAACTTATTATTTTCCTCATTCAAAACCTTAACAGACTCACTAATAAACTTGGCACAACTATCCACTAGTTGAATAAATCCAAGGAAAAAGTTAGAAGAAAACATTTTTGGTTGAAGGAGAGACAAAAGCTTGACAAACTTTTCGCCTCTTACCCCTTCAGAGGTTTCAGTAAATTCAATACCTGTAATAATAGGTAAAATGTATGGACCTACTTCACTCTTGCACAAGGATGCAAGCAAATATAATGTACAATTAATTACAACTGGTGGAATCATATTTTCCTCTTTCACAAATACTCCTTCCCTTTGTGGGATGTCACACAAAATCTTCATTCTTTCTGGAATTTGATCTAATGGGGTGTTATAATTCAAAACAATTTCAATTAAAATGTCAACAAGTATCTTTCTTGTTTCCTTGTGAGCCAAACAAATTTTAGAGAAAAATGGTTGTTGAGTGGATGAAAAAGATCTTGTGAGCATATAGAGTCTCAAAAGAAGGACAAGTTCCTTTTCTTTGAAAATTGTTTCTTTTTCTTCCTCCTTTTCATTTTCGATAATTTGTTTTTTGACAGCTTTAGCGAATGCATTTTCTCTCATTGTACCTTCTTGACGTCTATCAATATATTGTTGTTGAGCTCTGATTCTTTGATGTGCTCTAAGTCTTAACTCAGCAGCTTCTCTGGCAAGATCTGGTGTCAACATTGAAATCAAGTCATCATCTGCTTCCAACAAAACTGTTCTACGAAGTTCAGGAGAAAGAGTTGACAAAAATTCGACAGGATTTACAGTATCAGTATTTGAAGTTGTTGGAGGTGGTGGAGGTGGAGGGGTTGTAGGATTGGTTGTTACTGCCTCTGTTGTAGTATTGGTTGTAGTGGTTGGAACTGTAGTGGTTGGTCTAGTAACAGGAGGTGGTCTTCTTGGTCTTTGTTCACGTTCAAAACGTAAAACTTCATTTCTGATTTCATTTGGAAGGGCATCCAAGAAATCTTGGCTGATGGCTGTTTCCTCATTACTAGATGTAGTGTCAATCAATTGGTCATAGTGCATTTCCAATAACTCTTGTCTGATAAAATCAGGCATTTCAGTGAAAAATGCTGGATCAATTGGGAAGTTTTGTTGTCTTGGTTGTTGTGGTTGAGTAGCGACAGGTTCTACTGTTTCTACTGGTTCAACAATGACTTCAGTGGTAGCACTTGATGATGTTGCTGCTTCTGTAACTACTGGTGTGGTAGGCTCCACAGTTGTTGTTGGAGTAGTAGTTACTGGAGTTGCTACTGTTTCAGTGGAAGCAGATGCTTGAGGTTCAGAAGGAACTGCATCACTAGAAGGTGAGCTTGATGCCACATTTGATGATTCTACTATTGGTGGAATAGGTGTTAATTGAATTGGTGTTGTTGGTGTTAATAATTCAGTTTGAGCTTCAACAGAAGTAGTGTTGTTGGTTTGAACAGGTGTAGTCACATCTCCTGAAGTATCCATTTGTGAGTTGTTGTTGTTGGTAGGATTAGAAAGAGAAGAACCTCCACGAATTGGAGTAACTCCAAGACCTGATAAATTACCAAACAATGAATTTCCGAAAATATTATCAAAAGGTCTAGTTGATCCTCTGCTTGGAGTTGGAGTGGTTCTTGATGGTGTTCTTGATGTATCGGAATCAGCCAACAATTCAAGCAACATTTGTTCCAATTCCTGTGGTACTACATCTCTACCTTCACCTCTAATAGCTCCAGTCAAGGCTCCACCAAGTCTTGGATACAAATCTTCACGATTAGGAGTAGAAAATGCAAAGTACTCTCCTGGTGAAAGGTTGAGGAGGCTTCTTCTTGGTTGTGCAGATTGTTGAAGTGGCAAATATGAGTGAGTAATTGGATCTCTTCTTAAAGCACCAACTAAACTTATCATTGATGATCTCAAGTTTTCTTCATTCAAATCTTCTTCATAATCATCATCCAAATCCACTTGATCTTCAAAAACTTCTACCATGTCTCCCATAGCAACTGCTTGACCCACATTTAAAAAGACGTTTTCTATATAATAACAATATTAATTACTATTTGCTATTAATATAATACATACGTTGTTCTTCTCCATCATCGTCATCAGTTTGATCATCATAAATTTCTTCGGATTGATCTTCTTCAGCTTCACCTCCTTCACCTTCTCCATCATCGTCATCGTCTTCTTCTAGTTGAGGTTCATCATCATCTTCATCATCTCCGAGACCCAAACGGCCAGCATTTAATTCTGGTAGGATTGGCATCACTTGTTCTTCATCTACCATTTCTTCATCGTCAGAGTTTTCTTCATCAATAAATGGCTCCATTTTTTTAATTCTATTTATTCTTGGATCTTTTCCGTTTGAGTAAAGCTGTAAGCTTGGTGATATGGCAAGATTATTTGAAGCAAGAAAATTAGTTGCCTCAAAGAATTCTCAAATTCTGCTTTAGATATCATTTATCAATGAGTTGAAATCTAAAAATTTTACTCATTGCGTTTCATTGCAGGTGATATTCAAGGAGGTATTCCAGAAAAGTTCCCAATACGAACGAATAGAAGCTACTACAAAAATACAAAAAAAAGCGGCAAAAATGAAACACAAAGAAGAGAGTCCTTCATCACCAGCACTTTCTGATGATTCCTATGAAATACAAGTGAGAAGAATAGAGGAGCCAGAAGCAACATTGGAAGAGGAAAATATTGCCATACTAAAGGACATCAAGTCTCCAATTAAGGCCGTTTTGTTTGGTATTGATGGAATGATTAGAAATATTAATGAACTCAATTATAAAGTATGGAGTGAAATTTTGATGGAATATGGCTATGAGCTATCTTATCAGGACTATTTGCAATGGTTCTTGTTTGAACATGAAGCTAATGTGTTATTCTTCCTATTGCCATACTCCACCATTGATGATCACATTGAAATATCAAAGAAAAAACAAATGGCATTCATCAACCATATTAACCATTCGGACTTTGTACTATCTCTTGGAGCATTGAGAGGTATTGAAAAATTCCTTGAAACAATCAAGAAGAAAAACGAACATAAGGGAGAAGAGGATCATGAAATTATGTTGGGAGTTGTTTCAGATCTTTCAAACAAGGAGACAAAGAGTTTACTGACAAAACTAAAGTTGATGGACTATTTCGATGTAATTCTCTCAAGTTATGGATTGAAAAAACCAAAACCAGATCCATCAATATACCAAGTTGCTTTAGAACAATTGAAAATTGAACCAAATGAAGTTGTTGTATTTGAAGGAACTACTCAAGGTTGTCTTTCAGCAGTCAGAGCTCTCAAAAATGGAAATATTATTGGCGTAAAAAGTTCAGACCTTAGTGAAGAGATTGATCTAAAAGAAATGAATGATAATGGGGTTCAAACTATTATTGAAAATTTTGAAGGTTTAGAATTTTCTCATGTTGAAATGATGTTAAATTAATGTATAATATTGTGATTGTAAATAAAATATTCTAATTCTAGGAATTGATCAAGATTGAAATTTTATTGAGTGATCACAAAGAATTAACTTGTGAAAATCTCAAATATTTACATTGTAATCTCCTAGTAAGTTTAAAGGGTGAATCCCATTTCTTCTCTGTATTCTTCTTCCTCTTCAAGAGTAAAGTGATCAGCAGTCCAATTTGAGGATGAGGTACGTTGTCTAAATCTATTAATCATAACTTGGTTAGTAGTTCCCTTGAAAATATCTTCAAGATTACAGGTTCTAACAGATCCAAATATTCTGTCTGGGTCAATCTTAGTTGTACGAATGATATTCTTCTTGAGGGTTTCACCTTGAGCCCAAGATGGAATCTTCTTATGTTGTCTTCTTCTCTTAGCAACTTCATCGTCCTCTGAGCTGTCATATTCATCACTCAAATCGTATGAGGAAACTCTAGGTTCAGGAACAGCAGTAAGTGGCTTTGTTGTGAGGGTTGTTTGTTTCTTAGGTGGTTGTGGTTTGTTCATTGGACCTATTTGTGGACCTATTATCTTCTTATTGGTTTGAGAATTGGTACTATTGGAACAAGTTGAAATATTACTGGAACGTGAACCAGATGCTAGAGCCAATCCTTCTACGATGGACTTTTGGGAAGTATTATTGGAACTATTTGTCTTTACAAGTTTAGTTTGTTTCTTGGCATCTTCCTTTAATTTATCTTCTTGTTCTTTCTTTTTCTTTTGTAAAGCTAATTGCTTTTCCAACTTTTCCTTCTTGGCATTCTTCTTATCTTCTTCCTTCTTTTTGGCAGCTTCTGCAAGTTTCAAACTGCTGATTGCCTTCTTTGAGGCACCAACACTGCTCTTATTCTTGTTTTGTGCAACTTTGAAAACAAATGACTTGACACCAGTAAAGATGTTAGACACAACATTGCCTACTCCTGGATTGCTTAACTCTCCAATACTGGCATTACTGTGGAATGAGGAAATTGAGGAACAGGAAGACACTGAAGAAATTGAAATACGGTTCGTTTCGCTGAGTTTCAGTCTCTTTTGATCATTACTCTCTGTTGAAACCTTATTGGTGAACTTTCTCTTGTGTTCATTCTCATCAACATCAATGATATCGATAGAGTCTCTCCTCAAAGTAGCAAATGGATCTTCGTATGGAATTTCAGAAGAAGCAGTAGGATTAGGTCTTGGTTCCATAAATTTAGGAGTAAATGGTTTGTACTTGCCATGTTGCGATATTGTTGGTGGCTCTTTGACATTAGAGGTTGTTGGAGGTGTACTCAATTGCATATCATTCTTTGGTGTGAGGGCATTGTTATCATCTTGGGATTGCACTTGCCTTGGTGTGGCAACCTCAGATTTAATGTGTTGAAGTGAAGAATACTTTGGTGAGGAGAAATCTGGAATAGAGTCGAAAGGTGGAGGAGAAAGTTGAACCTCTGGTGGTGAGAACATTACTTCAATCTTATTGTGAATCGACAATTGTCCAAGTTTCTCAATGGCTCCTGAGATGGAAGGAGTTCTAGTTGGAGTGCATGGCGGTTCAGAAAGTTCAAGAGATGGTCTATCTGCATCTGCCTTTTGCATCATTGAGTGAATGGAAGGAATGCATGGCTCTGATTTTAAGGATTTAATCTTCTCTTGAAGGGATGTGACCTTAACTGCCTCTGCACTATTGGTCTTTTTCAAGTTACTGAACGGATTTGGAATTTGGACTGATTGTTGTCTTTCGAAAATATTAACAACTGGAGGAGGGGCAAAATTGATTTTGACACAAACATCGTTCTCATGTTCTTCCTTGTCATCTTCAAAAAGATCATCATCTGATGCACTAAAGCACAAGATACTATCATCACTTTCATCATGTGCGTCTTGGAATAATTTAGTTTTGGAGAGGAATGAGAATTCAGTTTGCTTTCTATCTTCTTCGATTGGTTGAATCATAGAAATATTCATTTCATCCAAACAAGTTCTATTGAAGGTCTTATTGACCACTTCAGGTGAATCAACAATTTCTTGTTTTACAATGAATGAATGAACAGGAACAATATTTGATTGTTCAAGAGCTTGTTCATTCTTTTCATTTTCTTTCAATGCTTCAGAAATCAAAAGACAAGATAACTGTTCTGTCACATCAGATTTAGCATCATCAATAACAATGACTTCAGGTTCCTTTGGTGGTTCTTGAGCAACTGTTGAAACACTGACATTAGCATTAGTAGTGTTATTGTTTGGTTGTTGCACTGCAATAAGTTTAGGTTTTCTTTTAGGTTGTCTATTCTTTTTCACAACAATTTCTTCTTCATCACTTATTGGTTCTTCTTTGACCTTTGGAAGTTGGAATATTGTTGATGGTGGAATGACAACTGGTTGAAGTGGTCTCTCGTATGATAATTGTTGTGGTTCTTGGAATTGTTGGAGGAGTGTAATTGTTTGTGGAGGTGGTGGCGATGAAATCATTTCTTGCTTGCTTTCTGGTTGAGGTAAGGCAGTAACAACACCAAGTTCCATATCTACACTCATCACTGAATTCTTCTTACTCATCAAGACTGGCTCTATTGGCTTAATTGAATCAGTGTCCATTTCATCATCTTTATCAATACCCAAATCCTTATCAAATTCAAGAGGAGGTATTGGTGCATATAATTCAATTTCCTTTGGCAATTCAACATTTGAATCGATCATTGGTGGTGGCGATAACATATTTCTCTTGGATACGGAAGAAGACTTTCGTTTCTTCTTATTTCCACCAGAGGTCATTGCTATTGGTGATTTAAATTTGAAGAGAGGTGATTGTGATATTGTTACATTGTGTGGTTGAATATTAAGTTCCTGATCAAAATTCCTTGTACCAAGAGGTGTTTGTTTTCTAAATGAATGAGGTGATCCGATTGGAGTTTTATGAAGATGTGGAGGACTCTTGAGTGGTGTCTTCTTTGCACTGCCAGAATTGAAGGAGAACGGGAATGGTTTCTTGTTACTATTTAATTGTCCTTTCACTCCCACTTTAAATGATGGAGTAGCATAAAAGTATGATGATGTATTTGTTATTTGTTCCTTATAATTTTGTGCTCTCATGGTAAGATCATTCATTTGAGACTCGAACAGCGAATGTAAACCATCCATCGATGACTTTCCAATGCCATCAATTTCTCCTAATAATTGTTTTAACATTTTGCTGTTGTTGATGATGTTCTTCTTGTTGGTCGGGGTACTATCAAGTCTTTGATATTTTTACAGCAGGAGAGCAACAACCTTGTGTTTCGTGTGGTGCTATTTTTTTATTTAGATGAATTTTAAAATGTGTAACTGAAAGTTTTGGCGCTCTATTTGTTTAACTTTAAAAACCGTTATGTGCAATTTTGCTTCCAATAAATTGCCAAGATGACAAGAATTTATGTTTTTCAGTAAAGAGATGTTTTATTCACCAACATTGGGCGTGCTGGGAGAGTTTGGAGAGGATGAAGACCCTGAAGAAGGTGGAGAGCCAGTAGTATACTCAGCACATGTAAAGTGATCCAAATGACTGTATCCAATAAAGTTCTTTCCTAAACAAATTTCAGTACTCAACATTTTCATCCACTCGTTATATTCAAGATTTGGGTGTTGGAGCTTACTCTTCCATGTTGCATTATTCAATTTGGTGGTGTATGGTGTTATGAATTCGAATTGAGAGAACATTGGTCCAAAGAACTTTTTATCCTTTAGAGACATTTCAAATAGATGAATGGGACCAACTGCCTCCCACAAGATTACACCATTATCAACATCTGGATATCTGTGAATGTCAATCACTATTGGTTTGAATCTTCCTGCATCATCTCTTTTGAAAAACAAGTTAGGATACCAGCCACTGACAGAATAGTTTTGAGAGGTAGTACCCAACACTTGTTTGAATGTTTGTGTTTTGAATTGTTTTGGATCCTTCTTTGCAAATATCATGTTGGATAAAAACGACGTTTCTTGTTCAGTCAACTTTTCTCCAGTCTCAGTTTGTTTCCTATTAATTTCAGCTAGCACTGACAGGGTTGAGATGAAATTGTTATAGAATTTCACAGATTCTGAGCTGATGGGCATTGAGCTAAATTGAACATCATTTTGAAGTAAATCTCTGACAAAAGTTACTAATGCAACAAATTTTGTGAAGAAAGTGGTGCTTCCCTCAACAAGAAATCCAATATCCACATATTCTGATGCTTCGGTATCAATATCAAATACTTCCTTATTTACCATAAGCTCAATATCTGTTTCAATGTGCTGCTTTGCAAATAGTGAAGAGTCATATTTGAGATGAGAAAAGCTTGAAAATTGGGTTATTAACACTTTGGCGGTATACTTTTCCACCTTTTGGAACAATGGTGAAATAGTCGATAACCCTTTCAAAGTATCAAGCCATATATTATGAATGCTTGGATGGGAATTGTACTCATTAATACTGGTTTTGAGTTCATTCAACTTGTCAAGCACAATGTCATGATATGGATCAGTGTTCTTTAAAATTTCCTCAGCAACAGGAGAATCTAAAAATGTGTATCCAACATCTAAAATTGTTGGAATAACTCTAGGAAGATATCTCATATTTTCTTCATCTTTAAGTCTGTCAAATGTAACATTATGGAATATGAATGAATCCAAAGTGAACTTTCTTCCAAAAAAGCAAAATGTAAATTCATCCTTGTGACCAACTCCTTCTTTTGGTGATTTTAAATTGGCATTAGAAATTTGATTCAGCCCAATATTCTTCTTAATTACAAATTGCTGAATTTCTCTTATGGCCTTTTCATTTTCAGGAAGAGTAAGAGTGTAGTAAAGCTTTTCTGCAATCTTTTCCGTACCAGATTCAGTCATATTGAAATATTCTCTCAAAGTAGTAGTGATATCATCACAATTGGCAGAATCTGAGATTCCAATCATATTCTTGTAGCAATGTTCAATTTGAGAATATTCACAACCAAGAGTTTTAGATTCTTCAACTAAAAGCCACACCAACAAAATGAGTGTAAATTGTTGAATGTTTGTAATGTCCATAAATGTATTATTACACCAACTCAATAATTTAAAGTAATTATTCATGTAATCCCTAATGTAAAACCAATTTGGTTGATAGAGTCTAAATTCCAAAAACCTCTTCTCTCCGAAAATTGTAAATAAACAGCATGATGAACTGAAATCATTTCCAAGTTCGCATCTTCTATGAATTAATTCAAATAAATAATGTACATTATGTCTATTCTGCATAAAATATGAATCCTCAACCTTTCCATGAATGAGAGATGTGGAAAGTGTTATGAAAAAATCCAAATCATATAATCCTTGCTCTATAAGACCAATAGGTCTTGGTTCCAACTCAAATCCATTCAACAGGGAGTGAGGAGAAGGATTAGCAAAGTCCGAAAATTTATGTTTAATCAAAGTTTCCTTCATACTTTTAAATAACTTGGTAAATAAATGTTTACATTTTGGAAATAATATTTGCACTTCAATAGACTCCAATATCGATTTGTAACTATAATGAAAAGCATGCAATAAAGAATCAGCTGTAATCAAAATGTTATGATCCTTTTCATATTTGCCATCCATTTCTTCATCCCGAAACCTTTTTAACAATCGGTAATACATTTCTCCAAATGATCCAACATTATTTGAATAATAACAACAATCACCATCACTACTCACACCATTTTGCGCAGTAGTAGCTGTTGATGTGTTACTATCTGATGATGGCAACATTTTTTCCTTTTTGAAAAATTAAAGCTTGAGTCTGTTTTTGGGCCTTCTTGAAAAACAATAAAAAAGAACCTCAAAAACTTGTGTGAAATAGCATGTATTGATATTGTTCCTCTTGATGAACTTTTAGTTTCTGAGTTGAAAAGATTGTAAGGTAATTCGAAATGCATTCATGAATAGGATCATGAATTTTTTTTGTAATCTTCTATACCTAAGGTCTGAATGTTAACTACAGTTTCCCCATAGCATCGTTTGTACTTATTTCAAAGAGTTTATTCAAAAATCTTAATTGATATTGACTGGACACTCAATTTCAATCAGCAAAGATGTAAATGGTTATTCGTCAAGTTTAGAAAAGTGGATTTTCAAAACTGTTGAATTTCCTAAAATAAAAACTTTCCAAATCCAACTCAAAATATGGTATGCAATATGGAAATTCATTTAAATACCCAACAATTATCTGAGACTTTATCAACAAATCAAAACAAAAACATCTAAAAATGATTAAAACATTGTGCAGCTGTCTCATTGCCCTCGTATTGTGTCTTGCATTTGCCAACTGTCAATACAGCAATAATTATGGAAACAATTATGGTTCTTATGGTGGTGCTGGTCAAAACTATGGAGTAACAGGTGGTAGTTACAATCAATATGCTCAAAATACTCAAGCTTATTCCAATCAAATCAGTGCAGTCAACTATTCACCATATTCAAGTTATGGATCTTATTACACTGGTCCATCTAGTTATGGCACCAATTACGGAAGTGCTTATTCAGCTCCATATTATGGTGGTTATGGCTATGGTGTTCCATATTATGGAGGATATGGTTATGGTGTTCCATACTATGGTGGATATGGCGGTTATAGATATTGTTAAATAGCCATTCTCGATTGAGTGATAACAATGTGATAAATAAAGTGAGATTATTTTCGTTTCAAAAAAGTGATAGATTGCCTGCTCTCAGTGTATCTAAAACCGAGTAAGGATAGCAGTATAATCAAAAATATGTGATCCTTAATTTTGTTTACATCCTCTCCAAATATTCTTCTTTTTAAAGCGTCAACCTTTTCAATTTCGATTTGGATATCTCCCAACTCTTCTGAATCAAGTAATAAGTCTGAATTGTTGTATAATCGCCAACTTCCTCCTTCTGATAAAAATTTAAGAAATATGCTAAATTGAAACTTACTTTCCTCATTTTCCTGTGATTTAAATGAAAAATTATCCGATTCAATGTTAAATTTTCCCTTATGAATGACAAAGCTTGGATAGGTATCATACACCTTCCTAAAGGTCCAAGAAGTATATTCAACCTTTTGAAAAACACAGTTAACAATAATTTTACAATTCTCCTCTCCACATTCAAAATAAAAATAGTCTTTCAGTAGACGAGTCCAATATTTCTTGATATCTTGAGTTTCAATAATTGCATCAATTTTCTTTGTAAATATTTTAGAGACATTCATATTATTCTGAGTTTGAGTAATTAGTAATTTCTCAAACTCATACCCTGGAAATGCTGTATTAGATTCTCGTTTACGGTAATCTATTAATGAGAAGGCCTTTTTAATTTGGACGAGTGGTTCTCTATCCTCTTCCTTGTTATAGCGAGTTATATATTGATTTTCCTTATCTTGTGTAATATATTCATCAAATTTTCTCTTTTTAGTTTCCTTCTCCTCTTGTTTAATCTCATATTCTTTGCTTGCTTGATTCTTCTTCTTTTCTATTGCTTTCAATCTTTTCAAATTCATATTCCCCACCTTTCTAATATCGGAAGAAATTTTCAATGAAATTACCAATACATTTGATTCAAGTAATTCCTCTCTGATAGACTTTCTGCATGATGAAAAATTAATTACATCACTATTGGAATCAGCCAGAAAATTAACAATTTCATCCATAACCTCTACAGGCAATTGATCAAGTCTTGACATTTTTTTTGTAAAGTCATCTTTATAAACTAACTCATCAATGTAACATGGCCAATAGTTCTCAAAACAGCACAAGGATTAATAATAAGAGTTTGCTTTTCAAAGTTAGATGATGAAAATTATCTTTTATAAAATTATAATTAAAAAAAATGGATCCTTTCAATCTTCAGCGTTTTAATCCTATTGTACCATCACATCAACCACAACCAACTATTCAACCTCTTCAACAACCACCTTCTTCCTCATCACCGTCATCTATTCAACCTTCGGGTGAATCAGTAGAGATCAATGTTGGTGGAAGAAAATTTGTAACCACCATCAAGACTTTAAAATCCATCCCAATATTTAAAGAATTGAATAATATTCCAACGTTAAAGAGTAGAAAACCAAATACAACAACACAATCAAACCCATTCCAAACAATTCAATCTATCAATCAATCTAATGATAAAAGTTTTCCATTTGGTGATTATTTCGGATATGATGAAACAGGAAATTTATTTGTTGATTTGAATGGTGAATTATTTGAAGCAATTTTGGATTGGGTTAGATATAGTAAGGTTCCTGAACTTAGTATTAATAATTTGACTGTAAAACAATTACTCAGATTAAAATCCGAGGCTCGTTTTTATAGATTGGATGATTTGATTACTGCTTGTCATCTTCGATTGGAAGAATTAGGATCTGCTATTGAAAAACAAAAACAACCAATTATTCCAATTGTTAAAGAACAACAATCACCAGTAATTAATCCAATTATTCCTTCTCTTCAACAACCAACAATTACTCCTTCATCTACTAGTAATATTAATGGAATTCAATTACTTGCTCTCCATGTGAAGAATACCAATCAACCACTTTTTACTGCAAATCCAGGAATTGAAGAAATGCAAGTTATTCCATCATCAATTGTTGAAATTGATGTACCAAGAGAAGGAAATTTATTAATTGAATATTATATTGCAGACTCTTGTGGTGATTATGTAATTGTCTTGGATGGAGTCAACCAAAAACCACACCCAGCTCTTTCAGGTATTGAATTTGTAGAAATGTCAGAAGTCAAAATTTCAAGATTGGAGTTTGCCTTCACACAACCAATTTCTTACGTTACTGCCAAGCTCCCTCAAGGTAAACATTCTGTTGGTCTTCGTTGGCGTCCTTACAAAAAGATTGCCTACACAATCCAAGGTCCCCTCATTTGTAAAGTTTTCCTTGTTGATTCCAATCTCGTAAGAATGAATTAAATTTTTAACATTACACATTTATTAACAGAACATTCCTATATTGTATCGAATAACTGATTCGAATCCATGGCACTCTTAATGACCCTAAAAAGTTATCGAATACCCCATTTACTTCAATGCACACCATCTGAGGTACTTGTCAACCAATCAAACTTATCTTCAAAATAAAAAAAATAAAAAAACAAACCTTCACCTGCCAACCCTCTTCACTAGCTCTCTCCATAACAGCCTAGTACACTACTTAAAAATGGTTGGCATCAAGTCACTATTCAAAAAGAAGGAAGTCACCAATGAAAAAGACAGAAGAAAATCTGTTGCTTTCATAGCTTCACCACGTTCCAATACAACAACCACAACCTCTCCAGTCATTCACAATTCCTCCTCTGAAATATCATCCTCCGAAATACCAAGCAGCAGTAAAACGCCAAGAAGTAATACAATTGCTGGTTCTCACAGTCAACAACATCATGTTGCTGTTTCAACAGCAAATTCCTCATCATTGAATCACTCACAGGGAGATGTTTCGAATAATACTTCAGCAGCAACATCATCATCCAATAATTCCTCACCAAGTAGAAATACCAATAGAAGAAGACATCAGAAACGTAGAAAGAGTATCTTTGACTTTTTCAAGAGAAAGGACTCACAGATGGATGAAGATTCTGATTCGGATGATGGTGATATTAATTCATCATTTGAAACAGCAACACATCAACAGGGTTCTAAATCACATGCAATTTTGATGGGTGGAAATTCGTTGGGAAAATTGGATTTGTCTGAAGTGAGTAAATCACAACCAGGCAGTGTTGGTGTTGGTGGAGAATCAACTGCTGCCGAAGCACATCATGAGAGAGGTATAAGTGAGGAAAGAGTTGCTCTCAGAAGAAGAAGTGGAAGAAAATCCTATACCTTGGCAATGGATGTTCAAAATATGGCCCTGAATGGTGATGAAGATGCTAAATTATTGTTAAAATTCTATAAGGGTATGTTGTTTCGAATAATGTAAATTTCTAATAATTCGTAATTAGATGCCTACACAAGAGAAACACAAATTCAGAAAAACAAAGATTTTGGTAAATTTGTGGCAGATTTGAAAAATCTTGAAAGAAAGAGAGGAAATAGTTTATTCTCTGGAGCACCAGAAGATCCACAACTCCTTTCAAAAATTGTTAATGATAACAGTCCAACCCCAACAGCCAATAATATTTCAACAACACACGAAGAGGAAACTACTCATAACAGTCATACTGCAACAGATGAATCAACACACGAGGATACTGATTCAATGACATCTGAATCTACAAATAATGCTTCAACAGTTCATCATCATACTCATTCGACAGATAGTGCATCTGTGACAGATAGTACTCACTCCCCAGTGCCTGGTTTAAACGTTCCAGGATTTTCCGATTCACAAATGTCCCTCTACCAAAAATTGAAAGCTAAATCTGAACAAGAAGATAAGGAACGTGAAGAGGAACATCAAAGAGAAATTGAGGAAAGATTGAGAAAGAAGAAGGAATTGGAAGAAAAGATGAAAATGCTCATGGATGAATCTGATTCTGATTTGGATTCCACACGTTCTAAAAAATCTGCCAGAGATCAATCCTCTCAGCAATCTGACTCGTCACTAATGTTACAACAACGTAAATTGGAACAAGAAGCTGCATTGAAGAGAGAACAAGAACAAGCTGAATTGGAAAAGGCAGAAGAATTAAGAAAACAAAAAGAATTGGAAAGAATTGAAGAAGAAAATAGATTGGAAAGGGAAAGAATCGAAGAAGCCAAAAAGAAGGAAGTTGAAGAAAGGATTCGTCTCCAACGTTTACAAGAAGAAGAAGAAGATAGAAGAGCAAAACAGGAGCTCGATGATGAAAAGGAAAGACTATCCCAACAATTTGCCAATCTCATGTCCGAAATGAATGAATCTGGAAAATTAGGAGAGTGGATCAAATCTGTAGAATCTAAAATGTCACTTGTTTCCATGCTCAAGACTGAATTGAAGCAAGCTAAAGATTTGAATCATAATCAATCCTCAAAGAGAACAGAATTCAACTCGAGCCTGAACTTTCTCATTGAAAAACAAAAAGATCCAGAGAAATTCTTACAACCTTACGAAATTGAACTCATGAAGGAACGTATAAAGAATATTTATCCAATCTACCTGCCAAAGTCAGAGGTAGAGAAGATGGATGAACAAATCAAACAAATTGAAGTCACAGAAAAGAAGAAACGTGAAGAGGCTCAATTACGTTTAGAACAAGAAGCAGCTGAAAAGCTCAGAAAGGAAAAGGAAAGACAACAAATGATCATTCTTCAAAGACTGATTAAGGATGGTAATGTTAGAGTTATTTGTGAGGAATTGAAAAAGAATAACCCAATGCTCAAATCTGTAAATTTACAAAACAAGAATATTTCAAACGATGATGTTGAAGAGTTATCGAATGCAATTCTCGAAAATACTTGCCTTCAAGAGTTAGATTTGAGTTTTAATGCACGTATTGACGACGAATCTGTGGACTCTATTGTAAAGATTGTAAAACAAAATCACACACTAAGAAAATTATATTTGGAAGATACATTCATTCAAACCAACCAGCCAATCATAGATGCTGTAGCTGGAAATTTCAAAATGGTAGATATGGTTCTGTCAGAATTTGCTACTGATGATCAATTAGATCAGCTCGACATGTATCTCGATAGAAATGAAGGATTGTAAATTTAAACAATAAATTAAATTTTGAAGTAAAATCATTTATAATTTCACTATCTTCCTCAAAATATTTGATGAATTTCAGTATTAGAAGTTTGTCCCAAGCTATTTTCATTAGTTTAACTTCTGCTTTTTTGTTAGAACTCTGTTTTTGGATCGGCTCTTTGTTTTAATATCATTGAATAAAACGGTTGTGATTGCAAAGTACTTGGTAGCTACCTGTCACATACAACAACTTAAAGAATGAATGATGGATCAGTGTGAAGTGGGATATCGGTCTTTTCTAAACTAAAGGCTCTTATTGCTTCCACAACTTCTTCAGCATCATATTGTAAATATTTTGATAATTGAGCATAAAGCAATGAAACAACCTTATCAGTTGGATGCTTACTTGAATAGGCTTCAAACACTCCACATATTTCTTTCAACAAGGTCATGTTAACATCTCCTCTCAATAATTCAAATGCTTGATCGAATTCCTTATACAAGTTATTTTGTTCTTGTTGTTGAATTTCGTAAAACCATTCATCATCCAAAATCTTTCTCTCGCCCAACAATTGAAAAATTGTTTGCTTATTCACATCATCATCATCGAGGCACAATTTTTCATCAAGGATTGATTTCTTGTGCATAAAGTGGACAGCACGTGTAATGAAACCAATGTTAAGAGCAAGCGTTAGCGACTCATCGGTAAGAATTGAAGTACCAAAGTATGCACACAGAGCAGCTAATCGCAATGCATTGCTTGAACAAGCTCCAATCAATGCAGAATATCTCACAGCAGCCGTACCAATATTACCCACCAAACATTCAGACCTCGAAACACCAATTCCAAATTCTACTGGGGGAAGATTTACCTGTTCTGTGAGCTGTGTATTGACTGATTGCATTTGTTTTTCTAATTGAAGAGCACATAGTAAGGCATTTCTTTCCGCGTTTTTACCAACTTCAAAACTGATCATGAGAACCTTTGGAGTGATGATAGCCGTTCTTCCTCTGAATTGCCTGCTAACGCTTTGGACTTTTTGGAAAAGCAATGTAAATACTGACAATAAATCTGCAGTATTTGGATAACTCTTTCCGTCAAAGTTTCTAAATTGAATAATAATTATTGTTGTAATGTGTGAAGTCAACCCTAACCCAAAATTTTTTTTAAATTCAGGTGAAAATCCACTTCCCAAGTTGGAGCCAAACTCTCTTGAAGAATTAAAGACACTACTAACTTCAGACATATTATCATGAAGGTTGACATTGATTTGCAAAGAGAGAGAACCTTCGATTCTTGGTTTTGTTGCTTTGGCAACTGCCTTGGAAACTGCGTTCCTTAATTTGTCCACTGCAGAGTTTGGCCTCTCCTCCAAGTTTGGATCCAATAATGAACTTGCCATTGGCGTTTGTTGTTGTGGTTTTTGTTGTGGAGTTATTGATTCAACTGGTTTTTGTTCGTTTGTCTTTTGCTCATTAATGTTTGGTTTGAGAGTGTTCAAATCAACTCTCGATTTTGATTTCTGTACCGTTATTACCTTTGTAATTGGTTTCTGTTGAGCTGCAATTTTCTTAGCAATTGGCATTAATTTCTTTCTCATTTCGATCATTTGCTTGTTTCTCCGTTCTTCTTCATCCAAGTCCAGTACTTCTTCATCAGATTGTCTTGTAATGGATTCTGGAATGAAGGGCCTTATATCCTTCATTAAATTATTCAATTCATTAAAGGCCACATAGAGTGGTATGAATTCATAGAGAATTGAGGAAAGTTTTTGGATTGCATCAAATCGGAGTGATTTCATGGTACCAAGTTGTCTTGTTAGTACAAATAGTGGCTTTTTTATCAAAAAGTGTACCCCCACTGCTAATAGTATAGAGAAGATTGTGATCGATACAACAAATGTACACCACACAATTATTGAGGCGATTGCCATTGTTATTTCCACCTGTGATGATATTAAAACCATGATAATAATCCAAATCACAACGCAAGTGATGAATATTGTCAAAACTAAAAACATAATAACAAAAGCCTTGATGGAACATATTGAATCGATGCAATATCCTCTTCCTGTGTTGAACAGCCCTCCTGCTGTTTGGTTTGGAATTGCTTCCTCAAAGGCTCTCATATAAGAGAGTCGACTGAGAAAGGATGATGATGATTGAGTGTTATTATTAAAATGATTACTTCCTGCGGGCGTTACCTTCATCTTCGTTTGTTTAAAAACTTTTCCGTAATCATTGAACACAAATACTCTGCGAGTGGTGGTTGAATTTATAGATCTAATTTATTTGAGAGGGTTATTAAATAATGGTGCTTGTTGCGCAAAGTGAAGATAGAAATTAACTGAAAAAACGTCCTTAATAGGAGATTTTATAATTTTTAGGATGTATAATTAATCAAACCACTCCACTAAGAGTATTTATTGCCCTATATGGAAACAAGACAAATTTTGAGATTAATTATATGATGATAATATTATCAAAATAGTATTCAAGAAAAACAATATCCTACTAGTGATTTGTCTTACACTTAGTTGAGGTATTATACATGAATAAATAGCTTGGCACTCCTTAATGAAAATTACATTGAACAAGTTCAAATGGAGATTTAAAAGTTCATCAAAAAAATATTGGAGCGGCTTGAAGCAATCATCATATTTGGTGCATTGTATCACTAGTAATCAACAGACAGGTGAAACCTTTCTTTATTTCTATGTTTGAATCAAAGCTGATTTTATTGCAGTACATAAATTGGTTCAAATTGACATATGTATTCGATAGAAATGAAAGGAATTGGTAAATAAAGTACAATAAATTAAATTTTGTATTGAGGGATGGTTGGATTTTCAGGTTGTTGAGGATTACGTGGGACTTGTTGAGGATAGCCTTGTTGTGGAGGGACTTGACTGTATTGTTGAGGAGGGATTTGGCCATATTGTTGTGGAGGGACTTGTTGACCAAATTGTTGAGGTTGACCAGTTGGTTGTTGAGGATAACCCTGTTGTGGATATCCACCTTGTTGTGGGTAACCTTGTTGTGGAGGGACTTGACTGTATTGTTGAGGAGGGATTTGGCCATATTGTTGAGGTGGAACTTGTTGACCAAATTGTTGAGGTTGTCCACCAACAGGCTGTTGAGGATATCCACCAAATTGTTGAGGTTGCATTGGATAACCACCTTGTTGTTGAGGATATTGTTGAGGTTGACCAGTTGGTTGTTGAGGATAACCCTGTTGTGGATAACCACCTTGTTGAGGAGGAACTCCATAAGTTGGTGGAACTTGTTGTTGTGGAATACCTTGTTGTGGAACTTGGTTTGGAATGGAATTAAGATTGGAATTGGAAGTATTTGGATTGAAACTTTCTGACATACTTCTTTCTCTTGGTGGATCATTGCTTGGATACATTTGAGTAGTTGTGGTGGATGGAGTGCTTGGTTCAGGTGGAACATATTCCTGAATAACTACTCTTTGGTTTGGCATTAAATTTTTCATTTTCATGAATTGAGTTACTTGGGTTGGAATTTCAGCAAGAACTTCCTTACTGAGAGCAGTAAATGGCATTGATGCAAATTTGTTAAATGGTACAAATTGGACAATATCACGAAGAGCTGTTCTTCCAGTACGGCCAGATCTGAGGGCAGCATTATCGCCATCCAGTGTTTCCATAGAGCTGAAATCAGCTGCACCAACACCAACAATAATAATTGAAAGTGGGAGTCCTGATCCTTCAATTATTTGATCAATAGTTTCCTGCATATCATTAATCATACCATCAGTACAAATGAGCAAGACAAAATATTCTTGGTTTGATTGACTTATTGGAACAGAAGCATATTGACAGGCTGTTTTGATAATTTGAGCAAAATGAGTTGGTCCTGAAAGTTTTACGGTATACAGTGCTTGTCTATAACTTTGAAGAATTCCGTCAACTTGAAAACATTCTGGTTTTTGTGGATTACCATTCAAAGCAAAGCAGTGTGATGTAATACCATTTGGTAAATATCCTCCATAACCAAAAGATGGGAACAATTTGTCGCTATCATAGTCAGAAATAATTTGTCCAACAGATCTAATAGCTTGTTCGTATTGGTTCATTTGTCCTTGTCTATTGTAGTGCAAAGATTGAGGTAATTCTGGTTGACCATTTGAAGCAGTAAAGTCAACTGCAACCAACATGTTCATTTTCATTCCACCTGCCAAAAATTCCAAGAAGGTTGGATTTTTAGTAATCTTGGAGGACTTGACAATAAGATCGCCATGATTTCCCTTTTTCTTTGCTGGATTTTGTAGTTTAAGAGAAACACTAGCCTTAAGAAGAGCATCCAAATTAGTTTCAACCTCTCCGATAAAATCTGGAGCAGAGTGCTTATTCCAATCGTATACAGAAATTTTCAAACTTCTATGATAATCTCCATTACACAATTTGGCACAAGAAATTCGCATTGGCTTCCAAATTGGATTTAAATTATTCATGATGGTTTCAGATTGATAAACTGAAAGGAATTGACCACTTTCAGATGCTTTTTGTACAACATAAAACTTGACAAATGTTAGATAAATCTGCTAATAACTAATTACGTACTGGATCTGCCTTTCCAAAAAAATCCATCTATTGTAAGATTAAATAATAAATTGTAGAATAAGTTTCTGTGAAATTATTTAACACATACCTTTGGAAGTGTAACACCTGCCAAGGCAATTTCCACATCATCAGTGGCATTTGAATTAACTTCCTCGGCAGTTACAATGATGGTACCTCTTGAAACCTTTGAACCCTTGGCATAGAGATGTTTAATTAATTTTTGTCCTTTAGCTCCACAAATTTCACCTGTATTTTAATTCAATAAATTGGTATCTAAACTCTTAAGATTTCAATACTCACCTAGTGTTGTAGTTGTCTCTCCAATAAAATCATCATCCGATAATGTGGCAGTATTATTATCAATATCATAGACACAGAATTTCAAGTGTTGAAGTTCTTCAAAACAATATTCAACTGTAAAAGTAGTTGAAAAGTTTGGATTTAAATTATCCTTGATGCATTCAGTTTCGCCCAATAATTTCCAAGCCTTTCCAATAATATTTCTAGAAATTTCTAATTATTTACTTACGTATTGTGGATTATTCGGAGGAAATCCTGCATAAACTAAAACCTTTGGATCTGACTTTGAAAGTAAATCCATCTTATTTAATAAAATCATCATTAGATGATCATTTAATAAAATCAACAAAATCATCACAAATTAACGAATAATTATTAAATTGCAAATCTTCACATAAACAACTCACATTCTTCAATCCTCTGCATGAAATGTGCAATTCAACCTTTGATGAAAGTCTTGGTTGTTGCGGGGAAGATTGTTGTTGGGTATTGTACATTTTTTAATGTGAATTTTGTGAGGATTCTGCTAATGGAGGCTTTTTCTTTTAATGACTTACCAATAGAAGATAAATGGAAGGAGCATCACTCTTCTAAATTTAAGTTCAAAATGATGATTCTTCTTGTAAGGTTTTCTTTTCTTCAATTAAATATTAACAATATTATTTAATATATTGTTTCAAGGTAAGAATTTCAAGGTATTGGAGGAAACGAAAAAAATCGTAACACTACAAAAAATTAATATCAAAAAATGTAGTCATCATTACCTTGTTGCTGATTATTCACTTTGAAAAAAATGGCAAGAACAAGACAGACAGCTAGAAAGTCAACAGGAGGACCAGGCACACCAAGGCATAATTTGCTAGGTATTCAGGAGAATAGAGAATTGATGGAAAAGCTCATCCAAAGAAATTGCATGGCCACCATGAAGAATTCCTTGCAAAATGTTGTTCAGGAGGATAAGCTTGATATTCAAACTAAATTCTCTCCGTACAGAGATTGTTTGAAGGTAGCAAGATTGTGGATATTGAAGGATCTTTTACAAAATCATTCTTCTGTCAATAATAATGCTGATGATCAAAATATTACGGCATCAACATTGACAGTTTTGCCACTGGATGTGAAGATTGAAATTATTTCCTTCATTCCAACCTACTCTAATGTTTATGGTGGAGCTACATATTATGATAAGAGAGGTGCTATTAGAAAAACCATCTCCGTAAGGGATCCATGGTTTTTCACATACATCAAACATCGATTGGTTTCACAATCGGTAAGAAATCATTTAGAACAATCAATGTTTAAAAGAATGAAGGATGAAACTCTTGATCTTACAGTTTTCCTCAACTCTATTTCTCCTATATTATATTCGTATAGAGTGAAGGTCATTAAATATTTATTAGAAATGCAGAATAAGTATTTGGATGAAAAGAGTACTGATTATAAATTCTTCAACCTTCCAACACCAGACACACAGAAACCACTTAAGGATCCAATCTATCCTGAATTTAGAGAAATGCAAGATGATTCAGATACTCAAAATGATACAACATCTGTTGATGATAAAATTGATTTAAATTCAATGAATTTAGATGAACTAGAGGCCATTGAGAAGAATCTTGTTGAAGAGTTGTATACAACAGTAGGGAATTTCAAACCTAAATTCAAAAAGGAATCTTCACCAGTAAGTACATGGAAAACATTGGAAGGAACCCAAAGCACTACAAGAAGAGAGATACACTCGGCACTATCCTACTATGAAGTGTGCCAAACTTTTCAGAATATGGACGAGGATACAGATGAAGAACTTGAAATGGCTGAAATGACAAATGATAATATGAATGATTATGTAAAAGCCCTCAAAATTTGCGTTTCAGATATGAGTAGCCCACTCCTCTTAGCTGAAATTGTTTCCAAATTGAACAAGATTGAAAGATTAGAAATGGAATGTTATGATATGTATGAGGGAGGCAGAAATATGATGTTCTTTATTAATTATGTTCACGAAGAAACTCTGGAAAGTTTGGAGAGTGTTACAGTTACCTATTTCGAAAGACTTTCAGTGATTGGTAATACTTTTGCAATGTTGGCAAAGCTTTCAAGTGTGAAAACCATATTCCTTAAGGTGATTGTGGACACAACAGAGATTGCCTATATTGTTTGCAACCTTTCCAAATCATAATATCTATGTAAATTCAGAAAAAGTGCAAGATATCCCAACATCAGAGCGTAGCATTTATATTTCTTCAATCAACATGTCAGATATCCAAAAGTCTAACAATCCATGGTATTCAACAAAAGGATTATTCAGTATTGTTTCCAATGAAGGCCAATGCTCTATTGAAACTATGAAAGATATTGCCACTTTTGTCCTCACCAGATATCCTCCAGCCAGTAAGTATTTATTCTTAGCGATATCTTATTTCATGTAGTTTTAAATATCGATGACCAATTGGCCAATTTTGTTTCTACTCCTAGAAAGTTTGCTATATTACAATATTTTATCTATCTCTGTAATACTTATCATAATGGTGAGCTTTTCTTGAGTAGTACCCAAAATTTATCAGAGAAAAATGTAGCTCTATTAATTCATAGTGGGTGGGATATCTCAAACCAAGTAGTACAAATTTTCTCATGTTTGGGACCTGATTTTGGACAAGTATTGTTGGATCACTGGTCACGTTTATTAAAACAAAATCTGTGTAAATTAGATATTCCAAAATTGAAAACAAACCTGGCCACCATTATTAATACCAATAAGAATTGTAGATTAATGGCCTTCCTTTGCGAACACTGCTCTCCTGAGGAGAAGGTTGAATTATTCAAACCTTTCCAATACGGTTTCTATGCTGATCAACATTTCCAAACAAACTTGGTAAATATCATGTGTGATGGTATGGATGGTGTTGCATTCTCATACATTCTGAATTATTTACCTCCTGAGAGCTTGTTGGAAAAATCGCTAAAAGTCAAATCAACAAAGATTCTATCAGCCACTGCACTCCATTTTGCAATTGAAAATCAAAGAATTACCAGTGATTCAATTGTTACCATTATTGAAAAACAGCCTCTCTTGATTCATATTGCTGACAATGAAGGAATCACTCCTCTCCATCAAATCTGCATGATAGCCACAAGATGGTGTCTCATTCCTCTCCTCCTCAAATACAATGTCGACGTTCAAGCAAAAGATATCAATGGAGAAACTCCATTAGATTACCTCAAAAGACATCAGCCATTCCACAAGTATGTCTTTCCCTACCTTAATGAACTTTCACAATAAATTCATTGTTCTCAAGACACAGAATTTTTGCAACAGTGATAACTAATGATGTTCTCTCTTCTCACATTTCAAATGCAATGAAACTCTACAATCGACAGTGAATGATGCCTGGGT